TCAATGTCGGGGAGATTCGGCGCGGCGCGTCGGGCCTGGGCACCTGCTGGGTGCGGGCCCCATTGGCCGCGGTGAAGAAGGTCACGACGGCAGGGCGGATCCGGATCGGCTGGGTCTCGGCTGCTGTGGAGCTGCTGCGGCAGAAGCCACTCCGGTGCTTCCGGTGCCTCGAAAGTGGGCACGTGCTGGCCAGGTGCTCGCACGAGGAGGACCGGAGTGGCTTGTGCTACCGGTGTGGGGTTCCCGGCCACAAAGCGGCCGGATGTTCGGCGGCCCCACACTGCGTGGTTTGCGCAGCGGCAGGTCGCCCAGCTGACCACCGGGTGGGGGCCAAAAAGTGCCCCCAATCCCGGTCCAAGAGATCGAGGGGATCCGCACTGTCGTCGGCCCGCGGCAATGGCCGCCGGGGAGAGGCTGAGGTGATGGACACCGGTTAATAATGGCAGTCCATCGCCTCCTGCAGGGGAATCTGAACCACTGCGCGCGCGCCCAGGATCTGCTTCTGCAGAGCGCGGTGCAGTGGGGAGTTGACCTTGCAGTGGTCGCCGAACCATATCGCGTCCCACGAAGCGACCATTGGTTCGGCGACCCCTCTGGCCTGGTGGCCATTGTCGGCGCGGGCAACCCCGCGACCCCGCTCGTCAGCCGCCTATTCGGCGGAGCGGGGTACATAGGTGTGAGTTGGGGGGAAACCGTCGTTGTCGGGACATACTTCTCTCCGAACAGGACTCTCGCCGAGTTCGAGCAGTTCATGGACGGGCTGGGGGCCGCTCTGGAGCTATACTCGGCCCGTCCAATGATGGTGATGGGGGACTTCAATGCCAAATCCACGGCATGGGGCTCCCCCATCACCGACTCTCGAGGCAGGGTCCTGGAAGACTGGGCGGCCGCGGCCGGCCTGGTGGTGTTGAACCGAGGGTCGGCCGCCACGTGCGTGAGACAGCAGGGGGAGTCGCATGTCGACGTATCCCTCTGCAGTCCAGCGATCGCACAGAGGGTGCGGAGCTGGCAGGTGTTGGATGAGGTGGAGACGCTATCCGATCATCGTTACATTCGGATAGACGTTCTCCCCTCACCCGTAGCTCCGCACCCCGGTCGCCAGGAGAGGAATGTCCCACAACTCCCCAGATGGGTGTTGAAACGTCTGAATAAAGACGTGCTGATGGAGGCTTCCATCGTCCAGGCCTGGGTTCCCATACCGGAGGGGCCTGTGGAGGTCGACGCAGAGGTGGGCTGGTTCGGTGAGGCTCTGTCGCACATTTGCGACGCGGCGATGCCCCGAGCCGGCCCTCGACCTCCTAGGCGTCAGGTGTACTGGTGGTCGGAGGAGATAGCGGCGTTGAGGGAGGAGTGCTCCGCCGCCCGCCGCCGGTACACCAGGCACCGCCGACTCAGGCGGGGCCGCGACGCCGACGAGGAAGCACAGCTGTACGAGCAGTACAAAGAGAGGAAGAAAGCTCTGCAGCTGTCCATCAGCAGGGCCAAGGAGACAGCCAGGGAAGAACTCCTGGAGACCCTGGACAGGGATCCATGGGGGCGTCCTTATAGGTTCGTCAGGGGCAAATTACGCCCCTGGGTGCCCCCCGTGGCAGAGGGTCTCCAGCCGCAGCAGTTGGAGGAGGTGTTGGAGGAGCTGTTCCCGAGACAGCCTCCCTTCACACCTCCTCCGATGATGCCGCGTGGCAGTGATGGAGAGGCCAGCGGCGTCAGCGCTGCTGCGGTTCCTGCCATCACCGTGGAGGAGTTCGCCGCGGCCGTGGATAAACTCCGGGGCAAGAATGTCGCCCCGGGTCCGGATGGAATCCACGGCCGCGTCCTGGCCTTGGCCCTAAACACCCTAGGGGACCGACTCCGGCGCTTGTTCAATGCGTGTCTGGAGTCGGGACGGTTTCCCAATCAGTGGAAAGCGGGTAGAGTGGTCCTGCTCCGCAAAGCGGAGCACCCCGCAGGTTCGGTGGTTCCCTCGGCGTTCCGCCCCATAGTGCTGTTGGACGAGATCGGCAAGCTCTTCGAGAGAATCTTGGCGGGCCGACTCGTCCAACACCTGTCTCAGGTAGGTCCCGATCTTAGCCCGAAGCAGTTCGGGTTCCGAGAGGGGCGCTCGACGATAGACGCGATCTCGCGTGTGCGCTCCCTCTCGGAAGAGGCGACGTCCCAGGGTGGGGTGTTGTTGGCGGTCTCGTTGGACATAAAGAACGCCTTCAACACCCTGCCCTTTGCGACTATTAGGGAGGCGCTGAAATACCATCGCGCGCCTCCCTACATTCGGGACGTGATCGGGGCCTATCTCGAAGACAGGTCTGTGCTATGCACGGGGCGGAACGGCGTTGTAGTGCCGAGGGACATGCAACGCGGTGTTCCACAGGGGTCGGTTCTGGGCCCGATCCTGTGGAACATCGGGTATGATTGGAACCTGCGGGGCGCCCTTATAACGGGCACTGACCTCGTGTGTTACGCGGATGACACCTTGGTCACTGCCCGGGGGCGGGACCTACTGGAGGCTACCCGCTTTGCCACGGCAAGCGTGGCGCTGGTCGTCGGCCGAATTAGAAGGCTTGGGCTCCAGGTGGCGCTGGAGAAGACCGAGGTCCTATGTTTTCATGGGCCTCGGCGTGCGCCACCTCCGGATGCCCAGCTGGTCGTCAGTGGCCAGAGGGTGGGGGTCAAGCCCTGTATTCGATACTTGGGGCTTGACCTGGACAGTCGTTGGAGCTTCCGCGCTCACTTCCGGAACCTGGTCCCTCGCCTCATGGCAGCCGCCGGCGCTCTTAGCTGGCTGCTGCCAAATGTGAGGGGCCCGGGAGAAGGTTCCCGCCGCCTATACCTCGGCGTGGTGCGGTCCATGGCCCTGTACGGGGCCCCCATCTGGGTGGGGGCCCTAGGTAGGGAAAATGTGGCCTGCCTCAACAGGCCACACAGGGTCATGGCCATACGGGCCATAAGAGGCTACCGCACCATATCCGGGGAAGCGGCGGGTCTGCTGGCGGGGTCTCCTCCGTGGGACTTGGTAGCGGAGCTCCACGCGTCAGTGTATCACTGGCGCGCGGAGCGACGTTCCAGGGGGGAGGCACCCGCTGGCCATGAAATTGGAGCGCGGAGGTCCGACTTTCGGCGGATCCTCAGGATCAGGTGGAGAGAAAGGCTGGCCAGTCCATCGGCCGGCCTGAGGACCGTCGAGGCTGTCCGTCCCATCCTCAAAAGGTGGATGAATAGGAGATGGCCACTGACGTACCGCATGACGCAGATACTGTCCGGGCACGGCTGCTTTGGGCGGTATCTGTGTCATGTGGCGAGGAAGGAGCCGACGACCGGCTGCCACGAATGCGGAGGTGTAGAGGACACGGCGCAACACACGCTGGAAATATGTCCAGCGTTTGAGAGTGAGCGCCGTGTCCTCACACGAATAGTGGGGGACGATCTCTCGCTGCCGAATTTAGTTCGGAGGATGGTCAGTAGCGAGAGATCGTGGCTGGCGGTGAGCTCCTTCTGCGAGGAAGTTATCTCGCGGAAGGAGGCGGCGGAAAGGGAGCGGGAGTCAGCTCGTCCCGCTTCCCTCCGCCGCAGAAGAGCCAGGCCTAGAGGTGGGAGCGTATCCAACTCCGTCCCCCTCTATCCCCCACTGGGGCCGGGGTGACTGCCTTGAGGGAGGCAGTCCCCCCAATCCAAAGGCCCCGGAGGTGTGCGCGTGTACCCACACGCCTCCACAATGGAGTAGGGCGAAATAGGTCGCCCTAACCACTAAACGAGATGGGGCCTGCCCTACAACATCTACAGGGCGGGCCGTCGCCGTCGGAGCTGGGGTAGAATGCACTTGCGAATCCCCTGGCTCCGGCATAGGCGCTCGTAGGTACACCGTGTGGTTTTTAGTGAGTCAAGTCTCACACACCACCTCGCCATCCCTCCGGCGAGGTGACGGTCTTTTGAAGATTTTCCACACGTTAAAAAAAAAAAAAAAAAAGGTAGTTGATTAGAAAACCTATGACCAATTACATGTAGACCTTACAGCTAAAACGATAGGTGCTATTATTCAAAGTTATCTTATGCTTAACAAGATTAGGATATGATTCAATAAGTTAATTAATTAGTAAATAAAATAATATAGGTACTATGTATATTTCCCGACTGCTATCCCAGTTAAAATTGTTAACGTTGTAGTGAACGCAACGCTTGATATGCCCAAGTTTTGCTGGGTATCTGAATTCAACGTGGAAGGTAGCTAGCTTAATGCCGCACACTATAGGTTAAAATTTAAAAAAACAATTCATTTTTTACTTTTAAGTAAATATTCCAATCCTCATTGCCCTTATACAAAAAAGTTATAAGTAAATATTTTTATCTTAAAACTGACACTTACTATTTTATGGATAGGTGTTACGGGATAAGGATAACCTAGTTGAGCTAGAACCATATATAAAATCATTATTGCCAAGAAATTTATTGTAGAAAGAAATAACTACGCAATAATTAACTGGAAGATTTATTTATTTATATAACTTCAATGCACAAAATACCAAGATAAAAGTACATATGGCGGATTTATTGATAACATGTACCAAAAAGGTTAACTAAACATGACAAATAAGCTTGTACCGAAAGAGAAATCCAGTATAAACATTCTATCTCTTTCGCAAATTGACAGACTAATCATTACCGAAATCACGGATTGTACATATTAGTCAGTTTTTAAATAAATAAATTTAATTATTTACAAACGATGATTCAACAAGAAAAAGTTTAAAACATAATTTGAAACGTTAGTGGTATAATTTTAAAGTAATTGGGTCCATCTTAATTTTTAAGACTACACTTTTAATTAAGTAAACAATCAAAAATAACTTTTATTAGGTTTAAAAATGACTATTCTAAATAATTGATACAATATAAAAATCACTTGTACTTCCTTAAATTAAAATATAGGAAAAAGTTACGTGTATAGGAACGTAGAAAATTTCAACCAATCACAGCGTAGCCGTGGGCATTTTGTTTTTAACGGACGGTAACAAATTGAATTTGAAAACGTCAAACATATTGTATCGTTCGTTGGATTTAATATGCAGTATTCCTTCGGTATATTGTGGTCATTAATTTAGTTTGTGGATGTCGTTTAGTAATATTTTATTATAATATATTGTTTATTATTACAAGGTGAGGGTGTTTGTGTATAAAATAAGAAGAAAGAGAAAAAATGATTGTCGTTTCAGAAGATGTGAACAATTTGTTGTAAGTTTTGTATTTCAAATTATTAAATTGACTCTAAACAATGCCTTAGCGTATTATTTTAGTAAGTTAAGAAAACCATTTAATTTAACTGAAAATGTAAGGTCACAGAATAAGTAAAAGTCTTGTGCCAGGGTATGCATAATTTTAGTCTTTTTTTATATATACTAATAATAATTTGTAACTACCCTGTAACGATTAATGGTATGTTATTTTATATAACGACAATATTGAGAAATTATAATAATAATAGATATTAAATATTTTTATACTTCCACAATATATTTGTATGTGAATTTTGAATAAAACATGGTAACGCCCAAAACTTTAGTCAGTTAAATAAACTTAAAAGTAAATAAGTACAAAGAAACCATAAATTAATTAAAAATTTTCACTCCATGGCAGACTTCTTTTAAAGTGTTGTGTAGCAAAGTAATTGCAATGAATAAGTATCATGAATTATTTCTGCAAACTCAACTGAGTTTTCAAATGCTATATTTGAAAACTCATGTAATCCTATTCTATCTTAACAATATGCAGCTAAACTAGACTAAAAAACTAGAGTTTCCTAGTAGTAGAATCCTGCATATTGTTAAGCCAAAAGATAATGATAAATGTTAAGTTTTTTTCTTTATGTTTGTTGGCTTCTGCCAATTTTGATTTGTGATTTCGACAATGTCACATTGGAGTTTAGTAGCTGTGTATTTTTCAATTTGCTTAGTAAGGCTTGACAATTTTGTTTGGGTTGTGATTGGTATAGAAATATTCTTTATTCAAATAAACTCAATACACACACTTTAGAATAGTCATATTTTTTATTGAAATAGAAATAATCTTTATTCAAATAAACTTAATATAAGCACTTTTGAATAGTCAAGTTTTTTTATTCTACCGCTTATTCGGAATACAGATTCATCACAAGAAGAATAAGAAAGAAACTTGTGTGTTGCTCTTTTAAATAAATATTGATTTACTTATATTTAATTATCAACAAGGATAAGGCATGGGACAATCAAAATAGAGACTGCTATGCACTTAATCTGTATTCAATCAGATAACATTGTCCGATTATTGATATTTGAATAGTATTATTGTTTCATATCTAATACTCTTGTATGTTTACAGTGATGACGTGTTACAAGAAATCAGTCAGAACATTCGTTCTATGATGAAGGAGCTGTGGCTGAATTGGTCACACTTGGGTGTGGATGATGACACCAAGTCTGAGTACATTGCTAAACTGGTGCAAATAGAGAAAGACCTTCACCGAGATGTCATCTTGGAGACCAGACAGGAGTTGAAGAACATGCAGGGTGAAGTTGACAGTTAGTAGTATCACTTAATAGTTTTTGCAATATTTTACATTATTTTTTTGAGGTAAAAGGTAGCCTATGTTTTTTTTATACTACTATGGTGGCTTATCTGATGGTAAATGGTTACCATAGCCTATGGGCGGCTGAAACACAAATGTCATGTCAATAGTCATGATGCAATCTACCTTAACATCAGGTTTTATTAAGATATGTCCAGCTATTTAGTCATTATAAGGTAACAAATAGACACTTTCAAACTTATAAATATTAGTGTGGATTATAATATAGTGGATATAAAGAAGAAAAACTTAATCATTTCATTTTATGGTAAGTTTCTGATACACAAATATAAAGTCAAATTAAAAAATTTCTGTAACATTTCTTTCAGCTATACATTACTTTATTAACATGGAGTAATGTTAGCTGAATTTTATTTTCTAATCTATACATATAAATAAAATTGGATGTCTGTGTTTTACTACATGCCTATGAATATAAATAATACATACATGAAAATAATATGTTTTACAATTTTTGTCTGTTGGTCTGTTTGTTCCGGCTAATCTCTGAAATGGCTGGACCGATTTTGATGGAACTTTTTTTTGGCAGGTAGTTGATGTAATAAGGAATAACTTGGTTAATTTTATTTTAGAAAAATAAAGTTACATTTCATGCAGATGAAGTCGAGGGAAGCTAGTAATTATATATTAAACATGAAGTTCTCTGATTAATTCTATTGGCGATGTCAAAAATATATAATAACAATATTGAATGTTTGTGTGTTATTTATTGTAACATACAGATACCCAATATTGTTAATATATTTTGTAACATATTTTTAAACTCTAGCATTCATATTCTATGTTATCAATATACATATAGTGTTAGTAATACAATTTTACCAAGCTGAAATATAATGACTAATAGTTAATATAAAATTTAAGAGATATACCTAAGAAAAAGAGTTTATATTACTATTTGCATGTTCACATTGATATTAAGTTTGTAAATGATAATAATGGTTTTGTAGGAAAAACTTTCAATTAATAGCACTGACAATATTATCTGATTACACTAAGAATTAGTGCATAACAGTTTCTATGTTGTTTATCATATTCCTCTTGTTATTGTGTAATATTTATTTAAAATAACATTAATTCAAAAGAGCAACACACAAGTTTCTTGCTCATTTTTCATGATGTGTCTGCTTTTTGAATGAGTGGTAGAGTAAAAAAATATGTCTATTCTAAAGTGCTTGTATTGAGTTTATTTGAATAAAAATTATTTCTATTTCTATTAAATCACCAACAATGAAATTCACAAGGAACTTGGCGTAATGACAGTAAAGGAGACCCTTAATTGCAAAGTACATTATAAAAAGCGACTATGTAACCACCCAAATCAACTGGCTGCTCAATTACTACAAATACTTTACCCCAAGAGACTAAAATGAAGCAACATTGTGTAATGTTTGCAGTATGCTTAAGGAGTAGATCCTCCCGCTGGGGTGGACACTCCATTCTTAGTTCCTACACCCAAAAAACCTGCTCATAGTTCTTAGACTGATTGCAGATAGGAAGAGAAAAAAAATCTATTAAATGGACAACAAGTTAAGCTTAGGTATCTGGGTACTGGAGAGTTATTAAAAAAACCTAGTATAAATATTTACATTATTACATATTTTATAACTTTCAATACAGGATTAAAGGCAGAGACAGAAGAGCTAAGCAAATGCCTTTCTGTGGACATCACAATCATGGAGCAGAAGGCCGAAGTTATGTTAGCGACTTATAAGAGAGAACTAGAGGAACAAATTGTGGGGTAAGATGAGTTATTAACTCCAGTCTCAGTCTTTGACTACTGTCCTAGCTATTTTATCGATTTAGATTTTACTTTGGTCCATTTCTTTGATGATTTCATATTGTTTAATTGAGTAACTTATGCACACTACATATTTGCGATCTCACACATCATTAGTAGGTGTACCACAAATATGAATATTTGCGTGTGCGGAAATCTGACCACGGCTACTAGAAGTCTAAAATAATTAATGTTTTTTTAAGAATAATTGTATATAAGGAATTAATAGCGTTCACATCATTTTGGTATGTTATTTTCCATTTTTCCATTTTCATAAGACATGTTTTTCAGCAGATTTTTTTTTAACATTACAGTTATAGAGAGCAAGTCGAACAACGTCGTATGAAAATGGAGAGGCTCCTTGAGTGGCAGCGTGATCTCGCTGAGAAACTTGGTGTCACTATCCAGGAATTGAAGGATGTTCCATTGCCCTCTGAAGAGGAGTTGGACAAACTTGGAGCCCACCTCGAGGTGTTGCAATCAGAGCGAGACAAGAGAGTTGAAATATTTTTAACTACACAAGTGGAGATTAAAGATATTATGGGTAAATTCTTATTTTATTATCATTGTAAAAGGACTGGTGGTGCATTAGCAGCTCCAATAATACAAATGAAGATATTATAATTACTGTAATGGCTGATTTCTTACAAGAATATAGAATTGTGTCTGATTTTGCCACCATACTACCCGAACAGAGCCGACCGCCACTTATGCATGCGTGCGGTCGGCTCTGTACGGGTTTGTCGGACACCGACAAACCCGAACAGATGGGGATCGGTCGGAGGGGCTACTTATCTGTGTAGGAACCTGCTTCGAATATAAATAAATAAATAAATTGTTTTCAGATAAACTACAAATCAAACCGCAGAACAAGTTCGAACATGTGGTCGTGAGCTCATTGTCTGTAGATTTTAAGGTGACAGACCTTAACATGGACCGCCTAGCAAAGCTCCACCAAGATCTGCAAGAGAAATATGAACAGACCAACAACAGGGTACACAATTTGTAGTTTATACTATGAGCTTTTGTTTTGTTCAAGTCACTAGTGTGTATAGTATGTGATAGAGTGGTCTTTAGAATTTTATATGTATGGCAAACAAGCTGACTGCTCACCTAATGTAAGTGGTACCATCTCTTATATACATGAACTCTACTACAACTATCACATTACCTGCCACCTCAATATCATCACTCATTAAAATTAGTTTAATGTGATTCTCTATACATATAAATATAATTGGAGTGTCTGTTTGTAATATTGAAATAACAGTTTTTCCTACATGCATATGAATATAAATACGGTACATGTACCAAAATAATATTTTTTACAATTTTTTTCTGTCTTTCTGTTTGTTCCAGCTAATCTATGAAATTACCCTGTCATGCCCCTTACCACAGGATTTCACTGCCTACTTTGCACCCTACAACTAAAACACATCATACAAAGCAAACTGTGGTACCCACACTAACTACTTTTTCAAGTCTACCTCTGGTATTGATCCATCACCCTAATAAACTTGCTTAAAGACACACCATGGAGCAATATGTGAGGCGGCTAAAATGCCATCATATCCTGCAGCTAGAAGACCGAAAATAACTCTGGATGAAGTAGAAGTTTCCAATAGGAAACCACTCTACATGACAACATCACAGAATAGATTTGCTAGTTTTGGGACTCATTGCAAATAAACTCAGAGAAAAAAAACATCTGGTATTAAATTTATTTTTTTATTCAGGTATTAGAACTCCGCGAGCGTCTTTCCAAACTATGGGATTGTCTGGAGGAAGACCAGATTTACCGGGAGAACTTCTTGCACGCCCACCCTGGGTGTCAGCCACACACAGAGGTCGCCATCAAGCAGGAGATCAAGAGATGTGATCAGATTAAGCGTCAGAAGATACAGGTATTATTTTTATTTCTTAAAAACGAACTTTGAGTAATTTTTTCTAAATAATTATAAATTACAAATTGGAGAATTTGTAACTTAAATTTTTATTCCCTCAACTTTTGAAATTGAATTGGCAAAACACATCATGCAAAAACTACAGTATAGAATAGACTATATTCATACATACATATATGTATCTGACTTAGAATAGATTCCATTTTATTTTCTGTGGAAGAAAATCAAATGGTAATGGAAAATAAAATCACCTTTGATTCTACAGTCCACTATTTAGTGCCAAGTTAACCAGAGCTCGTGTTATGAGTACTGGACGACTGATATAATACAATTCTTTTGTAATAAATTTACAAAATACATAGAAAACAATCAGATGGATACAAATCATACTCATGAATACAAATGTTTGTATCGTGCGAGGAATTGAACCGCGTCTTAAAGTAACAGTCTAATGTTTGGTTTATAGGTATTTGTGGCCAATGTTCGTACAAAGATAAAGTTGATGTGGGACAACGTGATGTATTCAACACGCGAACGGGAGGAGTTCCTGCACTACTTCCAAGATATATTCACGGAGGACACACTCACTCTGCACGAGCTGTACCTTGAGAAGATTACTAAATACTACAATGATAACAAGTGAGTTTTTTGTTTTGCTTGTGGGAAGTCCGCCACGGAGGCCAACCCTCTCCTGGAGTAATCTTATTAATATTATAAATTCGAAAGTTTGTGAGTATGGATGGACGTTTGTTACTCTTTCACGCAAAAACTATTGAACGAATTTTGATCCATATTATCAATTAACAAAATACTGTAATTTAATAATGTTTGCGCAGTCTACATATAACAGAAAATATTTTCAGGCACATCTTTGAGCTGGTGATGACTCGCAAGAATCTTTGGCTGAAGATGACAGAACTGGAGGCGCGGGCGTCTGAGCCGGGACGATATCATAACCGCGGCGGGCAGCTCCTCAAAGAAGAGAAGGAGAGGAAGACCATCGCTAACAATGTCAGTATTATAAATACTAGCCCTGCTTCTCACGGGTGTGCCATGCATTACATTCCTTTCTAATCACTCTGTCTATTGCTGAAAACTGCATTAAAATCAGCTGCGCAGTTTAAAAGATATAAGCGAACAGACAGCGGAAACAATTTCATTTTATATTATTTAAAGATAGTACATGTATTATATACCTATTATATATATAGTACATATATTATATAAACATTCCTCTTGAATCACTATCTATTGTTAAAAATTGTATTAAAATCCATTGTGTTATTTAAAAGAAGTAAGTGAACAGACAGCAGACGTGACTTTATTTTATACTATGTAAAGAAATGTTCTTTGATCCCTGTGGTCTAGAAGGAAAATAAGGGAGCGTGCTAGTTTTTAACACACTCCCTTATTTCTTTTTTTTTGTTCTAAGTCTATACTTCCAAGCTAGAGCAGTCGACTTTAAATTTTATCATTTAATTCAGGATTACAAAACCAAAATATATTTTAACCATCACAAGGTATAGATTATTTCGATATTTTTAAATGTCTATAATTATGAAATACATAAGAGTAGTCTTTTTACTTTTTTGTGAGTAAATTTTTCTGATAATTGTCTTGACTTAGCTTGTTACTCGGTTCTGGCTTGTCTTCGACTTCTAGAACAACCTTTTGAATTGGTTTGGAATTGGTATTTGTAACGTAACTCCTAGTTAGCTAATATTTTTCTCTTCTATGTATTGGATTGAAAAAAAATTTTGGTAATAGTTAGCTAATATTTTTCTCGTCTATGTGTTGAATTGAAAAAAAACCTTGGTATTAGTTAGCTAATATTTTCCTCTTCTATGTGTTGGATTGAAAAAAAAACCTTGGTAATAGTTAGCTAATATTTTCCTCTTCTATGTGTTGGATTGAAAAAAAAACCTTGGTAATAGTTAGCTAATATTTTTCTCTTGTATGTGTTGGATTGAAAAAAACTTTGGTAATAGTTAGCTAATATTTTCCTCTTCTATGTGTTGGATTGAAAAAAAAACCTTGGTAATAGTTAGCTAATATTTTCCTCTTCTATGTGTTGGATTGAAAAAAAAACCTTGGTAATAGTTAGCTAATATTTTCCTCTTCTATGTGTTGGATTGAAAAAAAAACCTTGGTAATAGTTAGCTAATATTTTTCTCTTCTATGTGTGGGATTGAAAAAATTATATGTATTGTTTACAGTTGCCGAAGATTGAAGCACAGCTGCGAGAACTGGTGGCGCAATACGAGGCGGACACTGGCAATGTATTTACAATTGAGGGCAAACCACTGTTGCAACTTATTGAGGAGGAATGGAAAACCAGAAAAGCGGTGAGTTGATAGTTTATTGACATTTTTTCTGCTCTTATCACTACGACTGATTTAATCTTATTGTATATTTATATTTGACCCAAAAAATTAGTTCTGGTTGGTAGTTTGTATTCACACGTTTCGACTTGTAAATGTAAACTTACAAGGATTATTTAAAAGAGCAAGAAACACACAAGTATCTTGCTCGTTCTTTTTGGGATGAGACAACTTTCCGAACGAGTGGTAGATAAAAAACAAATTGTTATGACTATTCAAAAGTGCTTCAATTAAGTTTATTTGAATAAATGATTTTCTATTCTATTTTTGTATTAACAAAATTTATGAGCACAGATATTTATTTGTTAAAGTCACATCATAAAATCAATCAAAACGATTTTTTTGCGATGTGTGAAATTTCACGTCAATAAAGGAGTGTAGAATGCTAATATATTTTTTTAATTATTTAAAACAGTTAATGAAAGAACCATTAAACACTATCATGTATTTGACATGCACACACATATATTTTGTTTATCAGTCTGTGGGTCAAATTGAGAATAGATTAATATTGTTTGTGTTTAATATTATTTGTGAATGATTTCTTGTGAACTTACTGAATGTTAAATTAATTATAGTTGAATTCTGAGCACTGGGCTACCACTAGTAATTTAAATAATGTATAATGAGAGTAATGGTTTCTTTTCCCGGACTACTCTAATGTATTTCGCCGCAGCTGGCCTCTACAGCTTCTAAATCTACGGAAAGACTCAGCAGACTTTTGCCTGAAGGATACGACTTTAGTCTGAAAACACTGCTAGAGGTTCGAACCTCGGCTCACGCTGTAATATCGATCCCTGCTTGAATTGGTCGGAGGAGCCATCGGGGGCGTCGGTGTGATGTGTAGTGTGTAAATGATGGTGTTATTCGACAGGAGCGGCATAACAAAGTGTCTGCTCGGCGCGCGGTGGCGGCGCAGACTCCGACCACGCCGCTGCTGCGGTCGCTGGCCACCTCCCCGCTCGGGAAGAGAGACCGCACCGCCGCTGGGTTCTCCACCGCCGACAGGCACAGGTAACTACACCACAACACTTAACATTCACTACTTTATGGATGTAGCTCGCAATAGGTACAGGTACCCTACTAAGCTTATCATTGACTACCTTACGGATATAGCTCACAACCGGTACAGCTACCCTACTACTTGTCGACGCCGTGACACTAATATTCACTACCTTACTGATATAGTCCGCAACTAGTACAGGTAACCTACCTACACCACAACACTAGCATTGAGTACCTTACATATATGTCTCACAACTGGTACAGCTACCCTACTATAAAGCGCATCACCGGCACGGTCTACTACTCATCACTGCTATACATACTCTATCCCTATCCCCATATATACAACTTACCACCTGTACACTAAATAATGTCGTAATAAATTTGAACGGTCGAATTGTAGGCTCCCATCGAAGCGCCAGCTGATCACCGGCAGTGCTACCAAAGCGGTCACAACTATCGGCAACAATCTGTCAGCACTCAAGAGATCAGCCATATCTACTGTTAAAAGGTAAATTATAATGTATGTAATAGATAAATTATTCCATGTTACGCACCGTTCAAGTATTACGTAAGCACTATGGGGGATGGGGAGATCTTTACTTTGCTTATTTTGGATGATATGGGGGGTAGGAGAGTATATGATACAGTAATGATGATTATGTCATCGATAGGCATTTACTTTTTTACCCGAAATGCAACCCTCACATTGTCTTTGCTAAAAAAACAATTCATTCATTGAAAAATGTTTACGTAAGCATGGGGGGGGGAGGTAAGAGCTTTGCTTACTTTTGCTGACAAGGGGTTGGGGGGGGGGGGGGGGTAAATAATAGTAATAAATCTGCTTTCGCAATACTTGAAAGGCCCCTTATGGATAATAATAGAATGGTGCATCTGTCTGCTGTAACGGTTTACGCTGGCGGGGCACCACTGATAAGATAACTATGTAGTCAGCTCTGCCTGCCCATCGTGGCGCGGGCAATGTGTAAAATCAACTTGGTGAATGTACCCTACATTTAAAGAAAAAAGCCTATTTGTTCTCATTACTTACAAATTTTTTGTGCCTTATATTGATTAATAAAATAAACATTGTATGAATGTTGTGGTTGAAGAAATATTAGCAATAAATTAATCTCTCAATTATTGTTATTATTATTATAAAAAAATAATTTTGCTTTAAAAGTACTTACTTGATTTTAAGAATTGATTAACACATAGAAAGCTACTATATTACCAAGTGAAAAGGTTTATATTACTTAAAAATGGAGATAACACCAATATATGTTCGTGTGAAGATGGATCAAAGAACTAGAGATCCCATACTTTTCTATGTAGTTCTAGAAACATTGTACATTCCTTTATTTCAGTGCTCGTTTGTGATATGAAGCGAGAAATATTGAAACAAAGCCGAGGCAAGTTTGCTTATGTAATAAACTTAGTGAATCATTATCCCAAGTTATTGATGACAATTTATTCGGCCAATTTCACTCCGGTATCACGTATCTTTGAAATAGTAATAGAATTACTAAAATCGTTGCAGTGGTACGGGAGTTCATTTCCCACAGGATACAATTTATTAGATTTTTCTTTCTTTATAATATAAATGAATGAAAACAGGATTGAGTTATTCAATAGTTATCAATTGTTATAGGCGAATAAGCGGACGTTTGGCGGCTCGAGTAGTGGCGGAAGGTAAAGTGGATCACTCCAAGAGGAAACTGGACTTTGGAGATTTGAAGAAAACTCCTAAAGTCAACGGCAGCATACTGAAACATAAGCGCACTGTAAGTTGTCTATAATAGATTTTTTCATTTAGTAATGTATCAACAACTTACGCATTAAAACTCATAATTTTATAGACTCAGTTACAATAAAACTTGTACAAATGAATTATTATTAATTCTATGCGCAGATATCACTTGATAACAGTATACTTGCAAGTAAATAATATCATTTTTTTTTATCTTCATTCATGTAGGTCTATTACAGACTCTTATGATATGTCAAATCTACCGTCAGTTCGGAATGATATCGAGATGAGAAGAACTGACAAGAAACTCAGCTCGTATTTTTTTCAAATAATAGTGGATTGTGGATTTACATATAATATAATATCTCTGGACAATCCCACAGCGCCATCTATTTATTTATACCATCGGATCGAACGGCGGTCTAGCGTTTTTAGCACACCGCCTTATGACTTCCTATGTTCGCGATTTCGATTCCTCAAACATTTGTATTCATGAGTATAACTATTTGTATCGGTCTGGGAGTTTTCTATGTATAATATTTATACATTTACGATAAAAATTATGTATTTGTATCAGTTATCTAAGACCATACTTAAGATATATATTGGAATTTCACTACCAAATCTCGACCTTCAGACCGGAATAAGACTTACAAAGCAATTTAGAAATTGAGAGATTGATACTACCTACGCATACAATTTTGTACAAAACGTAACTCCATGAATACATGACTAAGTAGTCAATAGTATGTTTGTATTTTATTTAAGTATGTGGTAAAAATAAAACGATTTACAGTCAGGTGGAAAGCGTCGCAGCGCGGGCCGACGTTCGATGAACGGTACGTCTAACTCGGGCTCCACGGTCGCCTCGCGAGACGACGCAGAACGACCCAAGGACCCCCTCATGGAGACCACCATGCTCACCACCTACACAGACTTCAAGGTGAGACAAATTTACTAAAAACTTGTATCCTGCGATTACATCTGCATGAAATACGATACACAATGTACTATGTTCTAATGTATAATATTAATTATCTGAAATATAAACAAATATTTCATACTCAGAAGGCCTCGGTGATCTAACAGTTAAGCATACCGCTTTGTTTACAATGATCGCAGGTTCCGTTCCTCGTACGCTATAAATATTTGTATTCATGAGTATGATTGTTTGTGTCGACCTGGGTGTTATCTATGTATTTACAAGAAAAATGTATCTATAATTTTATATCAGTTGTTTAGTACCCAAAACAAGCTGTGCTTAACGTGAGATTATATGGCGGTGTGTGAATTGTCCAGAGATACTTTTATACTAAAACCTTTATACATACACATTGTACCAGAATGAGGCATCAATTTTCTAAGTAATTACTATAACTTTGTCTGCTTGAGACACAATAGTTTCATGTTTCTCATGGATATCAAAATCACGTAACATTATTCTTTTTTCTAGGAGGGCATAAACGAACGGCAAATAAGCCGTAGTTCGATGGCTACAGCCACCGGCCAACTCAACATGATCCCACCGACCATAGTCTGCACCACTATCGAGGAGAAAAATACGCCGACCACCCCAAAAAAAACTCCGCGAACGAAAACACCCCTCACGCCAAAAGTGGGTAAAGAGAACATACAACACCTCAATCCAGCTATTACACCCAAGAACAATTTACTCAATACACCATCCAGACTCACTCGGTCGGCTCTCAAACTCAATAACGGTGGTTTCGCGACCCCACGAACACCTCTTAATGCCAACAAAATTAATTTGCAACGTCAAAATACGGGTACATCTCTAGCTCTCAAAACTACACCTAACGCACTCAGCCGGTCCCAATCGCACACGCATTTAGTACGAGCGAAAAATTTACCGCCTCTCATATAAATATAATTTAATCTATATATACACACATTTCAATATTCTATGTTTGATTCGCGGAACTGTTTTATATTTGATTCAGAATTAATTTTGAATCATTCTGTGCTAGAATTAGGCTTGCAACACTTGCTTGTTAGTAGTCGTTATTCGTCTGCTTTTATTATATTCTACAGAATAAGAAATAGCTCTGTAATATATTTTGTTATAGTAAGTAATAAATTAATAAAATAATCGATCCCCTCTCCAATAGATCCCCCGTCCAATTCAAACGGGGATCGAAATTACGACGATCTGAGCCGAGGTTCGAACCTAGCGGTGCCCTCAGACTAAAGTTGTATCCTTCAGGCGGGAGTTGGCCCTCATCTGCTCAATTAGTACTTTCGCAGGTTTAGTGCGCCATCTGCACTCGCCTGCACCCTATGGTACGGTGAAGTTGTAAAGCCCAGCTGCAGCAAACAGCATTAGAGTATTCCAAAAATAAAAACTCCGTCCGAACACTTTTGCCTAATATTCAGATATTCGGTCAGGCAGCTCGCTGAGTAATCGGTATTCGGCGTATGGCAGAATATACTACTCGTTGCAAACCTAGTATGAATCTAATTATGATTTTACAAGTATAAAATTGAAATGTGTGTAATTTGTGATATAATTTAATGACAATAATAGTAATATAGATTTTCTTTTATTGATTATCAATTGTAAATGAGCGCTTGACAATTTTATATTAATTTTAATTCAGTCTTTTAGAAATTGCATTATTCTTCTCGTTCATAAATACGAGGATGGTTGTCTCTAACTATGCTGTGTAGAGCATATCTATTTTCGCCGAATGGTCTCGATAGTAGAATTTTATGAATCCTCTCTAATGTACCCGCTATAGTTCAGCATATTATTAATTCCTTCGTCAACAGTTGTTGTAGTTCTTAACAATTATTTCATCATAGCTAGATATGTGGGTATAATTGAAGACTTAACTACAATGATTGATCAAATTGAATCGATGTCAAATGATACTATCATCATAAGGTATGATGAAACGAACTTCATTTTACATATATATTAATTAAATATATATAATTAAAAATGTACGATTCGATAACAGGACAAATAAAATTGAATATAAAACATGTTATCTATTCGATACAAAATTATATTATGATACGAGATAAATACAAAAATATTATAATATAAAACTTATCTATGGTTTGTTCGGCGAGAATAGGTATGCTTTCATTTAAAAAATCATTAATATGTAAATAATATTCGTTACTTTGCTACATATAACTGGCTTCAACTTTTTTTTTATATTTTTTTTTAGCTCGTCTGTGTGTGTGTGGGCCGTGATTTATATTTTGTCTTCTATAGAATATGTAGAGCGGAACGATAGATTTATGTTGACATTAAGATGTGTTTTTGTTTTTTATACTATTTTTTTTATTCGCAATTAATATTTTCCGAATCGTTATTGTACATTTGAATTTCTCGTTTGTGGTGTATTTTTATAGGATCTGAACTGTTTATAGATTATGTTATTATTTAATAGTATTTTGATTAATTCTTAGTTTCTAAGTCCGATTTTAAATTAGTTTTTAATAATATTTTAACATAATTATGCTGACTTTTTATTTCTGAATGACTATAAGTGTTAAAAACAACGTTAGTCGTGAAGGGTTGCCAACCTAAAGCAGTTAGCCTCTTACATTATTAAAAAAATGTGATTAAATCTTGTACATTAACTCAATTTGGCTCTTTATTCTCGTACATCATAAAAGAACCACGTTGATCGTGAAACAGTACTATAATAATAAAACTATAAATCACCGGCGACCCTTTGTAATAACTTGTATATAAGGCAGCTAACAATATTCTCGTTCTTACATATGTACTTAATGAAACAGTATTCTCATAGCGCTCTACAGTTTGTGGAATAAATTTACTGAGACCGTAAAATAAAATCTAGTGTTAATTCTTTTCCTAATATAAATTATAGTTGTAATTATATTTCAATAGTTTAACAGTGTTGTTTTTTTTTTATTTAAGTGGACACGACTCAGTTGTCCTGATATCCACTCCATTCTGGGTCACCCGAAGATCCTTACGGATCGCTGGGTACGGGCCCCTTGCTTACGTTCCTTGCCCGGGCTTATACTGCTGGGGTGAACCATCCTAGAGTCATTCATTTACGCCAATTACGATGAAGCAGGCTATTTTTAAGTATCTGGCTGAGGGAGTTGTAAGGATGGTGATGATGCAGCCTGATGGCCCCGTTACAATTACGTGATCACCCAGTGGAGAGTAAGTCGCCGGATCTGTTAGTGTGAATACCACGGATGTCCCAATATTTTTAGCAACGCTGTGGTACTCTAAATGCGTTGTCTCAGAACTAAAGAAGTGTGTAACAAATTTACTCTCATTATTATATTAATATAGAAGCTGTTACTCGCTGCTTCTTTTTTGGATGTACGATAAACGATAATTTAACTTCACATTAAATTTCGTAAAAATATCAGTTTTTTAGTCCCCTCCGATCGATTCCCCGTCCTGTGTAAATTCCGCGTCATATTGTAAGATCAAAATTACCATGTAGCAGGCAAATAAATAAATTATTATTATTTTACAAAAATTCTCATCTTTCTTAAGGAGAGCAGATGGCAACTTACCCCCGGCAGAAGCACAGCCGGCCGGGGTTCAGAGCCCTTATTATTATTATTATGACAGTAGTAACATCGAGAGTAAACACACACTGCAGGGTTGGAACTTGTGTAATTCATTCTTACATGTAGGAATGAATTACACAAGTTCTAAGTCTAATCTACGTTAGAGTAGTTACTCTAACTTATATTACTCTTACACACTCTTACTTAGGACTATATATACTAAACACTTATGTGTATTATGTGACATTAGATAAAGGACTTGTCTAACGTACACTGATACATTCCATTTGTCAGTGTACGTTGTGTAGAATACGTACAATGTGACTTCATCATCATCATCGCAGCCCGGAAGACGTCCACTGCTGGACATAGGCCTCCCCCAAAGATCTTCACGACGATCGGTCCAGCGCTTATGCCTACAATGTGACTTACATTGTACATATTCTACTACCATATCACAGTCCAATTTAAACGGGGATTGAAATTACGAAAGCCCGATCCGAGGTTTGAAACCCTAGTGGTGATCAGACTAAACACGTATCCGTCAGGCAGGAGTTAGACTTCAGCCGCTTCAAAAGTCATTACGCGGATTTGGAGTGCCATTTGCACTCGCCCCCTATCGTCCGGGGAACCTGTAAAGGCCAGTTGCGGCCATAGAGTAGTCCGAAAAAAAGTCGTTCAGTCATATAAACAATCCAGATTAATATTATAAGCATTTAGCTTATAATATGGATTGAGTTACGTTATAATATTAATAAATAATAAATAGTTATATTAGTATGGATTTGACTGTTTTAGTCAATAATTAAAAAATGGTCATACTTTTATATATTATCCACTGATACTGGTAGAAATAAAAACAAACGATTATATTAACTTATATTGTAATCAGATTAATAAACATATTTCTTAAGTTTCTATTATAATACAATGCTGTTTGTATTAAATTTCTCCCTCGACTCCATCCAAGCTATTAACATCCATTGCTTTAAGCAGATTAATTACCCGATCAAACAGAAGTGTTTTAGCGTTGATGCCCCATATGAAATCTAAATGTCCAAACGTTGATAATGGAATCCTGAATTTCCCAGCTGGTCTACCAAGCTCCTTGAACAACCTATCAACGTCATTAACATGAGCCATGGGGTCATTGTCTGCATAGTGCAGAAATACCGGTGTTGTGATTTTAGAGAGGTCGTATTCTGGTGGACTGCGGGTGCCGTATAACCGCCTGTTGGCCCTCATGCTGCCCTGGTCGTAGCGCCGGAAACGCTTACTGGCGATCCCTTGAGCGTAGTGGACGAACTGCCTCACAGCCGCACCAGCTGGAGTGTGGCCCATTTTAACAGGAATCATAGTCTGCAAATTACAAAAAATCGAAATTTAAAATTCAAAATATCTTTATTCATGTAGGTCTATTACAGACTCTTTTGATATGTCAAATCTACCGTCAGTTCGGAATGATTTCGAGATGAGAAGAAATGTCAAGAACCTCAGATCAACAAATCATATATGAATGTAAATAACACGGCCTCGATGGTCGCGGGTTCGATTCCTCGCACGGGTCAAATATTTGTATCCATGAGTATGATTGTTTGTATCAGTCTGGGTGTTTTCTTTGTATTATATATGTTATTAACAAAAATATTTTTATAAGTAGTACCCATTTATAGTGATTATAATAATAAATAAATATATCATCACCAATGTTATTCTACATGGGGTAGTCAGAGGTATTGTCAACTGACGTCGTGGTAAAGATTAAATTGTAACAATTTTTTTTACTTTCGGCCAGATTAAAATTCAGTTCTGTTTTTACGCTCTCAATTTCAAACATTATTGTGTCTATGTCAGTATTGCCATTATGAAAAAGTATTATAAACCCGTTTTATAACACGCATCTAAAGGTTTACATAATATGTTCTCAATATCAAAAACTAAGCCAAGCAAAAACAACCTACATGGAAAGGACAAACAGTAAAGTTATTCCAGAGGAATAAGGTTTCACCTGTCGTACCCAGTAATTTCACTGCCATATGATATATATACTCAGGGTTAAGGGCAGAGGAAGACCGAAAAAGAGATAGATGGACTGTGTGAAAGCTGAAATGGTAAGAAAGGGAGTAAATAACGACTGTTAAGAGCAGAGGAAGACCGAAAAAGAGATAGATGTACTATGTGAAAGCTGATATGGTAAGAAAGGGAGTAAATAACGACTGTGAACAGGGTTGAATGAAAGAGAAAAACATATTACGCCAACCCCAAATAAATGGGATAAGGAAGAAGCAGATGATGATGGTATACATACTCACGCAGCCAACTGAGCAGCCTCTCTTAGTGCTTATTGTTAGTATATTCGCCGTAATTATTACTAAGTCTCCTGTATTACTGGTATTAAAAGGGTCATATTATTTATGGTTATATATACACTTACAGCATTCTGTTCCGATACACTCCATCCACCTATCAGGTATAAAATATTGCTGCACACAGGCTGGAATAGCGCTTCGTCCATACACAAAGCCTGTCCAGCCCAGGTCATAATGTTAGTGTTAGGCATGAATTCTCCAAGTCCGAATACAGATGCTACTTTCTGTAACCAAATTATTAGCGCCTTTACACGTACGCTCTATCACGGAGAATGTACCTTAATTGTAATACCTTGTGGTGTTACAATATCGAAGTTCTCATATGGATAACCCTAACATTTTTGGAAATAGTCTATCGCCTGTTTATCAGGGATAATGTAGGATTATAATAATAAAACTATTTTTTATATCGTACCAGTAGTTTTGGAGCCTAATCAATATTAACAAACAATCAAATATATCTATCTAAGTATAGATGTGAACGAACATAGGCTATTATCGTAAAAATGATCTAGAAAAGTGAAATAGTAGATAAAAATATAGTTTAAATCACGAATAACAGGAACACCTAATACAAAACATTTACAATTACTACAATTATCGATTCATAATTCTTAAAGTAAGTGTTTTATTACTTTTATTTATTGTAAAATTTATATTATTTGATTCGTCTAAATCTACCTATAATCTTTATTCTGTTTGCCAAATTTTGTTTTTACTTTTGCTTAATCACTGAAAATCTGTTATCGGCTTTCTCTAGAAATATACTGTTGTTTTAATGGCTTGGATTGTAAGCTGTTGGTTTTCTAATAAATAATGAAAATAGGTTACTAAACTCTGAAATATGACTTACCTCAAGACTAGTGGCAAATGGGGATATCATTAACAAAAGAGGATTCCTGTTGCTAGCCATAAAAGCATTCGGGGCAAACGCATGCATAGATATAATCTTGTCATTATATTCCGGGCGTAGAGCTCCTAACACGAAGAATGTTGTGGTACCCTGAGAGTGGCCGATATAGTGGAGTTTACTGCGTCCAGTGTGAGCGAGCGCATAGTCAATCATAGCTGGCAGATCAATGTTTCCTATCTCGTCCCATGAGAACTTCCAGAATCTATTGCTTAATATCGAATCCGGGTTGAAGCGAACATGTTTACGAGAATAATAGTTGCCACGAGCATTACCCAACCAGACATCGTAACCTTCTTCGGCGAGAATGTAAGCTGTGAAAGAAATGTAATGTTTATAACATGTCGTCCGTGCGACGGCCTAGCGGTTTAACACACCGCTTTACTTCTGATGGCCTAAGGCAAAGGGGCGATATCCCCTCCGATCGATCCCCCGTCCAATTCAAATGGGCATTGATATTACGTCGGCCTGAGTTGAGGTTCGAACCCCTAACGGTGTCCTTAGACTAAAGTCGTCAGGCGGAAGTTAGCCTTCAGCCGCTCCATAAATCCTTTCGCGGGTTTGGAGTGCCATCAGCACTCGCCCCTTATCCCCTGTCCAGTGAAGCTGTAAAGTCCAGCTGAAACCAACAGCATTAGAGTAGTCCGAGAAAAAAGAAGGGAGGGAGAACATAATTTGACAAATGGTGTTCTAAATTTCTTGACGTCACATTTCAAAAGCACGCCGCCTTACTTCTAATGATCGCAGGTTTGATTTCTCGCACGGTGAAAACATTTGTATCCATGAGTAGGATTATTCATATCGCTCTGGGTGTAATCTATATATAATATGTAAATACGTACAAAAAAAATGTTTATTAGTGCCTGTTGTCTAGTGCGTATAAAACAAGCTCTGCTTATCTGTGATGTCGCTGTGTGATTACCGTGAGGCACTATGTTATTATTATATGCCGGAAAACTGTTACTTACCATTATCATATCCTGTCATTTCATTGCCTTATTCACCTTTCAATCGAAACTACAAAGCAAGCTGCGTGATAACTAAACCATATGACGAGTGTGTACCCACAGATACGAAGTTTTTTTATTATCTTACCAAATCCGGAACCTGGTCCCATAAGAATCCAGTCAGCTGACGACGAGAGAAGACCGTGCATCAGAAACACTATGGGTTTATTTGGATCTGGCACGTTGTTACTGTCACGACCGTGTGGTATCCGATGTAACCCCAATATGTAGCCATCCTCCGTGGTCACACTGTGAGTTTCGATCGGATAGTTATATTTCCTTACTAGACCTTCCTGAAATTATACTTCTCTTTTATTAAGGGTGTTACCTCAGCTAGATAAAGCGACGTAGATTTGAATCCCCCGTTCAATTCAAACGGCGATCGAAATTACGACGACCTGAGTCGCGGTTCGGACACCTGAGTAGCGGTGACTGGACTAAAATCGTATCCATCAGGCAGGAGTTGGTCTTTAACCGCTTCATAAGTCTTTCCACAGATTTGGAGTGTAATCTACACTCGCCCCTAACGTTCTGTTTTCGTACAGCTGCATGTTGCCAATAGTATTAGAATAGTTAAAAAAACATTTGAAATGTTTTTGAATCTTCAAATACGAGGATTGGTACAGTAAAGGGTTCAACTAAATTTTAAATTGATAGATAAACTTACCACGTCTAAGTTTGCGTCTTCAATGATATTGTCAGAAAATCTACCATTATTTTGTGCAAATTTATACAAATTTTCAATATCTTCAGTATTTGGAGTTTCACTAACTGCTGTAGCTGTCCCCGCAAATAAACACAAAAGCGTTACTCGCCACATTTTGGTCAGATTTCTGAATAACATCATCTACATCTAACAGTTACCTTTATAGCTTCTATATTCATTGATAAAGTATTAATTTGATAATGAAACCTATGTTTACCGTGTGAGATAATCCGTGTTTTTGTCAATGGATATGATATCTTTAGAGTACAGATATACAAATGAATGGCCAATTAGTCAGATTAGACTCCGTTATTCAAATTTTTACAATATAAATTTATAATACAACGTCATATAAATTTATACTGCAATATCAGATATATCTGATATTACAACTCAGAAATTAAAATACCCTGAGTATAGTTATACAACTGACCAATTAGTATGATAAAACTTTGTTTTTATAATTTTTACAATATTTTATAATGCACCTATACATATATCTGATATTACAACTCAGAAATTAAAATACTTTCCTAAACCTAGATGAATTATAAGAGTAGACGTTGGGAGAACAAATGAATATACTGGAGTTCGTATATAAACTGCATTTATTACTATAGTTAACACATTATATTTGGTACTACATAATGTTAGTCCTATACCAATTTCCCAGTTACTTTGTTACCTTGAAACATTGTATAATCTGTTGTATAACTTATAACAATTTGGTTAAAATGTTTGTGTATTTGTCACGGCATGACTTCTAGTAACTAAATATTTGCAAACTACAGGTTGAATGCAACTTATGTACGCTTGGTTATCTTTTTTTATCCGAATAAAATAACCTAAATTTATTTTTTTCGGACTTCTCTAATGCTATTGGCCGCATCTGGCCTTTACAGTTTCACCACACGATAGGGGGCGAGTGCGGATGGCAATCCAAACCCGCGAAAGGACTTATGGAGCGGCCGAAGGCCAACTCCCGCCTGACGGATACGACTTTAGTCTGAAGTGACCGCTAGGGGTTCTAACCTTAGCCCGTCGTAATTTCGATCCCCGCTTGAATTGGACGGGGGATCGATTGGAGGGGAATTTTATACTTTGGATGAAACATTTGCAGATATAAAACAACTTGTATACTTTGTAACCCCAACTGTCAAATAATTAAAAATTAAATAATTCATTATCATAAGTCATAATTAATTAATAATTAAACATAATTGGAAAATTGATAGTTAGCAAATACGAAGCCAGATGTACGTTTCGTTACCTTAATCCTCACATGCTCATAAATAATCGCAAACATGTCAATTGTGATCACATAATTTAAGTCCTTGATGATTCAATTCATGGTAGGTATGTTATTAGTTATTATGATCTGTTTTTAACGTGTAATCCCCATTTAATCTGATTGATTTTGATTAATTTGTTTATTCCTGTACGGTAATCTAATTATCTACGATGTTTTTTGTTTTGTATCGGTTCAGAATTGGTGAGATTAGTTTAACGATATCTATTTAGGAAGTACAAATATATTTCTAATATTTCAACCAAATAATTTCATGAAATTTTTATTTAATTAATATTGTTTTTTTTATAAACTTATTTTATATGGTAATTTTAGATTATCAATATGTACTTATTTCCACATTGTAATTTCTTTACAGTTAGTCACTTTTATAAGTTTAGAATCCACACTTTTAGGATTAGGTTTTTATTTGGACCCTTTGGATATATATCAACGCCTCACCGCCCTCCCCCCCCCCTCCCTCCACAGATACTTTCATGGCCTAATAGATCAATTTAATATTAATATTAAAAGTGTTTATTTGGCTGTATAATTTTAAAATGTCCATATTTTTCGACTTCGACGTTGGACCCACTGGTAGAAGGTTTAGAAGGGCGGTAGACGGCGATAAGTATGATATAGAACTCTTTTGGAAACGGGAACAAACTGAGCCGCTGTTTGGTCCTATCGATATAGCTGAATTAATGTAAGTTAATAATTTATTTTTAAAACTTGAAACTGAAACTTTATCAGCAATATTTTTTATGTAATTGGAAATGAGCTGACGGTCCACTTAATGGTAAATGGTATCATGGACCCTCGGCGTCGTCTATATACAGGAACAGCACTTCGTACAGCACAGTATCGCTCTGCCCTACAACCGAAACAAACAGCTTACTAAAGCTAGCTGCTTGGCGGTACAAATGGTTCGTTCAGAGGCGGTACACGTGTCAAAGGGTGTAGATTCAATAACGGTCGGAATTTGATCACCATGGAGAAGGTCGTAACGCTTGCTGTGATTAGGTTTCCGCACCAAATATTTGTGGTCTCACGCATGCTAATGGACGTACAATTAAACAAAATAATATATATCTATCTAGTAAGGAAATGGACTTCTGCAGAATAACACCTAATACGATAAAATATATAAAAACGGTGTGTTGAAAAGGGAAATAAGAATTATGAAGATTCTTTTTCTTCTTTTAAATGTTACAGTGAATTATCAGCTTTATCTATATGCATGATAAACGAGAATAAAGATGTGGTGGGAATCATGGTATTGTCCGATCACCCCAACGTTGCGGCCGTTGATCCCGCAGATTGGGAACTCTGGATCAGAAACATGTTCAAGTAAGTTATTTAATTTATATTATTTTCGAATTATAGTTTATTCTTCACCTACAACGGCCGTAAATAGTGGTAATATTGGAATAGTGGGGGTGAAATAGAAGCGAGATTACTATGAGAAACCTGCCCTTATTTCGCTACACACGAGTACAGTGGACCCCCGGTAGTCCGACAATCATTTTGCAGGGCAGTGTCGGACTATCGAATTTGTCGGATTATAGAGTACTGCCTAAGACCCCTTATAGTCCGATTTTTTTTACAAAAGAGTACCTTGTAATCCGACAAATTATAGATCCAATGATGATTCTTTATATTATATACATATACAGTGGACCCCCGGTTATCCGACAAACGTTTTGCAGGGCAGTGTCGGACCATCGTATTTGTCGGATTATAGAGTGCTGCTTAAGGGTCCTCTGCTTATAGTCCGGAATTATTTACAAAAGAGTATCTTGTAATCCGACAAATTACAGATCCAGTGATAAGATTCTATGTTATATATGTATGTATGTATATGCACTCTGAGGTATATTGTCAAAGTAATATTCAATAACAAATAATAGACAATGTCGGATTACAAGGGGGGCCGGATTACCGCGGGTCCACTGTATTAGGAAAATGCGCACAACTTATCTGCTATTTACTAATAATGTGATTCTAGTTTCCATTACTAACAATCTCCTTCCCCTCATTAGGTTGTATATTTATACTTTTTTTTTAAACTATTGTAATGCTGTTGGCCTCAGCTGACTTTTACAGTTTCACCGAAAGGTAGGGGCGAGTGCAGATGAAACTTGGAATGATTTGGTTTGAGTGGATTGGAGTGGCCGAAACCAGCTCCTGCCTGACGGATACGACTCTAGACGTATCCGCTAGAGTTACGAAGCCATGCTCGAGCCGTCGTAATTTCGATCCCCGTCAATTGGACAATTCAATCTATAAATTGCTTACTATTTTATATGTTTCTAGCCGTTACTACCTGTCTCGAAATACACTTTTCGTACACTTCATGTGTTGTACGGATGACGTAATAGACTACTTCGTTGACGAGGCATTTGTGTCCATATTTGATAATGATGCATATTTGAAGCATATAGTGCTCCTTGTACCTACAACGTGCCCACAAGGTAATTAACATCTTAATAGTATTTAAATAAGTACAAATACAGCATGATAGGTATTACTATCCTATTTGGAGTGTTTAACGAAGTTAATAATTCGAGTGATCATTAGCAACAACTCTAAGATATCCAATAATAAATCTCGTTATTCACTCCCTTTCTTGCTATATTAACTTTTACCTTCTTCTATTATTACAACCAACCACATTCATATTTTAGAGATGTATTTATTGCAGATAAATATTTGAAATATCCGATTTTTAAGAAACGTTCCATATACAAATATGCCGCCAAAATATGCTGTGACAGCGAAAATACACAGTATCTATTAACTGCTGTACGACAGGAGTTCTGTCCCAAATTGAAGATAAGGCGAGCAGTGTACGTATAAATAATATATTTTTTTAATTAGTACATTTTTAATTAAGTAGGGATCTACTGACTCTTACTCAGGACAATGCACACCACGCCATGTAATCCACCGTAAGCAGAGCATGTGTTATGGGTACTAGACAACTGATACAAAGACGTTATTAAGTGTATATATTAAATGTGGCCTGATTGTTTATACGACAATCGTCCATGGAAATAATTGTTCATGCACGAGATTTTCATTTAATCATATTTTATTTAATAAAAGATCTGTTTGTTATATCTACAAGAATAATTAAGCAATTTTTTATATCTAGACTATTATTTTTATAATAGTGAAGAAGATAATGATGATATTGTCGATATTCTAGACAAGAGTTGTCCGAAATTGAAGGAGTTGTATGGTGAATACTACATAAGCGAAATAATAGGCAGACATCCAGAAATGAACAGAAAAATTATTGTTGTTGAGGTGATATATCGCAATTTCTACCTATAAATTAGGTTACGTGACTTTTTTTTTAATTATTTTTATATCCTCAAATAGTGGCATGCAATTATAAAACTTTTACCTAATTTTCGTGTTTGTTCATTGCTCAATTGGGTGTATATTATTAATAATACTGCAGATGTATAATATATGACTCTTTTATTATATATGATTATATTTATTATATTTAACACGACAACCCTTTGTTATATGACTCAACTCGACACACCGACAGACCATAGACTAAGTAGGTAATTAATCATAAACATAGACAATGTATTGTTATGGCTCTGAATATACAACACTAATTAGATTTTAAATTAGAGAATCATTAAGACTGATTCCTTAGTAACAAATTGCATTCAGTATTCCTTAGATTTTATTTATTTAAAAGAGCAACAAGCAAGTTTCCTGCTCATTCTTGTTGTGATAAGTCTGCGTTCCGAATTACTGGTAGAAAAAAATATGTCTAATGAAAATTGCCTATATTATGTTTGTTTGAATGAAGATTATTTCTATTTGTAAGGGTTTTTTTATAATGCAAAAAAGCATATGGCCCTTCTCATGGCAAATGATTTCTTTCAGCACAAAGGTTGTTCAAGTGTTACATACTCCTTGTACTGTTTTTAATATCAAGTCTTATTTTTGTTTATCATAAGAAGGCAAAAATACAATATATTATTTATTAAATACAATATACTAACAGTTCTGCTTTATTAGATGGATGGCAAATCTAACTTAATATACTTATTAAAAGCGTATACTTCACAATATATTAAATACAGTAAAAAATATTGCCTTTCATAAAAGGCATTATCACAATTACATTGCTAGCCCGTATTTCATATAATACTGGCACACACAAAGGGTAATTTAATTTTTTCTCATATAATTTTACAAACTACTAACATTTCCTGACTTTGTCTATTGTTTCTTTAAAAATATAGGATCAAGAACGAGCTGCAGGCGTAATGTGTTTAAATTCTGAAATAAACTATGAAAAACTTCAAAGTACATACGAACTACAACCGTATCACGGATTGACTAAGGCTACACCACTCGAGAAAGAACAGAAAAAGCGCGGCAATGTACTGCTTAGTGTTTTTGGGTGTGTATTTTGAATAAGTGCATACTATGAGACACAGTTACATACTGAAATTAAATATGTCTAGTAAGACAAACTCAATATTGTCTACAAACTGCCGTGTCTAAACCCATCACCCCATCTTACATTTTCTTAGTGTTATTTAGTATATAAGATCAATATTTTATGTACATATTGTCAGTCCATTATCATCTTTAATGTACATCATCTCAACCGATAACAGTGATGATCGGAGTCATCGCTGTGATCGTGAGCAGCTCTCTCTCTATTCTCCAACAACAGATTAAAAATAAAGTAAGACTTTAATAATAAATAATAGAATAATTAAAATAATGAGAGAAAATTTCTGTCATTATTCTGAATGAATATAGCTACTATGTTGCTGTAATCAGAATTTACTCATTTAACTTTTTTTTTCTTATATTAATCCTTACGAAACTGAAACCTTGTTTATTTAAAATACTATTCTTTAAAATATTACTACATAAAAATCTAATTGCTGACGTGTTTTTAATATTCAGTTGTTTTTTTTTTCAGGGAACCAATTATGCTTGGTAAATTAGGTCCATTTGATAGGCTTTCAAAATTGGAAAAGAGATTAATTGAAGACGTAAGTTTACTTTTACATAATTATCGTGTGTCATGTGTTTGTGAGAATTAGAACACACGTTAGTAACTATTTATTTATGCCATCTTACTTCTGTATTTGGCAGTTTGTATTCACATAATATTTATTTATTTACGTCACACTAAGCTTTACAGTCTCCCAATATGCCCATTTAGGAAGATTGTATACAAATATACAAAATTGTAAACACTAATTATATACGTATACACACTAATTACAGAAGGAAACAAATGAAAAATAATACCCTAATCTTAATTTAACATACTACCTAAATAATCTACTGACATCCTACGATATTCTGCAATACCACACTCATTCAACACTAGAAGCTAGAGCCAGATTCTTACCTTTAACCTTAACTTAGCTCTAGATTCTAGTGATGAATAAGTGTGGTAGAATAAAAAAATTAGGACTCTTAAATAGTGCATATAGGTACTAAGTTTCTTTGAATAAAGATTATTTCTATTCTATTGTATTTACTTACCTATTTCAGTTAGTCAGCGCAGGTGGGTGCACGATTCCATCATCATCATAAGATATCATATCATCCATAAGATATCTCTTTACCTGTTTTCAGATACATTCAAAAGAAAATCTAGTGGATCACGAGCGGAAAAAATCTAGCAAAGTGAATTTTAATCGTCGCAATTCACGACGTAGTATGCAGGAATTGATAAGTACACGATTTTCTGATGATATGAGCGACAAAATGTATGCAGATTCACCCACACAATCACAAACTAGTTATTCAGTTATTGATTTATTGGAAGGCGATTCATTCGATTATGATATTGTGAATATCGATAAGAGCCTGTTGACAATACCAGAGATGCAATCGAGTCAGCAATTGTAAGTTATAAAGAAGAAGAAGAAAAGAAAGAAAGAAAGATCGAATAATATTCACACCTAATAATTCATAATTTATTCATTTTAGATCCAAAGATATGACATTCTGGCAGCGTACGAGACTATCTATAATAAAAACTAGAAGGCAAAGTATGTATATCAATAATAATATCTCTTGACAATTTGACGCAGCGCCATCTAGTCCTAGGTTAAGCAGGGCTTTTTTTATGGGTACTAGACAACTGATACATAGATACATTTTTTATAAATACGTGTTTAATACACATCGAAAATACTCAGACCAAGACTAACTATCATATATACAAAAGATTGCACTGTGCGAGGAATCGAACCCACGACCATCGAAGTAAGTGTGCTAAACCGCTAGATCACCAAAGCCGTCAAACTTATTACTTACTCAAATCTACTTATTAGCGATATGTGTACATTTTAGGTAGAAGTTCTGTATTGAAAGCAAGAAAAATTGAAGAGAATGCCTCAACAGCAATTAATGGAGAACCCAATGCATTTATGATTGAATTATTTGGATCTAGAGAAGATATTCATGCGAGGTAACAAATTAAAATCAAGTAGGCAAAACAGGTAGGCATTCCGAAGCTATAAGCTTCGGAATGCCTTTTTGTTTTTCCAGCTTCGGAATGCCAATTGCATTCCGAAGCTGGAAAAAAGAATTTGTAGCCAAAGATTATTTGTACATTTCTTTTTATATGAAAGGGATTCCAAATCTAGAAACAAGAATCAGGAATCAACAAAGAATATTTTAAGGAAACAAAGACGTAGGGCAGGATTCTAAGCAGACTTGAAAATACAGTATAAGAGGCAAGACATCTTAGTCCTCTAGAATGACACATCAACAGAATGACGATGACACATGATAACGTGATGTCCGTAGTGCCGTTCATGTATAGGCGACGGTTAGTTTCTCTCTAATTACATAAAAAAGTGTTTCTTTTGTAATTTCAGACATTCGTTTGATTTACTGGAAGCGGCATTTGAAGCAATGAAGACCTACGATTATTGTTTAATTCGCGTACCTTGTGCTGATATAACGATACCACTGTTACAACATTTTAATGTAAGGAAATAAGTAATGATTTATCAGCCGTTTGTTCTGATTTATGTGAAAAGTTGTGACTCGACTCCAGCTGCGTTCTCCTCAATGTCAGGTTACTCTTGGTTCGTATATAATCGACAATGTCCTGCTTCTTGGTGGCGTAATGTAGACGGGACAGGTACAATGTCGTGGTCGGTGTAGCAGCACGCAGTACGAACTTGGGGCCAGTGAGTGCAGTGTCAAATGTGTAGTGCAGAATGGTTCCCATTGACCCTCTTTATGCGCCTCTTCTTTTGTACTATGATGAAGACATAATGTAGAGTAATATAAATTAGCTATCACTATTAAAGTTAGCAAAGTAGTTATATATGAATTCTACTATACCTATTTCTTACGATTAATTTCATCTGTTTTTATTTTAGGTACAAGATAGCCTATGTTAAATGTCATTCAAATCTTTTCAGCAAATATATTTTTTTAATCAATATACCTTTTTATTTATAACTAGCTGACCCGACAATTTGTCCGCATCTGATTTTGTGTTCTTGCAACATTTTTCAATGCAGCTTTGCCTTTATTGGTCATAGCATGATGCTATAAACCTATAAAGCCTTTGAAACTCTCAAAAAACGTGGCAAAACTAATTCCTACGCGATATTAAATTTACATTGTATCTGTTACAGTATGTGCCAACAAAACCAGATGTTTGCAGCAAATATGCACTGTTTATTGCTCATAGATCTTCAGTATTGAGGTACATTCTCTATGAAGTCTAAAATAGAATAAATTCTTCATTTGCATAAGAGAATTGATAGATAATAAATATCTAATAGCGGTTTAGAGAATGACAGATAACTTCCATAGCAAGAATGAAAACTTTTTAAATGATAATAAAAGTAATCTCGCATTAATCACAGCGCCATCTAGGTCTAAGCTAAGCAAAGCTTGTAAGATTCACACATCACCATCTAATCCCAAGCTAGGCTTGTGTTATTAGATAACTGATATTTTTTCATAATATACATATGCGAAACACCCAGATAAAAACAACCATACTCACGAATACAAATGTTTGCATCATACAGGGAATCGAAACCGTGACTAGCAGAACTGAGGCGTTTACTAAACCGCTAGAAAACCGGGGTCCACTGTATCACTTATGGGTAGTATATGAGCAAAGCCTACTCACTAAACGATTACCTGAATGACGAGCGTGCATGGCATCAGTTATCCATGCACGGGATTTTCATTTAATGTTAGACATAGACACCTATATAAATGACATTGTAAATAACCACACTTAAAAAAAAATCAATTGAGTTAATTACCCATTCTTCTCAATTGAATCTGTATAGTGAACTGGACAGTAGGGAATAAATTATAATATTAGAAATTTGGCGTTCATAAGCGGCTAAAATGTCCTACATGAATAAATTATTTTTGAATTTCCTTGTTTTCAGCAAATTACGGGTACGAGAAGCAGATCTGGCAGATATACCACAAATAGCCCAGCTTCTACAAAACGTAGATGCAAAAGAAACACTCTGGACTATCGAGGATAACCTGACGAGAGAAAGAGACAACAATGCATATGTATTTTTAAGCGGTTTCACAATAATTGGAGTGGGGATATTAGAGTAAGTGTAATTGAAGTATTCAGCGGCCAGTTTAGCATTATTTTTAAGATTGTAAGGCAATAAATAGATATAATTGTTTCTTGTGTAGCAGAATGTATGTTTGTATTATGTATACGTTTGTGTATACACACAAGTGTGTGTTTTAATGTATGTATGAGTATATGTATACATTCTTATTTATTCTTTCAAAGTAAATCAGAGCAAACCAGACCCTACCGCTCACCCGTAAACAGGTACTGCTGGTGCAGCTTGCAGCCAACTCTACGTTCAGTCATATTTTAGAGAGTCCACGTCGAGGACACGTCGAATTTAAATAAAATATTGTAAATTTTGTTTATATGATTTTTAGATCTCCAGAACAAATAAATTACATGCGTGCAAGATACAATGTCGATTCATTCCACATCCACAAGTATCATGTCAAAGGGCAAACAGTTGGCAATGGTTTTGCCACCCTGAAGACAGTGATGGCATACCCTGTGTTCAGAGCGCATTACAGGTTCTTTGCTAGGGATATAATGCGTCTCTCGGGTACCACTGCATTATTATGGCTAACTGCGTATAGGAATAAATGGGTATGTAATTAATTTATCAATTACTAGCTTTTACTGCGACTTCGCACGCATGGTTCTTTAAATAAATTTCAGTTAATTCTAATACCTCCAAGAACATGTGTACAAAATTTCATGATGATCGGTTCAGTAGTTTTTGCGTGAAAGTGTAACAAACATTCCTACTTTCACATTTATGATATTATTATTATTATAGTAAGGATTGGCTTGCCCCGCGCAATTTCGTCTGCATCACACTTACTTGACATTTATTAATATATTTCGCTCAATTTACATAATAACTTCTTAAATTATAGCCCATGTATTATCTATATATATATATATATAAATATGGCATGCTGGTAAATTTTATGACGTAGGCATCGGCTAAGAAAGGATTTTGAATAATTCTACCCCCAAGGGTATAAATTGGGGATGAAAGTTTGTATGAAACTGTCAATTTTAAACCGATCGGACTGAGACTTTGCATGCATAAAACTACTAGGACGTAGGCATCCCCTAAGAAAGGATTTTTATAAATTCCACCCCAAGGGGATATATTAACGCGAGCGAAGCCGCGGGCAAAATTCTAGTTCTTATATATAAGCTATATTACTGTAAAGTTTAATCAAAACATGCATTCATTCATTCCAAAGCCAACTCCCGCCTGACGGATACGACTTTAGTCTGAGGGCACCGCTAGGGGTTCTAACCGCGGCTCAGGCCGTCGTAATTTCTTAATTTATTTTTAAGGTAGCACATAAAGCAAATACCATTGCATCAGCTATGGTTCCATTGGTACCTAGAAAATCTGAAGTAGATTGCACAGTATTATCGGAGCTCAAGGAAATTAACAGCTTATCTAAAAATATGTATGTACTAAATATATTAAATTCTATTGATCCATCTTCTCTTAGAACTTAAATTACACCGAGGTGGATTTTATCAAGAACACTGTCATCTGTGTTTACGCCCGAAACCTTCTATTAGCAATAATATTCAATACTAATAATTATTGCTACGAAAATATATTAGGCGCTTGTCAATTTATAATTATATTATTACAAGAATATTACGAGCGTTACTTGATGAGGTGATTTCCATGGCGCTATTCATTTATATAGGAGGGAAGTGGTAACTGTGGTAATATTAGTTTAGTTTGATGACGGTGGTGATCTAGTGGTTTACTACACCGTTTTACGTCCAATTATAGCGGGTTACATTCTTGCACGGTACAAACTTTTGTATTCATGAGTATTGTTAGTATCGGTCTGGGTGTTTTTATGTATAATATGCATGTATTTATAAAAACAATCTATTAATAGTTGTATAGTACTGATAACACAAGCTCTGCTTACTTTTGGACTAGATGGCGCTGTGTGAATTGTCCTGAGATATTATTATTATGATAAGCATCTATAAAAAATGTTATAAGTAATTTTGTAGAATGGCATTCAGTACGTGGTTTATCGGAAAGAAATTGACAAGTGTGCCCACAGCTTATGTGAATACGAGGATTGTTGTAGTTGGCGCCTCCAGTACCACCATGGCGTTTCTCAACACTTTACTATTCAGGTATTAATCTAAGTAATATCACGCTACGACCAGTAGGAGTGGAGCTGCAATGAACAATGTTCCAAAAAAAACAAACGACAAACGTGTCAGCTAATTTATATTAAAACTAGCTATGTCCGCGTTTTCTCTCTTCTTCTAAAGTTCTCGTAAAACTTTAGCCTATGTGTTATTCTAATGTATAAACTATATTCTTGTAAAGTTTTATTAAAATCCATTCAATTGTTTTTGCATGAAAGAGTAACAAATATTCATCCATCCATCTATCCAAGATGGATGGATGAATATTTGTCACTGAATATTTATTTATAACTAGCTCTTCCCGCGACTTCGTCCGCGTGAAAAATATTTCATTTTAGAAAAATAAAGTTAAATTATTTAAATAAAGTTACATTTTTTTCTGACATTAAAGTAGCCTAAATTACTCCTTATTACATCATACCTGCCAAAAAAAGTCCCGTCAAAATCGGTCCGGCCATTTCAGAGATTAGTCGGAACAAACAGATCGACAGACAGACAGACAAAAATTGTAAAAATGTTAATTTGGGGTATGTACCCTATTTATATTAAAATGCATGTAGTAAAAACGTTTATTTCAATATTACAAACAGACACTCCAATTTTATTTACATGTATAGATTTAGTTATTTATTTATCTGATGTTGCGGGTGCTCTTGGGCGGCGGTAATCCCTTGGCTGGGCTTGGCACTAAGCTTGTTTGTGGCCTGTACTAAAAAATATACTAATTTATAACACATATTTTACACTGTTTTCAGCGATTCGTCATCATATCTGATGTTTACAAATGTGACACTAATATCACCACATGGCTTGCCTTATATTCGGCACTCGCAGCATCCCGCCGAGAGGATGTTCTCGAAATTTCGTTGTAACTCTGACAAATATCTGAAAAGCGTGCCCTACACTTACTACGTGAATATTGTGCATGGAACTGTTGTTGAGATTAAAAAGTAATTATTTCTGTACGATCATCATTCATCATCATCATCATCACAGCCCGGAAGACCGGACTGCTGGACATAGGCCTCCCCCAAAGATCTCCACGACGATCGGTCCTGCGCTGCTCGCATCCAATGCCTTCCAGCGATCTTGACCAGATCGTCGGTCCACCTTGCTGAAGGCCTTCCCACGCTGCGTCTTCCGGTCCTATTATACATATATCCTACGATCATCATTATCTAATAATAATAATAACAATCTTGGATAATTCACACAACGTCATCTCGTCCCAAGCTAAGCAAAGCTAGTGTAGCGCGGTGGTTATCCTCACCACTGTGTATATATGATGTGATGAGGTGTCGCTACATAATTTATAATTTATTGTAGTATCTAGGTAGTGAGTATAAAGGTAAAATAATTGTACTGTTTATTGTATTGTACATTAATAAGTTTTTTTGGTAGTATAGTGTGTTACAGGGCTTATTAGTAACGCGTACATTCTACGCGGAGTCGGGGCGTAGAGTCGTAGACTGACTTTACACTGAACTTAAATGTAAATTATCTAGAAAGGTATTAAAGCGTGTTGAAAAAAAAATGGTACCAAAAATTCGTGTGTCCATATATATATTTCCCTCTGTTTCTCACTCATAGTTCTTCTCAATATCCGGGAATGGAAGTATATTTTATGTAATTAGAACGGAAAACAAGCTAACGGCCCACCTGATGGTATTTTTTTTTTATTTATATTTATTTAGGTAATTAGCAGCTTATAACTAATATATACGCAATATTAATTTAAAGTGTCACTAATTAAATAATTAGTAAAGTCAATAATACCTCATAAATTTATCGAAATGTGTATGTGAACAGACTGACATTATCAAGCAAATTTAAACTTAATGTAAGTTGCATTTAAACATTAAATTAGAAAAGTATTCAATTTCAGACAAGAAAAATATGTAACTCTATCAAACGGCTCAGTGTACTATTACGACATGTTATTTCTGTTATTTGGAAAGCAATATCAGCATCCAAATTATTTTCGCGAATTATTGGAATGGGAGGAACAGCTCAAGTAACTATAACTTCTTTTATTTGAACTACTTCAAAAAAAGTTTTTTTTTTATTAAATTGTCTGTTACTCTATACAAAAATACTGTTTTTATTTTGCGATAATAATGTATTTTTTATTTTAATCCAAATTATATTTTTTAACACATATATGGTATTTTTATATTATGTAAGTACGAGTATGCGTACGATTTAGAAGGGAGAAATAAGAGATGAGAAGGGCTGAAGATCGTGCCCAGAGACTTGGGAGAGCCCTATGTCCAGCAGTGGACTGCAGTGGGCTGATGATGATGATGATGTGTATGATTTATGATTCTATTTATCAGATTTCATAAATGAAAATATTATTATTTTCTATGTACTTTTAAATAACATTTATTTTAATAGATTTTTTACTAAATGTAATTTCTTATATATTGTCAATTATTTAATTGAATTCAAAAGTATTATTTAAAGTTTGTTAATTTCATAAAAATATATTCTAATATGGGGAAGTTATTAGTTTTTCCTTCTAAAATCGTACGTACCCATACCGATACGATATTGAAACCTTCAAGAAAAGAGCTTATTAATTCTTAAAAGGCCGGCAACGCACTTGCAATTCCCCTGGTGTTGCGGATGCTCATGGGCGGCGGTAATCACTTACCATCAGGTGAGCGACAAGCTCTGCCCCCTATATTATAAAAAATTACGTCTGCTTAAAAATGTTTAATAACTTAGTTTCTGTGTAGACGCTAGCCTCCATATATTTGAATTTGAATTTAGACATACATAACAAATAAAAATTGTTACAGGTCTGGCAAAGAGCCTGTTTATACTCGTTTAGATGTACCCAAGCTCAGAGATGATATGCATTTCACCACAGACGACATCCCTGATAATGTCTTTATCGTCAACGATATTACTGATGGTAACAAAGCTCTTGGTTTCGTTAAAAACTTATTTTGGCAGAACTTTGATTGTAAGTTAATATTTTCTGAAATTTGATAGTAATTAATTTAAATTATAAGTTTGAACATCAAGGTTCTATTGTCAAAGATTATAACTTGTATGTGTGTGTATCTTAAGCACATGGTAGCGTGTGTAATATATGTAATTTTTATTCATAACTAGCTTTTGCCCGCGGCTTCGCTCGCGTTAATTTATACCCTTAGGGGTGGAATATATCAAAATCCTTTCTTAGGGGATGCCTACGTCATAGTAGCTTTATGCATGCAAAATCTCAGCCCGATCGATTTAAAATTGACAGTTTCATACAAACTTTCATCCCCTATTTTATCCCCTTGGAGGTAGAATTAATCAAAATCCTTTCTTAGCGGATGCCTACGTCATAACATCTACCTGCATGCCAAATTTCAAACAAACATGTTGTTTCAAACATTTGTATTCATGAGTAGGTATAATTGTTTGGCTGATTTCTATGTATCTTTGTATATATTTACAAGAAGAAATGTATGTAACTATTTATTTTTCTAGTATATTATAACATAAACTTTGCTTAACTTGGGTGAACTTGATGGTTGATGGCGCTGTGTGAATTGTGTACAGTTATTATTTTTAAATTATTATTTGTATGTAATATTACGGTTATAAATGAATATATTTATTTAATTTTACAGATACTATTATTGTATATGGAGCATCTATAAATGCGTATAGTTGTCTTGCAACATTACTAGAAATGAATGTGCCTCCGCAATGCATAGTCTTCGTAGAACCATTTCCCCCTGAAGATAACAAGAAACCTAGGATCCCTGTGTTTTGTAATGAATATGTGAGTTTATTTGATATATTTTATGCATCATAAATGACAAGGCATGATACTTGCCTCATAATACGCGACTACTGCAGATATGTCATTTATTATAAATACATTTATAATAATCACGTAAAGATGACTGACGACCTTGGTGTTCTAGCGGGCTAGCAGACCGCTTTACGTCCGATTGTCCCGGGTTCGATTCCTCGCACGGCACAAACATTTGTATTCATGACTATGACTCTTTGTTTCGTATGAATTGTCCTGAGATTATTATTATTATTATTATTAAAGATATGTTGACATCCCCAGTGGTTTAAAGGACGAGGAAAGAAAGAGATCTATATACTAACTCTGTAGTGGGTGGTGGTGGGTGTAATCCCCTTGATTGTTAGTAATGTGATCATGATGGTCGTGATTGTGTAAGTTCATGGTGAATGCACCACGATGGGCCAACTGACCTGACCTTATGCTCATCTTGTCGGTTAACGGTTTAAGTTATAACAGTTAGCACAGGCGGGTGCACCCTTCCATTACCATCCATTAGACTAACTCTGTAGTTACTTATCTTTAGGTCGATCAGACTATAAGAGAAATGCTTAGCGAATTAAACGTGACAGTATATGAATCGTGTTATTTCAAATCGTGGACTGTTGATGCGAACCATATTGTCACACACGTTGAATTTCTGTCACACTTCAAGAAAATACAATTGGAATGCTCTGCGTTCTTTTATTATGGAAAACGTGGGATCAATGCACAGGCTTACGTTGGTAAGTTGCAACAGTAATATTTCTGTTTTTTTTTCTTTTCATTAAGAAAAAAGGAATCAATTCGCAGAGTTAAATTAGTAAGTTGAAACAGTTAAATTTCCTTTTTTTCCTTTCTAACAAAAAGAAACATTAAGTTTACTAACGTGGAGTCAATTCACAGCCTTACATTGGCAAGATACAACAATATTATTTCTTTTTTTTCTTTTTATGACTAATAAATCATTTATATTTACTAACGTGGATTCAATTCAATTCACAGGCTTACGTTGGTAAGATGCACCAGTTTTATTCCTGTCTTTTTTTTGTATAAAAATAGTTTTCTATATTTATTTAATTATTACGTTATTATTACATTTTAAAAAATACGTTTGTAATTTTCGGTATTTTTTTTAAATCTTGGTATCAATGCCAGGTAAGATGCAGAATTTAATATAATATAAATAAAAGTACAAAAGGCTGCCCCATCCCTAAAGCAATCTCTTCCAGATAACCTTTGGAAAAATAATATTTACAAAAAAGAAAGTCCACATCTTCCATCAGGAGAACCAATAACTTCTGACGGAAGATTAAATCTAATTATATGTTAAATTTCAGCGATAAACAAGAGTGGTATAGGTTACGATGGAGGTATTCTCATTGACCACCAGTTTAGGACCAAGGATGCCTCTGTGTATGCGGCTGGCCCAGCCACTAGGTACTATAGGAGATACCACGCTGGAGCATACAGACATAAACACTATAATTCATACGAAGTGGGGCAGAAGGTATGTATTTTTTTTATTACGTTGTTTGGGCTATTGTCATGTGCTTGGGCCTGTAGCACTGCGACCTATATAGATCTACTGTGCACGCCCTTTGCAGAGTTCGCTAACTAGATCCGGCAGAGACACTGTAAACTTTCCAAAGGAGTTACGTTTATACATGAGTGAGAGCGAGTACGATAGATCTCTGCAGGTTGCAATGCTACACAAGTTTATAACACTGAGTAATAGTCCAACCCCTGATTAAAAAAAAACTACCAAATTGAATCTAAATTTCCAATATAACGTCAAAACTGTTCAAAACCAAATGTTTCGCATTTAATCATACCTTTCAGCTTGGTGAACTTATTAGGAATGAACTGGATCCGCTTTTCTCATCAAAACAATGTACATCGAAAAAACATACCAAAAATACATATAACAATGTATCCACTAGTAAAAGTGTAAGCTTCGATGTAACCTCAATTAAGACGGAGTCTTCGAGATCTAGTGGAAACGCCAACAGTAATATGATGTTAGTATTATGCACTAATCTATCAGCATCGAAGTAAGAAATATGACTTCAGTGATCTAGCGGTTCGCACACCGCCTTACTTTCAATGGTCGCGGGTTCCATTCCTCGCACAGTAAACATTTGTATTCATGAGTACCATTGTAGTGGTCTGGATGTTTTCTAATGTTATGTATGTATTTACAAAAAAAAATGTATGTATATGAAACATTTGTCTAGTATCCAAAACACCAGCTCAGCTTGGGACTAGATGTCGCTTTGTGAATTGTCCTGAATTATTATTCTTATGTCTTTCTAACAGCAGGATAAAGAGGGCTAAATTTGAAGTATAATTATGTATTATCATATTGTCATTGGCTATATACACAAAGTCCTATTCCCCTAAAGATACAGTATAGATTTTTTTTTAATACTAGCTGTGTTCGAGGTTTCATCCACGTGACATTTATAGCCTACGTGGTATTCTGATATGTAAGCTATATTATTGCAATATTTCATTAAAATCCATTCAGTAGTATTTGCGTGATAGAGTAACAAACATCGATCCATGATCCATTTATCTACAATCAGATACTTCCGTGTTTATAATATTAGTAAGATAATTTGATTTTCTAATATTTAGTCCCGAATATGATGATGACGAGGTAGAGAAGCTACCACTGTTCACGAGGCCTGTCATCATGTATTACCAGCTTCCCGGAAGGTTGCAGTATCTCGATGTACGCTCACCGGGAGAGAAGTTACCGCATTATTACGTGCAATCTTTGCAGCACAATGTTCGTAATTATTTATTAATTTCTACCTCTCAATTTTCTTTTTGTCAATTTATTTTTCTACTACGTCGTCGGCAAAGGAGCTTACGGGTCATGTGATGGTAAACGGCAACTGTAGCTTATGGACGCCTGAAACACTAGGGGTGTCACGTTGTTTTATATTGCGCTTACTTCTTTTGTTTTTCTTGCTTGCTTTCTCTCTATCTTACTCCCACTTATCTCCCTCCCTTTTAAGCACCGTTTCACTTCACGCATCATCCTATCCCATCTAATTGAAATAAGTGAATAGACTAATAGACTATATAAAGTATAATGTTGGCCATCAGGGAATAAATCTTTTTACATAATTATATAATGTGACACTTTTGTATCTGCAATTTTTTCTAGTGTTATATATAGGTATATAATGTTATACATTAAACCGTACTCTTTTTATATATTTTAATATTTTCTCTATTGCGTAAATCTCTATTTCCAAAAGAGACATTCATAAAATTTGTTCAGGGTTACATCATGGAGACTTTTAAAGGTGGTTACTTCAAATTGCACCTCACCAACGACCACGTGGTCGATGGCATTACCTGTCTCAGCCCTGAGAAGTATCCACTGGAGAACTTCAAAAACCTTTACGGGAAGTCGGCAGTTGTTCTGAATAACGTTCATTTGAGATATACCGTAAGTATTTAACTTGAGAGTTGTAGGCAACTAGAATGGTGACCAACTTGAAGGTCCACGAAATAGTAAGTAGCATCCGTCGCCTATAGGTAGGTATACATGAATTGCAGAGTACTGGCAACCATCTTTTGTATGCTAATTGTTAGAAATAGCAAGTGGTACCTAAGAGTGGTATAACAGTACATGTTTATTTAGTAATGGATATTAGACATGTAAGAAATGGCAAATGGTACCTAAGAGTGGTACCACATTACATATTTCTTTAATATCTGACGATTAAAACAAAAAACAAACAAGATAGTTGCTAGCAGATATAGGCAAGTTAAAGGTCAAGAAATAGGTGATGCATGCAAACGAGCATACTCAATCTTTACTTCTGTAAAGATAATCGGTATCTAAAGTTATGGGATTAATAAAAAAATAGTGATGATCACATTTTTTTTATTTCCTTGTCCTAATTTTTATACGCATGACTGAAATGATTAATTTCGTTACGTTGGGTGACAAAATGTTTTTTTTTCAGGCGAAGAAATTAGATAATTTCTATGAATTCTTTCGATCACCATGGGCTTTCTTTTTGTATGTTGATCAGTCAGATGAACTGCTTGCTATGGTCAAGGAACTCTATCCAAAGGTACTACTACTAGAGGTTACTAATAATAATTCATTTCATAATAACTTTTTTATTCATTACAATAGGATATATATTTATATATACATATTTATTCCATGGTAATAAGTTATTGCATTTATTGTTTATGTCATTACTTCAATCCTTTATCCTTGATATCAATTTCTGAATTACATTTGGAATTGTCTAATGATCTGAGGGAATCGGTATAACTTACTATGAAATGTGTAAATTAAAAAAAAATACATATTTTTATTTATTATTTAGGGATCAAGAAACAAAAGGACGCTACAAGATGCTCTATGTTATCTTGGAGATAAGCTTAGTGATCCGGTAAGAATTATTTTTAGTCAACTGCTAATTGGAGAAAATTCTCAGTTTTATGGTATTTTTGTTCAGGTTGTTACTAACTTCATCAATTATAATGATTTTAATAACAACAGCCTAGTTTTGTGACATAATTCTGATTTCTGAGCAGTTTGAATGAATAATAAGCTAGAGCTCTTTTAATGAATTATAATTTATTAAATTCTGACCAATATTTATATAATAATAATAATAAGTGTGGAAAAAACCAGCAAAAGCTGAGACAGTGAGACGATAGTAATAATAATAATAATAAAACCTTTATTTAGATATTAATTCATTTACATTCATTTATTCATTCATTAATTCATTCACATTTCCTCCTCCAACTGTCTCCAGTGGCCTCTATTGTTAGCAGTTCTTGCCCAAGTACCACCTGCCACTACTTTGATATCATCTATCCATTTTCTGTATTATATTTATATAACACTATTTACTTGTCACTATTTAATAAATTAATTATTACTTTTATTATTTATCTAATTTTAATTTCTTTTATACCAGTCATTCGGGAAAAACACTAAAATGATTCTTCGGGAGAACTTCGAAAAGACGCCACATGTAGAAGCTATCACAGACTACGTAATAGAGTGGCTAACAGGGAATGACGTACTGCTTCCTCTGTACTCACATCCATGCCATAGAGCAGAGTATACTCACGACCTCGGCAGGCATCCAGCATTTAAAAAGAAGAAGACTAATATCACTAAATTGTTGTCTAAAATGTTGTAATTATAGATGACGATTAAAGAATTGTCTATGACTTGTTGTCAATTAAGTAGATTATAGTTGCGTAGTTTTTTTTTTATTTGACAAACTTTTTCAGTGTAATACAGTGGTGCAGGAATGAATAGGTAATTATACTTGTTTCTTTAAAACTGCGGTATGTATTACTTAAAACTGGCAAATCTTAGGTAATGGAAAGAAATGGACGAGACCAAGTCCAGAAGTAAGGCAATATAGGTGAACAATACAATACAATTTTAATACTAAAAATATACTAATATATATTCTCTATATATTTGTAGTTATGTACGTGAATATGAGATATGCATTTCTTTTGAGTTTGTTTTTTATTTTGAGACGAAAATAATAAATCAATACAATGAAAGAAATTACATTACCTATATTTGTCTTAGTATGCCCAAATAATTAAAGATTGGTAACTGATGATCTATCAATGCTTTTAATAATAAAAAAGTAGGTCCTCTATGAGGCCAACGATATATCATGAAGTCCAAATATTTTAGTTATGAGTAAAAATTTGTGAAATAATATGTTTTCTTAAATCACTGATTGTACAGGAAAAAACTAGTAGGTAATACTTGTGGTGGATCTGATGGATAGTGGGTATAAATGAAAGTTGGAGGAATGTAACTTTCAAATGACGTTACACTAGCAAAATTAAGTTTATCAATGTCATAAAAAAATAATATGTGAATTGACACATGTCTATCATTTCATAATGGTGCTTTAAATTTTCATTCTTTAAACCGTTTTATTACAGAGATATTTTAATTTATTACAATTGAATAAATCATGGCTGAACCGAAAGTGTGCAAACCTCTGAAGCTAAATGAGTTATTAATACAAAACGTGAATACATGGGGTAATGTTGAGTACAACATACCGTTGAGACTGTCCAATAATGAGACGAGAACTGCTACCACCATCGCCCATAGGCATATACCAGCTATACCACATAGTTTGGACTGTGTATGTTTATGTTAAATACACATTATTTTAAATTATGGTGATGCACTGCACACATGAATCATTGTTTGCCCAATGGTTGACTGAGAGAAAATGCCTCAAGGTGTTAAGTCTGCCATGTGCACCTTTATTTACGGATTTGTGCATCGAAGTTCTAATAAATAAATAAATAATTTAATCGAAATTGTTTAAAGAAAATACTTTTTTTTTATAATAAACACTTCCAAAAAATTTACGACTACAAAGTAAAAAATGTATAGTTTTTTAATGGATGATAAGGGAATGATGGTTCTGTCAGCGCTAATGGTATATGCTGGTGGAGTACAAATGATTATTAAATGAATATGAGGTCAGGTTATTTAGGAATTTATCATTTGGGGGTTCGTTTCTTCTCGGGAAAGCGGTGTTTAGCGCAGAGCCATGCATTTAGTAGTTCGTCATATGCGATGTAGGCTCTACATGCCATGTCGGTATTCGGGTTCTTAGGATCTTTGAGTTGAGGTCCAAATCTTGTTACGATGGTTTCCGGGGGAACCGACGTGGTACATTGCTAGGGTCGTTACACCACATTATAAAGAATTCCCTTCCCCCAATTTATAGTGTTATATTAGGAAATCCTAATGAAACTCTATTGCTCCTAATTGATTATCGACGGTGTAATATAATGATGATAATGATGATATAAGATGTCATATAAACAGACGCAAGCTGTGGTTACAAATCATGCATATAAGTGGAGATAGAGGATTGTTACACATGGGTACAACAAGAAACAACAAAAAACAAAAAGTACAGCGAAGTTATGAATGATTAATAATTAAAACTATAATATTTTAAATAAATCACTAGAAAATAGATGACCCACTACCTGAGCGTGTAACTGGTAGAGACATGGTGGTACAAAAGGAGACATACAGGACCACTAGCGGCGAGTACTGCGTGAAACCCAACCCCAACAAAGCTATGGAACGATCCGATTGCGGCATTAATTGCAGACGGGTCCATTACATGACTGGCGTCGAGAAACGGGTATGTTTTATCTTAACCGTTTATTTCTTACCATGATATTACTTTTGTAAAAGAGATGAATTATTTTCTTAAATCTGTCGAATGTAATAATTAAGTAAGTTATTAATATATCTACAATTATCGCGCTAGCCAAGTGGCTTGGCTTATTTATATCGGTACGGTATCCTGAAGACGAAATGGGTAATATATGTAATATATGATTAAAATTACGGGATTTACAGTTATTAAGCAAGAATATAGTACAACCAACGATGATATCAGAAATGAAGGATAATTTCCGTGGAGTGAGAACCCCCACAGCTCCTCCAGAAATAACTGTTCGTCCTCCAGACCCTGAATACATATTCGATGTGAGTTTAAAGTAGGTTTTCTCGATATTCGTGTAGCGGTCTTCATCCTACTCAATAAACAGTCATACTTATAAAAGACGGACTCTGTGGTCTAATGGTTTAGCACACCGCTTACTTCCGACGGTCGCGGATCGATTCCTGATACGGTGCAAAGATTTGTATTCCTGAGTATGATTGTTTATATCAGTCGGAATATTTTCTGTGTGTAAAACATACATAGGTATGTATTTACAAAAAAATATATGTTTGTATTTGTCTGTATCAAGTATCAGTTATCTAGTACCCACAACGACCGGATGGCGCTGTGTTAATTGTCCATGGTTATTTATTTATTAAGAAATAATAATAATTACTCAGTACTCGATATCATTTTGCATACCCATTTATTAAGGTTTTCCAATCGTATTCATCACTGGCCATGTGATCAATAATAATTGACATAATTATAATTATAATTTTATAATCATGACATTTAAGATAAAATATTTTATTTTCTGATTAAATGTGAGGATGCCGAGTGAAAATAAGACCGTGTTTGGTGTTCTATCTACACATAATTACTACAAATGATTAAATTTACAAAAATAGAGAAAACAATAAACATTACAGGTAATAGCTGCAGGTAGAAATGAAGCTCCAACTATATCAGACAACGCAAGTGGTTTCTGTAGACTTCTAGACCCTTACGTCTCCACTTACAGAACATATCATAAGCCATTCACTGCTGAAGACCAGTATGGTATAGGAGCGAAGGACCATATAACTTTTTACTCGGAGTTTGATCTGCCAAAGGTAAGAGAACACATTAACTGAAGTAATAAGTTTAGTTGATATTTATGTTGTGCCTACACGTGTAATATTTCTGTCAACACTCGACACCCTTCCATTAGTACCTCTTCAGATAACAGATTTAAGTTCAGTGTAAAGTCAGCCCACGTTACGGCAAATGTACGCGTCACTAATAAGCCATGTAGCATAGTATTAAATAAACTTACTGAGAAGCGCAGAAGCTTGCTGATGGCATCACTGGTATTTTTTTTTATACCACTTAGGTGGCAAACAAGCATACGGCCCATCTGATGGTAAACGGTTACCGTAACCTATGGACGCCTGAAACACCAGGGGTGTCACATACGCGTTGCCGACCCTTAAGAAACCTTAATATACCCTTCTTGAAAAACCCCATGCTGTAGTCTCTCGAGAAAACCTCGGCAGGTAGTTCATTCCACAATCTAAGTGTACGCGGGAGGAAGCTCCTCTGAAACCGCACTGTCCGAGACTACTTAGGTTACTTACGCGGCTACCTCATCCTTTAGGGGTCTATTTTATAGCATAGGGGACAAACGAGCCTGATGCTCAATAGGTGGTAAATGTTTACCGCCGCCTATGAACACTCGCAATACCAGGGAAATTTCAAGTGCGTTGCTGACCTTTTACGAAGAAATAAGCCGATTCCTTGAAAATTTCAACATCGTATCGTTCCTAAATACCATTGTTAGACTTGTGAAGAAGAGGAATAAAATAATTCTTTTCAGGTGCGTGGGTTTGGTCCCCGTCATAAACAGATTTGGATGCCTTTGACAGCTAGACCTCACAGAGGTGTGTACGATAGGATTCATATGAAGAAGGAGTACAAAGAAGTAGCCGCATGTCATAATCCTGTGAATAACATCAAAGGGTAATATATAAATATAGCTACACTTTTATTATTTAATACTAGCCGTGCCCGATACTTTACCAGCATGAAATTTATAGCCCATGTATTATTCTGATGTATAAGTTATATTATTGTAAAGTTTCATTAGAATCCCTTCATTAGTTTTTGCGTAACAAAATTCCACGTTAATAATATTAATATTAGAAGAACAATAAAATTTTAATTTAATATATTGACGGCCACAGTGGTCTAGAGGTTTATCACATCACTTCGCGATTGTTGGAATGGATGGGATGTTTTGTGGTCGCGACTTCATTCCTTACACGGTACAAACATAAGTATAATTGTTTGTATTGATCTTGGTGTTTTCTATGTATATTATGTATTTACAAAAAATATCTGAGTATATTTATTAGTCGTCTAGTACCCATAACAGTAGCACAGCTTAACTTGAGACAAGATAGCGCGCTGTGAATATTGTAAAGATATTATTATCATTATATTACTAAATAATACCATAACTATGACCCCTCCGATCGGTCTTCCGTCTAATTCAAATGGGGATCGAAATTACGACGGCTTGATCCGAGGTTCGAACCCTAGGCGGTGCCTTTAGAATAAAGTCGTATTGGTCAGGCGGGAGTTGGCCTTCACCCGCTCCATAAGTCCTTTCGCGGATTTGGAATGCCATCCTCACCCCTATCGTCTGGTGAAGCCGTAAAGAAGTATAAGAGTAGTCTGAAAAAAATCTCTGACTCACTCCATATGTTATTAGTTATTACAATTATAGTCAATTTTTTTCCTCAGAGTATTCGTGTCAGAAACAAAGAAGAAATACAAAATACCATTTGCCAGCTCTTCTTTAGCATCATGGTCGCATGGGGAAACCTTCGAATTGGCTCCTTACCCACCAAATCCTTATCAGACCAATATAGCGCCGTTCATGTATTGCAGCGATTATTGCCATATAGCACAGGGAACTCCACCGTACACTGTCATTGATCAGAACCATCATGACATGACTCCACATAAAAGATGTCTGAAGAGATACGTCGTGTCAAGGGATTATGAGCAGTGATTTTTTGTAATGATTTTAAATCGATTTGCCTAAATTGGTTCCTTTTTTTAGTACTTTTAACTTTTTATTTTACGATATGTACTTGCGACTTTTATATTTTGAACGTTGTAAAATGTATTATCTTATTCTTACAAAGATCTTTTTGTATTTTTTTTATCGTCGAATTTCGACCACCAGCTATTATATGCTGCTTGAAGTGGTTACAAAGCTCATGTTACAAAAATGTTTTAAATTTCGCTACATTTGTAAATGTTTTGTATTAAAATGTGTGTTGATTTATGATTTAATTTTTGGCTTGTAATAGATTGCTAACCAGTGAGTTAGTAATCTGCTTGCATCATTGAGATATCTCATAAATCAGAAACGCAAGGATCAATCGTGCAATCCATTTCACAATATCTTGCTTAATATAACAGTTGTATTTTTTAATACCACGATGGTGGTATAAAAAAATATAAAAGGTGGTGGTAAACAAGCTTACGGCCTGTCTGATTGTAAATGGTTACCGAAGCCTATGGACGCCTGAAACACCATGCGTTTAATATAGACGATTTTATATTGAAATAAAACAAGACTGTATTGTATAGAATTTATTTTTGTATATTCTACTTTTCTCTGCATATAGTTGGTGCAGTAAGGGTTGGTAAATATTTGAATACCTGGAAATGAAATATATATAAAAAATACACATTTTTGTAAATTTCTAATGTTAAATATACATAATGTTCACTCCCAACATATCTTCCATACATAACACAAAGTTTCTAAAGTTGTGACAGTATGTATGTTTTTACGAAAAAAATATAAATCTATGTATTTGTATCAGTTATCTAGTACCCGATGGCGCTGTGTGAATTGTCCTGACATTATTATTATTAATCCAATAAAAATGTACCTAAGTATTAATAATAAATAAAATTAAGAACCTTTCGAAATTCTCATAGAATTTTCATCCACATCGCTTCTAATACGCATCTATGCTATCCGTTGAAGGTAATCATTTTCCAGGCGTTATTTTAGTTTTTTGTGTAGAAGGCTGCAAAGCAAGTATTAAAATTATTTTATCACACGAAACATGAACATTATTATAGTTCTATAGCTGTCCCGGCAAACGTTGTTTTGCCTTAAAATAAAAAAAAAAATTTTGGACTACCCTTAACATTTATGAAAAATAGATGTTAGCCGATTCTCAGACCTACTCAATACGCTCATAAAATTTCATGAAAATCGGTCAAGCCGTTTTGTGTGTGACACGATAATTTTATAGTGTGTGTATGTAATGTTCTTCATTGATTTAATGTATTTTTTTGCATAATTTAAAAAAATAGCATTCTGCACTCTTTCTCTCTCTTCAAATTTCATCTCCTATGTCTCTGCAATTTTCGTAAAAAGGTGTACAAAAACCATTATGGAGACGACTTTGTACAAAATCTCTCTCAGGTCAATAATATGAGAAATTACTTTTAAATGGGATTAAAAAAATTATATGATATTTCGCGATTTGTATTCCACTTGCGGTAGTCAGATGTGATGAATATAATATAATTACCAATAGTTTTTTTTTAAACATATTGTACGTGTGTTCGTATTTATGTACGTGCATGTAGTTATATTAAATATATATATGTAATATAAATATAATATATATTTAATTGTATTTGCGCCTTTTCGTGAGATGAGAATCTTGATAGTGTAATTAGAATCGAGATTCTAAGCTAGATTTTTTATTCAAGGAAATTGTTTTACAATGGATGCGTATGATTATGCGTATGCAATCGTTAGCGACTTTTTAATATAAACGTATAATGGTTAACGTATTTGTCTCTGGCCCGCTGAAAACCTGACGTTGTAGTGTTGCAGTTTCAAAAATACAATTTGTGCCACACTTTAGTACAAACGCGCTTGAACTTAGCAACAATAATTACTTTTTTTTATTATTTATTATATACCCGCGAATTCATCATATATATATATATATACTTTATTGCACTTTTAAATACAAGTTTTGAATATATGTTATAACTTTTGTTTATCATTTGCTTTTGTTAAGATAAAAGATGCCCTATATATATATTTTAAGGGTGATAATGGAATGTTACACCCGTCTGCACTAACGGTTTACGCTGTCGGGGCACCAGTGGAGGATGATAAGATGAGCATGGGTTTAGGACAGTTAGTCCATCGTGACAAATTCACTAGGACTTTATCACGATGGTTTCCAGGGGAAATCGCGTGGAGATCGACCTGACATGGTACATTGCTAGAAATGGTAACCCTATTAATCCACATGACTAACAATCCACCTTCCCCCGATGGCGTATGTTTGTCCTCGAGATACCATATATCTTCACGTAAAATTTCATTAGGCTCGTTTAGTCATTTTCTGGTGAAAGGATAACGGGCAGAGTAATTTTCGCATCAGATCATTGATAGCACATATTAAATAGACAAATATTTTTCGGGATAAAATATTTCGATATAAGCCAATTTACGTCGTAATATTAATATAATAATACATTTAGTAGTATTGTATAATACATATTGTAGTATTTGAAAGCGTCGTGATCCTAAATTACGCACGTTAATTAATAAGGTCGTGAGTTCAAATTTTGCCTATACAAAGAAAAAAGTATCAAATAAGAAGTACATATATAGCAATATACTTACGTCTGTACATGAACAAGATTTAAAGCATTTCTCATTAGGAATGACCATAATTTATTTGTGTCCAAATCTACTTTCAATTTCTTTCTTCGTTTCAGGATTATTCTGGAAATTTTATATCCAATTAACAAACGAATAGATTAAATATCTACATAAAAATATATAAAACATATTTTAAATAAATTGTTACCCCGAAACAGCAAAGATTTTGGCATTTCGTTTTAGCCGCTTTATCATCGCATTTCTGAAAATGATGTTAATAAAAAAAAGAAATTTAGCAAAAAATAATTAATATAAAGTTAGAATAGTTAGAAAAGAAAATAACAAAACATAACCTTTTTTAATTGGAATGGCAAACAAGCTGACAGCCCACTTGACGGTAAGTGGTAACCGCCGCCTATATATAATACATAAACAGTACCAAGGGGGTTGACCCCTGTGATCATAATGAGACCACCCATGAGTACCTGGTACTCATGGTATGGCATTCCGAAAAACTGTGCAATTATAATCTATCTTTACGTCAAATTTCAATATAATACGATCAAAATTTTTGTCATGAAAGGTAACAAACAGATAGCCAGATTCTAAGAAGATTATTAAGATTATAATATTACGAAAATTGTAAATGCGTAAGTTTGTGAGTATGGATGGGTGTTTAATGAAAGTTTATAGTAACACTGCTTATAAATTAGAATATTACACAGACTATATTAAAAAAAAATGAAATTTCTGCGAAATACGATGGTAAATGTCAAGTAAGTATGATGTAAACGAACTCGCGCGAACTATTATTACTATAAATGGATATCGCGGCTTCATCTGCAAGATTTAATTTATTTTCCATTCATGAACGCGAATAACCCAAATTACATGCAAGATAAGAAAGAGGTATTAATTACTGATGGACATGTTTCTTCTGGAGGCAAAATAGCAGGGGATCTTCTTGGAGCCCGGCACGGTGGGTTGTGGAAGCACCTCGCTGGCGTATTGCATGGTGCTCCGGACCGCGCCGGCCAGAAGCACGGCATCAAGTAGGGGAAGCATGAAGATGGTGGAACACATTGAGGTAGATGATGGCAGGATCTTGCGGAGATTGGCTGGTGGGTGATTTTTTTTTAATTAATGACAATGAAAGGGTAATAAGCTGGCGGTAATAAGCTGGCGGTAATACGCTGGCGGTAATATGCTGGCGAGGAACTAGAAGGCTAACTTACTGACTTCCTAGTCAGTAAGTTAGAAGATTGCGTACAATTCACTAGGAATTAACCGGTTTTCAGGAGGTCGGTATAGAGGTTGACCTGACATGGTACATTGCTAACAATGGGATATAGCTAACTAAGGGACCTAGAGGTCCCATTGTTAGCAATTCCGTTCGCTTAAATATGTATATAGATGGAAAGGGGATTGTTAGTAATGTGGACTGGAAACCATCGTGATAAATTCTTGGTGAATTTGTCACGATGGGCTAACTGACCTGACCTCATGCTCATCTTATCATTCTCCACTGGTGCCCCGCCAGCGTAAACCGTTAGCGCAGGCGGGTGCACCATTCCATTATCATCCAAAAAAAAATGTACACATAATTAATTAAAAACTAATTACCTTTATTCATCGTGACCTACAAAAATAAGGTATATGATGGCGAGGCACCAGTGGAGGTCGCTAGGGCGAGTGCAGGAAGTTAGGTCATTTAACCTATTGTAGCCAATTCACCAGAAATAAACCACAATCTCGGTTTCGATTCCTCGCACGATGCAAACATTTGTATTCATAAATATGACCTGTATGTTCTTTAGTACTTGTGCTACATATAGCATGTTTAAGCTTGTGTTATAGGTACTAGACAACAGATACAATTACATAGATTCGACGGCCTCGCTTGTTTATGTAGTGTACCACACCGGCTTATTTCTGATGGTCGTGGGTTCGATTTCTCGCACAGCACAAACATTTGTATACATAAGTATGATTGTTTGTATCGGCCTGGGTATTTTCTATGTATAATATGTATGTAATTACGAAAAAAAATGATTTTGTATCAGTTATTTAGTACCCATAACACAACCTTAAGCTAGCTTAACTTGGGTATAGATGGCGCTGTGTAAGTTTTTCAAAGTTATTATTATATTATTCGATTACCTTTTGCAAAATACAACTGGATCTTGGAGTTAATTCGATCTGTAAATTTTAATTCTTTAATTAAACTGTCAGTATTCTAATACGTTAATGTACCTAATTGATTATTAATAAAATGAAGTATGCAAATAATACTTACATTGTCTCTTTTTGAATAAAAGATACACTCTATAATGTGTTTCGGTTGAAGAATGAATAAATATGTTACAAGATAAGGAACATGACAACACCAGAAAGGCATCAAATACATCATATGAAACCATAATGTCTGTAGTGATTTTCTTTTATATAGGCGACGGTTATTACCCTTCCAATGACAAAAAAAATACTACGGAGTCCGACACAATAAAGTATTTTTACAGGAGTAATAAATTAAAATATAATAAAACAGTTTCATACCGGCGATGGTTCGTATTTAGGTTTTCGATTCACAGATATCTGAAAAGAAAAATAATTAACATCAGTAACATTACTAATTTCTGTCACTTTGTATTTTTTTTATATTTAGATTTAGATTCATTATTTTCTTATTGCAGTATAAAAACGTTACACATGGCAAAAATAATATTTAGTAAATATGTTTTTTATCTATTTTATAAATAAAGGATTAATAAAAACTACTATTTATAGTTTATTTATAAAATAATAATAATAATAAAAAATTACCTTCATTCCAAAGGAATTGGCGCAGTTTATCATACATTTAGCAGGTGCACACGCGACCTTTAAAAACACATTTTTATAATGTTAAGCCTAATAATACAGATAGTTCTGTATTGTATTATTTAATGTTAATTATAATTATTAAAATAATTAAGTATATACAATACCTACCTTACATTTGCACTTCTCTTTAGGGCAAGTTCCACACTACAAGAAACATAATTATTACTTTTATTAGTAAAGTATAGAATCTTTCTCTATAAGTCTATATTCAATTTATAATATTTACTTACATACAGTGGACAGGGGGGATCGTCCTGAAGCATAAGTATTTAATTAATAACCACGAATTCATATGCTTGTGCAATATCTATTGCGTCATCCAAAGCCGATAAAAATTTTTTTTTACAATGCACCGACATATTATTATTAGGCATTTCTTTTTATAAAGATTAAGCATGAGAATAGATACACATACAGCTTTGTATTTTTTTTGTATGTATTAAATTGGAATTACTACAAGGTGTTGGTGATGATAATCTGTGGAATTTACGTTATCATATGCGATATACCCGCGATATCACTTATGCATTACCATTCTATAGGACTAAGATGTCTTGCCTTTTATGCTTTACATTTACTGCGTAACCTCACAGTCGGAACACAGCCTACCATGCAAGCTGCTTGGTGGCTGATGTAGGTTAGACTGAGGTCCACGATGAGGACCCACGTAGACGATTTTTTACAGTCATCATATGGAGGATTTATGATTATATATTTGTTACCTAAGAAGTTATTATGTGTTATATTCACATTTATATCCGCATTATGCACACAATATAAACAGCCAAAAATGTGGAATACTCAATAATTTTGTACCAACTTTTATGTACCATATTTATTTCAAATAAATCATTATGGTTGATCTTTAAAATTACAGCTATAAATATTAATGCTTCACAACTCTGCACTGAATACGTAAATGAAAATATTGTACATACACACAGCGGTGCGCAGGTTCCAGGGCAAATAATATCGCAAGAATCAACGCCGTATCTACGACATCCACCCCACTGAAAACATTATTGTCAATTCATTATATCTATAAGTATATTAGTAAATCGATATAGACAATGATATGCTAAAACATAATAATAATAATAATAATAAACTCTTTATTGTGCACATAGAGGAAATACAATAAGAAAAAGAAAAACAATAAATAGAAAATTATGAACAAAAGGCGGTCTTATCGCTATAAGCAATTTCTTACAGACAACCTGCAAGATAGGACTAACATACACAGAAGAGGTAGATGGCACACACAAGACACTAGAATTATCAAACTAATTAATAGACATACATATATATATATATATATATATAAATAAATATACATACATATATTCAATATATTGGAAGATTTCAGAGTTAAATAGGAAAAAAAAAAAAAAATTTGCTATAGGGACAGATAATGAGACCTTAGACGATTTTTAAATATTGTATGAGATTGAGCGGATCGAATGGAGAGTGGTAGAGAGTTCCAAAGGCGAATGGCTAGGACAGTGAAAGAGTTCCAGGGCAAATATATCGAATAATATGTAGAGGAGTGAGCAGGGATCGTCAGACAAAGGCTTCTGGTGCTACGCAAAGCAGAACCGGGGGATTTAGAGTGAAATAAACATAGTGACTATTTACTCAGTGACGCTAATGACTAAGAACCAAACTGGCATATTAATTTCAAATTTAGAATTGTCTTTCAAACCTAAAAATAACACAATAGTAATTTTTACTTCTCTTTGGCGAATATACTACGTACCGAGTCGTCATAAATAACATTTTAATAGATTTCCCGCCTAAAATATTATTCCCGGCAAAATATATTTTTTTATTTCTTACCTATACTGTATTTATTGGATTATGAGAATTTGTTCACTAAAACAACATAATCTTTTTATGAAACTATTATATGAATGTTTTTGCGGCATGTTTGTTTAGAACTGTGCCTGCATTTCTTTTTTAGAAGCATTACGAATTGTAATATAGATTAAATTTTGAATGAATTCTTATTAATTAATATTGCTCTGTGATTGCAAATGCAGTGACTTCTACCAAAATCAAGTAATATGTATTCAAATGTAAGTAACTACAAGTTCTTTAACTAAATATTGTCATATTAATTGCGCTATAATAAAAACATTATCTAATACATATGTTACATAGGCTGATTAATTTGATCGTAAGAATGTCTTTCATTTAACGTCAACATCAAAGAGAAGCATGATATTTACGCAAAAATACAAATACAAACAAGTACAAATTTTAATTCTACAATTTTCGTGTAACAATGAACTATTATGTATTGTAATTAGAATAAGTTACTGTATTTACTTTCAATGAAGCTGGGAGATCAGTCTTACTCTGAAAATAAAATAGAAATAACCTTATTTCTTTTGTTAATAGATATTGATGGATCATTATCACTAGCGGAATGTAGTTTCGATAATTTACCCATCGTGACAAATTGACTATAAATTAACCACCATAGTTATTAGGGGAGACCGCGTGGAGGTCGACCTGACACGGTACATTGCCAGCAATGAAGCCTTTACTAACAATCCCATCGCCCTGTTTTTTACAATTACAAGGGTAAGGGTAGTTATACCAGAGTGACACAAACTATTATGTACAAAACTCAGCATTAAATGTATCTGGGGCGTGCCACTAGTTCAATATTTTATGATATAGAGTGAGAAATAAGTACTACCATAGAAATACTAACTACCTACCCTGTGTTTACAGCACTTTTTGCCACAACAGATCTGTACTACAGCAGTTTGGTGGAAAGCAGGCATTTCGTCGTCTTTTCTCAATTTTCTCGATGGCCGTGACCTGACGATTGTGATGTTTGATAATCCGAACATATTGTGCTCTTTATCCAGTCGTAGAATTGTTGATAGGTATTTATCATTGACGCTGATTTGTTCTTCAATTTCATCGTCAGATTCATTACTACCGTTGGTGCTTGTGGAGGAATTTGTGGGAGAAAGTAACGGTGAGCTGGAAATATTATTGTGTGTAAGTAGAAGAATAAGGAAACAAAACGTTAATTCGAGACGGGAAGAAATTTGAAAATGGAATGCTGCATCAGCCTGGCCTAAAGGTATCGCTGAAGGATCAATTATGAAAATGAGCACAGTATGTTGGTAAAATAAAGAAATATTAAGTGAAATTGCGAGATTAGGAAATATATATTAATTACAATCAAATATAGTTTAATATGTCCTACATCCTGAAACTCCGTTCACGACCTTGGTGATCCAGCGGTTTAATACACCGCTTTACTTTCCTTGTTCGCGGTACGATTCCTCGCATTATATGTATGTTTGGATTGGTCTGAGTGGTTACTATTTATATTTTTAGGTATTTACAATTTTTAAGTTGTCTAGTACCCATAACATAAGCTCTGCTCAGCTTGGGAGTGGTGATGTGTAAATTGCTCAAAGTTATTGTTATAAAGAAGCAACATTTCGAGATGAATTTTAATAGGTATGATTTTATTAGGTTTAGCCGTTAAGTCGTCAAAATTATAAACTAACAAACTCCCTTTCATATTAATAAGATTAGGATGAATTTAAAAAATTACCTGATTTCTTTTATGTCCATTTTCTAGTTCTTACCTTCGCACCTGTTAGTGCGTTAATTTTTCTGTAATTATATATTTTCTTAGATACGAGTACAACAAGATAATTTTAAGGTAGTAACTCGATGTTTGCTTTGCAGTGCAGTACGATTCGGGGCGATGAAATTCGCACCACATCCCGTAAGACCTCTTACTTCAAGATTAAGTATTACGTATGTGGCAAACAAGCATACGACCCATTGGACGGTAAACGGTTACCGTAACCTATGGACGCCTGAGACACCAGGGGGTTACGTGCACATAGCCGACCCTGATCAGATAACCGCATGAGATCAGATGCTAAAATGTTGCGTTCAGAATCACATACGAACCTAGAATCAGGAGAACCTTCTTGGTCTTCAGTGAGCCATTTCATTTTGGTAAGTTTCAATATATTTGGGTTTATCCCGCGTTGCGTCCTATATTCATTTTCTGATATTTCACTTTCTTCACCAGACGTAGTTGTAGGCTGTCATCAAATATTAAATAAGTACAACATTTATCATTATATTAAAACGTGAAGCAAAAACTTTGAATCCATTTTTACGAAAATTGCGCGGTCGGAGGATTACGAAATTTTGCATACTTATAGTTTATACAGAGAACGAGTGCAGAATACTAATATTTTTTAAAATCAGGCATAAAAAATACATTAAATAATAACAGAAACATTACACACACTACCATGTATTTGACATGCACGCATATATATTCTTTTATTTATAGTTAAAATGTATATATTTGTTATTGCTGGTTCAAAGATCTTTTGGTATTTTTCCACTAGTTATAATAAACATATATAGTCACGCCTGTATCCCCTGATGGAGTAGACAGAGGAAATGTTTAACTGTTGATGTCGAATTAAACGTGCCAGATAACTTGTACACCTTTCGTAAATTTGAATCCATTGTGACCCAAACCATGCTTTTCACATCCTCATTAAAACTTTTAATGATATTTACTTTACGTTTGTTCCTCTCAATTTTTTCAATTTTAATTTATGTTGTACATGTACAATAGACTAGTTACTAGTTTACTCGTATGTGAACTGCATGCTTACTCTAATTATATATTTTCCTAATGAGTGATTTTGTTTCGTCACATTTTTATTAATTACTTTATTCGATTCGCACACGCAGTCTAAGTGAATTGAAATGACCAATCACTGACCAGTTTCTTGACTGGTCGTACTATAGCCAATCGTAACATCAATCGACTGATCACGTGATAACTTTCATGATCAGAAGAATTGTCTCTCGATTCTGTGCGAACGGCGGTTGCAACGTAGCTGAGTTTCATAAAATCCAAATTTAAGTAGTATAAGACAAAGAACCTTAAGACCCTTTCATCAAGTTGTGTAACCTGAAGTGGGCAGCAGATCCGAAGTGGAAAACAGAAGAGTAAATCGCAACAAGGGAGATTCGACTTCCGGCTCTTCCAGGGGAACATCCGACGATCCGGCTATATGTAAGTAGTGCTTGGTCTATATCTTTACACAAAGACTGGCGTGTGTGATCGTTTTACATTGGCTGGATCTCCCAAAGTGTAATCGGTTCTACCGAATTGATACAGTTTTATATAAATTACTACTATGTCGATACAATTTGCGTTCACGCCTGAAATTATATAAACGCGATGTGTGGGAAGTGTGTTATGATCCAGTGCAGATAATGTCACTCCTATGAAAGGACACGCAACACAAACCAAATTATGACTAGGTATTTAGCGCACTGAACAATATGGTACTATTAAAATGTTAATTTTTCTATTTTACTATAAATTGGCTATATACCGTTATTGTTGCTCAACTGTTTTATTATGTGTGCTTTATTTACTACAGTCATTAACTGGTTAACTATTGTTTTGAGGCAATTAGAAAGATTAAAATAGAATAACATGTTACAATTGGTATAGTAATTCGTTGGTCTAATTTATAGTTATGATACATAAAAACTAACACGTGAAATTTTTTTTTAACAAACTATCATGTTTCATTCGCTAAACTATTTATTTACGCTATATAATTTAGTATATATACTTCAAGTTCTTCTTCATGATACTTTAGTATAGATACTTCTTCACTCTATAGTATATAACTATGTACTAACCTAATGTATACAAAATTCATGAAAATTTGTTTAAAAGTTACTATGCTCTTTTGTGTTATTGATATGTTATTAATATATAGTTAATTATTATTATAATATATTGTTCCAATACTTTTATTGTTATATTTGCTAAATTAGAAATCGGTTTTCTTTATACAAAATTATTAACGGTAGACTTCCCAACAAGACTCTTGGTTATCATGATGACTTACGTAAGTTGTTGATGAGTCAGCCTCGTTATGTTCCTTTTCTGGGTCTGTATCGTCTTTTCTATGAGATTCTATTAGTTCGTGAAGTGCTTTTGATCTTTCTACTTGTATCAGCTGATCTTCATGATTTCTCTGAATCGTAAATTAATTTTATAAATTCGGATATTTATTAATTACACTTTTATCTAAAAATTAATTAATTACATTTTTATCTAAATCCCAAAGGGAGTCGCATCTCATTGACAGAAAAAAATATATTTCTGAATGATTATGTAATATGGAAAAACACCGATAAAGAAACAAGTACAAGACAAGTAAAATAAAAATACCGTTTTATTGATTCAAATATACTCAGAGAAGTGCTCATGTTAATTGTAATATTCTCCATAATGTCCCTAACTAAAAGGGCTTTTGACCATCCCTCCACCATCCCTCCTAGAGTTACAGTCGAGATCATATTTATTTAATTTAGGTACATGCAATAAATATATATGACCAAATACCTCTTCAGATTCTCCATTTATGTAGTTGAAGGATATTTTATTCTGTTCTTTGTTATGAATCACTTCATCAGTTGGCTTCAAATCATTTACCATACATACATAAGTGAAGAATACATTTTGATCTGAAGCACTGCTTACTAACTTTAATTTACTTTCTGGTTTTTGAGACATTTTATGTTTATTTTTATTGTAATTATCCATTGATGACAGTATGTTGATTAACTATTTTATGCTGAATTGAAAACATATTCTGAAATTGTAAATAAATAGAACGATATTATTTACTATTTTCTCGAAAAAATTACCATTTAACAAAAACTTTGCATTATCATCATCAATATCATCACCACCACCACCATTATCATCATTATTATCAACATTATAATCATGTCAATCCATTATTCCCCCACGGTATTTCTCTCATAGCAGGATTAAGTATTACAATGAGCACCAAGAGACTTGGTATAGTCTTTTATATAAAGTTTCACCCTTCTCTTACACAGTTGTATCTATGCTATGCTCTCATAATTATATCTTTCTACATTCTGAGGATGAATGGATATGGTAACTGTGTATTAACATCGTCGTAATAACATTACGACGACAGCAAATATAAGTAATTATAAATTAAATTACATATGGAAAAGCGCAAACTTTTCGTAATAACCACTTTTGCAATTTTGTTAATTAGAATATAAGAAGTTAGCAGTTAGAATTTTGATGGAAATTTCTATAAAGGATTTTCATGTAATTTACGTACACAATTTGGAGAATATATATTTCGATTTATGATCACATTTTTGTTCTAAAATCACCAGACCTAATAAATTTCTTAAAAGATTTCAATTTTGACAGAACTCTCTTTTCATACGAAAAATTATGTCACTTTATTTCTTTTTAATGCTCATTTTAGATATAAAGTTAAACTTTTTGATATAATAAGTTCTGTATATTATCAATTTTCACTGTATGTTCTTTATGGGGTAAGCATTGTAATCCAGTACCATTGGCTTCTATCCATACTTACATCATTCATTTGGCAATTGGAGGAACAAAACTGATTACTGTATTTTAAAATTAAATTACTGTGTATTAATAATAAAATACAGTAAACAGATATTAATTAAAGTTAATTACTACTATTCTTGTGTGATACAAATAATTATTACATTTCAATCTAGTGTGTCACTTTAATTGTAGAACTAAATCTGAAGAGTATTTTTTGTACAGTGTTACTTTTATAAAAATTAATCACCTCAGTCAGTCGGTCGACTAGTTGTCATTTGACCAGTATTCTTCGTGTGATACTAATAAAATATTAGTAGATACAATACTAGTAGATTGTATAACAATAAAAATTATTATTATATAATCTACTGTAAGTAGTTTTGTTACTTTAATCGTAGAACTAAATCTGAATTCTATTTGTTGTTGTTTGTCACAATCTTTATTCTATATTAAAATGTTCTGTATACAAAAATATATAATAAAATTCTTTAGAAAAATACATACATATATGAACTGTAATAGTTTGTGGCCAGTACGTCAGCAACTGTTGTTTATGATTTCTAGTTTCCATAAAAAAATAATAACGTCCTATTAGTTCGCCCTAGTCTATATTTTAGAAAAATCTGATTAATTTTCTTTAAATGTTTTATCTTGATTTGCTGTTAATTGTTCGTCCAAAACCATTTTAAGTTAGGTCACCGTTTAAAGGTCGCCACTCGGCCCACAATGGTCCGTGCCCAAATTCCGCGGCGTGTAATTGTATGAGATTATCCCATTATCTGATTAGGAAGCAATTTTTCATGGGAACAAAACAATGAGCCGACATTACACCGGCCCGGAGGCAGCGGTCTGTGACCCGCTGTGACTGATCGTTACATACCATTTTTTTGCTCTTAAATAATTGTTATTTTCGAAATAGAATGATTTATTGTATCCTGTTTTACAATGAGAATTTTGTGTATTCATTCATATTTCACTAAATTTACTTTTCGATAAGGGAAAACACCTTAAAAATATTCGCTTTCGTAAATATTAGTTTTTTTCGACATACGAAGCCAATTAGCTACATAGGTAATTCCTGGAAAAGAACGAACTGCCTGTTTTTGTTGGACCTTTGAGTTTTGCCACAAGGACAGACATAAACCTAGTAGGTTTACGTCTTTCCTTGTCTAGCGAAAGACTTTGTTGGTCTAACTAAAGAAGAAATAGCATATCTAATAGATTTTTTATTCGACGCTCTCCAGATAATTATTTGCAATTCAAACGCGCTGTAATTTTTTATGATGTTCTAGGAAAACATTAACTGTAAGTACAGTGCGCCCCGCAGTCTGTAGTTCTGTAGCCCAGTGGTGTTAATGACATCAGGCCGAGCAAAAACTACAATAAAAGTGCGAAAAAACAGATGTTCGCTGAGATAAACCGGCCACCGTCCGCCCGGGCGTGGTAATTGTAGTAGCGGCAGTAGTTCGAATTCGTTTTCGAATATTTTTATGTGTACCTATTATAAGTGCTGCTGGGATGGATCGTTATATATTACGATCAATCTCAGTTTCGCGGATGCATTATAAAACATTTAATTTCATTTTCTATATTAAAATACGCATTCGTCTTGAAGCTCTTTATCTATTGCTGAAAACTAACCAGTGCGTCCTACCCGTTATGACATACGGTGCCGAAACGTGGACACTGACGATACGACTGGTCCACCAACTCAAAGTCGCTCAACGAGCTATGGAAAGAGCTATGCTTGGAGTTTCTCTGAGGGATCAAATCCGTAACGAAGTAATTCGCCAGAGAACTAGGGTCACCGACATATATTAATATATTAAATGGCAGTTGGTAATATCTGTCGTAGAATCGATGCTCGCTGGAGTAGGCGTGTTCTAGGGTGGCCCCGCAGCTAGGTGGAGCGACGACATACGTAGGGTTGCGGGTAAAAAATGGAAGAGAAGCGCTGAAGATCGTGCCCAGTGGCGTGTCTTGGGAGAGGCCTATGTCCAGCAGTGGACTGCAGTGGGCTGATGATGAAGCAAACAGTATACTAATATATTAAATGATTACGTAAAATCTCTATAAATGAAATAATTATATACAAAAAGTTGAATTATAAAAATAACAATTTTAAATCAACAAAATATGAACATTGTGTTTCTCTATGTGATGATAAAAAATGTACCTAGGTAATCGTTCAATATGCATTACAAGTGTGATGCATCTTGAATCATTACCTTTAAAAAAGATATATCATTGTCATCATCGTAGTATAAAAATATAGAATTTATTACAGCTTATCAACTTGATATACTGCTGCAAATTTTATCATTTAAGAGACCAGACCAACAATTTATTTTTGTACACTACAACCAACCGTATTCTATTGAATTTTGCTGTCGACTGTACTTACATGTTAAGTTGACTAAAGTTACAATACAATTGTATACGTTACGTTGATACGGAATGTAATGAGAATTTTAAATAGAAATAAAGAACTTATTAGACTTTGAATACCGTTAATATGTACAGTGTGCTAAATTAATTTAATAGTATTGTAATTTATGAATATTACTTATATGTACAAAAAGTATATAAATTATTGTAAAAATATATAGAATTTGTCTTTAAATTGACCTGTTTATTAGTAGAGATACAATAAGAAGTACTTCAAATATGAAGAAACCTTAGTTTAACCAAACTACTTACTACCACTGCATTACAAGTAAGTTTTATATTTTATTAGAAATTATATTTTTTTTGTTGTCGCTATGAAAATATATCAATATATATTTAGTTATTAGTTTGTTTTGTTGTCTGTACATAATTAATACTTGTGAACAGTTGTAAACGTTTGCACCGATGTGAGGCAAATGTTTGTAGCGGTGATTCACACTAAGCCACTAAGGGGTCCGCAACAATTTGTAACATGTATCAATTTATTATGGTCAATAAATATTAAATATATTACAAAAGTATTTTAAGACTTTATAAAACTTAACTAAAACAAACATTAGAATATTTAGATGTTATTTTAAATAAGGTGATTTATTAAATATTTTAGATTTATGTGCATCCCTACTTTACTTATTGTAAATATTAATAAATATTACTTATTGTAAAATAAAATAGACATTAGAAAAGTAGACATGCAATATTGTTTTAAATCATTAAATGACAATAGACATAAAAATTACAATGATTAATAATTTATTGTATCGTTAACATAATATAATAAATTAATTTTCAAATACCATATAAAAATGACTATATAGGAATTATTTGAAAAAATAAAATATAAAATGGCTATCTCAATTAGAGCGTCAATTTTGCTGAAAAATTAAAATACATGTTTAAGAATTTATTTATATTTAATTAAAGTTAATGTATTTATAATGTACCAAAGGTTGTGTATCTCTTAATCACATCTGACGAAAAAGAGGCTTTGTACCGTATCACTTTTGTTGTGGACCCTGCGCCGGCGCAACCTCCAATGATTTATTCGTGATATACATAGATAGCTTGCCAAAACTTAAAACTAAATTACTAGTTATGTGAATTAGTGCCTTGTTACCAGTGAATAAGTTATTAAATATGAATCCGAATGCGTTTGTTTTTGTCAGCTTGTGTATTATTGAATGGACCGTCAACGCTCAATTTGGGAGTAAGTGTTTTTTTTATAAAGCATTTTTTTTAATGTATGTTAACCAATTTAATTAAAGATGTCTATGTTCAAGCCACATCTGTTAAGTACTGTATAAATAATTTTCTCTATGTGTTTGTCACCTCCTCCTAAACGGCTGGACAGAATTTAATGAAATTTTATATTACTGTATATTTCAATGTGTATATTTCAATTATTCTAATGTGTTACAAGAATACTAGATATATAAACAAAAACACAACAGAATAGAAAATCATCTCAGAAAGTCATCTGCCGGGTCCTTTAGTACTAATATAAAGCGAGATATTAGAATAAAATCCCAATAACCTTTCATATATATGATTGAAGCATTAATAATAAATTACAACATTCTTTATAATTCATAAGATACAGAGTGAAGCGAAGGTATCTGATGTACCTGATGAGTGGGAGGTATCGAGGGTTTGGGAGAAAAAATTCGTATGTAATTAAAATGTATCTGTAATTCCACAGTGATTTATAATAGGTTAGCAACTTCATCTGTATGACACTTAATTGATATTTATTATTATATTTCGTCCAATTAACATAATATATTTATAATTTATAGCTTGGGCTATCAGGATAGCACAAGCTATATTACTGCAAAGTTTCTTCAAAATCTGTTCAGTAGTGTTTGCATGAAAGAGTAACAAACATGCATAAACTTTCGCGATTGGTATTAGTAAGATTATTATAACAAATAATTTTTAAAATTATGATTACAAAATTAAAAAATTATTTGTTATCCAACATGGAGTATATAGAGGTAGCTCTTCGTCTATCTTATTTTTAAATGAGTCCCTGGAGACGTCATGTATTGCATTATATAGTGAGTACAAAGTACCTAGGTATACATATTTCTACTGATACGTAACATGTTTTACAAACCTGTGTTCCTGCATGAAGAAATAGAAATAAACTTTATTAAAATAAACTTATATAAGCACTTTTGAACATATTTTTTATTATATCTTGCTCATTCAACAAGAATGAGCAAGAAACTTGCGTGTTGCTCTTTTAATTAAAGATCGTCATTGTTCATCATTACATTTTTAAGATCTAATACAGAATGCAAACTGCCAAACAGTAAGGTTGACAAAAGTATATAACAAGTAATTGGGTAACAAAATGAATTAGTTATAGTTTGATAACCATTACTGATTTATTTCTTTACTCTAGCTATCTTTGATGAGCAAATCACTCCCTACAAGCAGCACTCGTTCTCGAATATAATTGCTGAACCAACTAAATAAAAATTATTATGTCCTTACCTATGCTAATAGTTACTCAGATTAATATTACAATGTTACAGAATATGGGAGGAAGGAAGACCGAAAAAGAGATGGATGGACTGTGTGAAAGATGATATGGTGAGAAAGGAAGTAAATAACAAGGTGACTGCAAACAGGGATGAATGGAAGAGAAAAACATGTTACGCCGACCCCAAATAAATGGGATAAGGAAGAAGCAGATGATGATGATGATGATGATGATGATGATTACAGAATATAATCGGAGGGGGGATGGGGACTGTTAGTAATGTGGACTCAAGACCCTATTACTAGCAATGCACCATGTCAGGTTGACCTCCACGGTTCCCCCTAGATAGTTCATGATAATTCCCTGGTGAATTTGTCACGATGGGCTAATTAACCTGACCTCATGCTCATCTTATAATCCTCCACTAGTGCCCCGCCAGCGTAAACTGAGAGCGCAGGCGAAATAACACAGGCGGCTGAACTATACCATTTCATTTTACCGTAAAAAAAAAGTTTTTGTCTATAGGCGATGATTACACTTTCCATCAGAATATTTGCTATTTCATTTATGGTACATACAAAACGTAATACATATACAGAAAGTGGTTCATAATGTCCATATACATGTCGTAATAAAAAATGAACATGGAAACGCAAGCACTATAGTGATCCAATAATTACGCGACACAATAAGCCCGTAGCCTCGATTTGTATCCTGAACTAGATGATCATATCTCCATATTGAAGGTCACAGACGGTAATTTACGTGCAATATGTTATTGCACATTTATTATTATATATCTGTATAGTATATCAATTTGTATATAACCCATGAGCTTATATATTTTGCTTATTTATGTAATTATATATTTTATGTTGGTATATTTTATATAATATTTCGTGATCTCTGATTAGCGCGACGGTTGACTGGTAGAGAATGCCATCAGACATTAAGTCCGACATGTTTACAATTGTGAGCCATAGAACAAAATAATTAATAAATATTATTTCAAAGTTTATTGTTCTACACAGATATTTATTTAAATGGGAAAATGAGTTGGTTTTTATTTGCTATGCTTTTAGTCTTCATGACTTAATAATAAGGCGTCAAGGAAGTTTGTGAATACATTGAATTTGGGAGGGAGCCATAAAAAATAAACGCGGACCTATAGGTCTGGGTATTTTTTATCTATATATAAATTAAGTATATATTTTTATGTATGTATAATAATTTTTATTCATGTTAACTTTTATGTAATATTTACTTTACTTACTTTTATGTAATTATTACATAAGTATGATTGAGTGTATACAAACAATCATTTGTTTGTATAATATAAATTTTTATACCGTTCAAGGAATCGAAGCCGCGACCATCGGAAGTGTGGCGGAGTACTAAATTGCTGGCCGTCAGAAATTGTAAACAATATCATGACATCATGACATGACATGTCACAAAAAGACAGACATTAATTTTTATTAGTTTTATGCAACAGAGTCTAAAAAAATGAATATCTTTCTATGTTTTTATACTTCGTTAATGCGATCTTGTGAAGTTAACCCTTATAATTTATAGGAGCTAGAGTAGATTATATATTAGGATATATATATGGTTTTTATTAGATAAATAGTTTTCCGAATGTTTTGATATGTTGTTTTTAAATTATTATTTTTTATAATGTACACATTTGTTGCATTTCTTTAGCGTTAAATATTCTGTTATAATTCTAGGTGTGTCATTAAGTATGGGATTTGCTGAGAGAAATAATAACGACGATTATGACAATGTTAAAGTAAGTACCTAAATGTATGTATATATGTATCTATAAACTTAATCATAAATATTATATATATTTGTATATTATATTAGAGTTTAAAATAGCAAATGTATTAAGTTTTTACTACTCAATCATAAATATAAGGGTAAAATTTAGTATGTGGAAATGTCCACTGCTTATCCCAAAGTACAGAATTTTTTTCGTAGGGAGCAGGGTTTCACCTCATATTTCGAGGATATACTGATTCACATATATTTGTACCATACCATAAATAAATAAATATTATACACTTAATCCTGCACGCAAACCTAAATGGTAGCAATTTTTTAACAAAATAGCAATAAACAAGACAAATTGCTGAATGTCTGTGATATATATCTACATATGTTTTTTTTACATTTTCAGGGTCCCTGTCCGCCAAATACGCAATGTAAACCAATAAGTTCATGTCCTATGCTAGAAGATTTACTGGACTTTTCATGTTTTTCATCAGACAAGTAAGGATTCAATCTCTTTTATTTAATTAATATTCTCAATTTCTTTTATTTAATTAATATTTGACCTGTTTTTAATTAAATTACACTTAAAAACTACTATCGGCAGTAGTAGTTTTATAAGAAAAAAAAGTTGGTTGAGAGGTGTAGGTAATATATTTTAAGGCTTATTAATACTTCTACTGTTGCTTGATATTAAGATGACACTTCATCGTACCAAATCAACTCGTCATTCTATTAAGATCAAACTCACAAATGTTATAAATTGTATCAAACAACCAAAAAAGCTTTTTTTATTTATCTTGGACAATCCGCACGATCTAGTCACAAGATTTGCAGAGCCTTGTGGCCTTGGCCATGTGTACCTTTTTTCTTAATTAATAACAATGGAATAATGCACCCGCCTGCGCTCTCGGTGTACTCTGGCGGGGCACCAGTGGAGGATGACAAGATGAACATGAGGTCAGGTCTGTTGGGCCATAGTGGCAAATTCACCAAGAATTCATCACGATGGTTTCCATGGGGAAGTGCGTGGAAGTAAACCTGGTACAACATTGCTAGAATGGGATCATCAGTTCATGGTAACATACCCCTTTTCCTCCATATTATGTGTACTAGACAATTGAACTGTACTAGAAGTACTTAATTACATTTTTTTGTAATATTTAAATAATATACATAGAAATCACCCAGGCCTTACTTACCATCAAGAAAGCAGTCAGCTTATTTGTCATTTCAATTAACATAAACAAATATAATGTTAATTTTAGTATAAAATAAAGTCGCTTCCGCTGTCTATCCCCGTAGATCTTTTAAACTATGCAACGGATTTTAATGCAGTTTTTAGCAGCAGAGAGAGATTCAAGAGAAAGGTTTATATGTATACTACTTGTTATACACATATATACGTTGTTTTGCCTTAAAATAAAAATAAAAAATTAGGAGTGCTAACATTTAGGGAGATGAAAAATAGATGTTGGCCGATTCTCAGACCTGCTCAATACGCTCACAAAATTTCATGAGAATCCGTCAAGCCGTTTCGGAGGAGTATGGGAACGAAAACTGTGACACGAGAATTTTACATATAAGATTACATGTAGGTACACCCATGCGTAGCCGGGGCGGGTAGCTAGTATATATATCAAGTTAGTTCATGTTTTCAAATTACAAATAAATCTGCAGGTATTTCCATCGCTTGAACGAGTTGACCTGTGGTCACGCCAACAATGAGGACTACGTATGCTGCCCTTCATGTGACTGCAGCAGGATATACCAGGACGGCACCGACAGATGCGGCCAGAGTATGGTCAAAGCTGTCAACTATACTGGTATTGGTGCTCATCCCTGGGTCGCCAGGGTTGGATTCACTCGTAAGTTAATAATCACAAAACGCTGTAGAACAGTCCAAAAATTCCTGGAAATAGATGAAAATGACATAACACCAGTTACATAAATGAAAAGGCACACAATAAATACATACATACACACACACATAAACACACACGCACACACTCATTGCACATACTTGGTTTCGACGCTTAAGTGTAGTATATATGTATTATAATTAGTTTGTAAATGTATATATTTTAATTTAAGGAGACGACAGATTGACAATAATCAGTTGTGGGGCTACCTATACAAATTACATATACAACGCGTTTATATATTTTCAACTGCATAAGATATCCTTGCATCTCCACTTTCAACTCCTTACAGCCCTTTTTTAACATTAAAAAGTACCCTATGTCCTCGGATTCTAGACTATTCAGAAGTTTTGGCGTGAAAGCGAGACAGACAGACAGACAGACAGAGTTACTTTCGCATTTATAATATTAGTAAAGAAGTAAGGATAATATTATAATAACACAGCAAAAAAAATATTTACCAAAAATAACTTATGTGAATTTTTTTTGTTTTTTTTTAAGATAAAGAGTCGGGTAATGTACGATTCGCTTGCAGTGGCTCGATCATCTCGAAGAGAGTGGTGTTGACTGCAGCCCATTGTGCTTTGGCCAAACCTGAGGGGTATAAATTGTAAGTTTTATTTAAACTAAAAACTTTTGTTAATTAAAAAAAAATCGTTTAGGGAAATGGTGAAACCGCGGGCTCAGCTACTATGTGATATATATCACATGAAGGAAGGAAACACACGCGTTTAAGGTGAATGTTGACGTAGGTGATTAAAGAGTCCCCATAAACCGACACCGGGGTCACAAGTCCCGGGAACCGTGAGGAGTTTCCCTCTCAGCCAGACTATGGACCTGGCTACCATATGACGAATCTGTATAATAATTGAGAAGTGGGGAGAAGTCGATTGTTAGTAATGTGGACTGATGATTCTATTGCTAGCAACATCTTTGAGGTTAGGTTGACCATTCTACGATACGCTTATATGGAGGGCTATTGTAACGCAAGTGGGGCTGAATGGTGCGGCTCTAAACTAAACATTGCTTCTCCAGACAAACCCCCAAATGATAAATTTTTAATTTGGTCACGATGGGCTAACTGACCTGACCTTATATACATCTCATCATCCTCCACTGGTGCCCCGCCAGCGTAAGCCGTTAACGCAGGCGGGTGCACCATTCCATTATCATCCATGAAGAAAAACAAATGCTAAGAAGATCGTATCTTTTTTCAAATTCAGATCAACAATAGTAGTGGGTGAATGGGATACGGGGCGGAGTCCTGACTGCAGTGAATTCTTCTGCGCGCCCCCCACACAGGCCATCAAAGTGGATAACGTGATCGTCCATCCAGGGTATGAGAAGAAGATATTCCGACACGATATAGCGCTGGTCGTGCTTAAAGAGGAAATCAAATATTCAGGTAACAGAAAAAAATTGAAGTGTTATATCAAAAAGCAGTAAATATTTCGCTTTTTTGTTTTAATTTTGTTATTGAACTTTGACACGTTATATAATTTTGAGCCGAAACATAATTTGCGGGGTCGGCTAGTAGTGTACCAAATATCAGGAATTCAATAAAAATAAATAAAACTTGTTAAAATCCCGTGATTTTTCATAAATATTTCATAACGTATAAATAATATACTCTCAATAAGATAGTATCTGGGCGACTAAGCTTTGTACAACTATTTTTTTCTAATTTACCGTTATGTTAAAGTATAAAGTGTGAATATCATGAGACACAAAACCTTGTATAGGTATAAAATGTCATATAATTGTTAGAAATACACGAAATAACCAACCAATAAATGTCATCATTTATGCGGGTAGTCGCTGCTTAGATTTTTTTACTTTTGCTACCGTCTGCATTATATGTATACACTTTCTTTTATATTTCAACTAATATTTAATTTTGCATAAGTTTATAATTTTAGTTCTCATGTTAAGTGAATTATTTGTAATTCTTAATGAGAATAAATATCTAAAACCCGAAATAACGAAATGCATATGTAAGTATACAGTATATACTTTTTTCAACCTGACATGGTATGTAGCTAGGAATGGGGTTATTAAAACACATTACTAACTATCGCCTCCCTTGGGAATGTAACTGTAGGGAGTCCACCGGAGCCAGCCAACTCCGGTGGACTCTCTGCAGTTACATTTAAAATTGCAATTTTGAAAGTTGATTATAAGAAAAAAAGTCTGGAAACCCCTGGTTTAAAGTAATCAGATTTCCTAATTATTTACCGTAATTTTGTTAACAAACAATTACGTATTTTTCACATGTCAATGTCACATACCACACTCGTCTCACTGTCGTACACTTCCGCATGTCCATTACCTTTTCCCGCGTCCTTGACTGTGACAGTGTCACACTCATGTCACAGATGTAATCTATTCTAATGACATTGATTGAAATCACAATTTTCAGTGACCGCAGCGCCGGTGTGCCTCAACGATAGGACGGAAATTGTTATTAATGAACGCGCGGCGCTGGTTGGCTGGGGGAAACTGTCGGGGCAAAACAACGCGGTATGATTAAAATAATTAGTATCATTACTAGCTACTCACCCCGGCTTCGCACGGGGGTACATGTATTATACATATAAACCTTCCTCTAGAATCACGCAATCGCAAAATTAAAAGAACCGCTTCAAAATCCGTTGCGTAGTTTTAAAGATTTAAGCATACATAGGGACAAACAGCCACAGCGACTTTGTTTTATACTATGTAATGATGTACATACAGATTTTTATGTTTTTTTTATGTAATTAATGATTATAATAACCTTGGACAATTCACACAGCGCTGTCTTGTCCCAAGCTATAAGCACAATCCGGAACCATCAGAAGTAAAACAGTGTGCTAAACTGCTAGACCACTGAGGTACTCTAGTCCCAAGCAGCTGTAGTAACTGTTACCCATCTTAATAAATTCCTGGTGAATTTGCCACGATAAATATAGTTAAATAAATAACTCCGGACAATTAACACAGCGCCATCTAGTCCCACGATAAGCAGAGATTGTGTTATAGGTACTAAACAACTGATATAGATACTTAGACACTTTTTTTTATATAAAATAACTATAGAATATACACAGAAAACACCCAGACCGGTACAATCATACAAGTGTTTGCACCGTGCGAGAATCGAACCTGCGACCATCGGAAGTAAAGAGGTGTGCTAAAGCACTAGACCACCGAGGCTTTCGACGGAGGTCTGGTGGTCTTAATAAACCTTCATGTTTATTTTTAATGTAATTGGACTAGGCGTACAGGCTCATGGTCCACCTGATGGTAAGTGGTAGCCATCACCTGTATACTAAATGACCTGACCTGATACTCTTATGATCCTGCACTGGTGCCCTGCCAACGTATACCATTTTTTTTAGAGTATGATAATGGAATGGTGGAGGATGATAGGATGAACATTAGATCAGGTCATTTAACCCATCGTGACAAATTCACCAAGAATTTATCACGATGGTTTCCAGGGGAACCGCGTGGAGGTTTCAGTACGGTTTTCTTGAAACTTTTTGCCCCGCACAACCACATTGTGGAATCACCTTCCAGCAATGGTATTCACGAACCGATACGATATTGAAACCTTCAAGAAAACGAGTGCACGATGCCATAATAATCCCTTAAAAAAACTAGTATGGCAGTACTAGACCGTTAGACCACCGAGGCCAAGACTTAGCATTAGTGTCTGCAAATAGACTTACCTGAATAAATATATTGATTTATATGTATGATAGGTGAGTCGCCAGCAACTGTTAAACGTTCCCCTGGTCACCCTGGAAACCTGTGAACGCATCTTCGGGGATTCCGTACCTGTACATGAGGGTCAGCTCTGTGCTGGTGGGGAAGAAGGCAGGGATGCTTGTTCAGGGTTTGGAGGCGCACCGCTTTTGCTGAATCGGGACGGACAGTATTTTCAGGTGAGGAAGTATTTCTTACATTGCTATTAAAAAATACTACTCTAATAATAATAATATCTTAGGGGAATTCACACAGAGCTATCTACCCCTAAGCTAAAGAGCTTGTGTTATGGTAAGTGATATATATAAATATATATAAATACATAGACATATTTTTTTGTAAATACATACATAATATATGTACATAGAAAACAACCAGACAGATACAAACAATCATACTCATGAATGGACGACCTCGGTGGTCTAGCGGTCTAGCACACCGCTTTACGACCGATGGTCGCGGGTTCGATTCCTCGCACGGCACAAACATTTGTATTAATGAGTATGATTGTTTGTATCGGTCTGGGTGTTTTCTATGTATAATATGTATGTATTTACAAAAAAAAATATCTATGTATATGTATCAGTTATCTAGTACCCATAACACAAGCTTTAGCTAGCTTAACTTGGGTCTAGATGGCGCTGTGTTAATTGTCCTGAGATTATTATTATTATTATTATGATTACAAAGTTTGTGCCGAGCGAGGAATCGAACCCGCGACAATCAGTAGTAAAGCTAAACCGCTAGACCACCGAGATCGTTAATATTATTTTTATAAAATCATTATTATTTGCGAATCTGAGTTCGTTTACACTTCGACTTCTTTTTAGATATTAATTCTGCGTTCAAGCATCTCTTTTGTAGTAAGCAGATAACAGTGAAACTATTAAACTAAAATGCCTTAGTATTCGATGCCGTCATTTGAATAAATATTTTATCTATCTATCTATCTAACATCTAGTAAATTATAAATCATTACCCTAACTTCCAGGTAGGAATCGTGTCTTTTGGCTCAGAAAACTGCGGCAGCGAGGGAGTACCCAGTGTGTACACCAACGTAGCTCACTACCATCGGTGGATAGTTGAGAATTCACCATCCTAATTGTATTAAACAAAACATAATAGTCTTAATATACATATATCTAATTGTACTGTATATTTAAATAAAAACCTAATTCGTGTTACACATTTAATTTCGCCGTACCCGCCATTTTTAAAATACAGACTCTGCAAATGCACAGAGTAGGTCATAAACATCTATTATTTATAGCAACAAATGTTATAGATAAATTAAATCAAAGACTATATATACTACACTAATCTTATTAATTAATATTATAAACGCGATAGGTTATGAGTATGGATGTTTATTACTTTTTCACGCTAAAACTACTTAATGGTTCTTGATGAAACTTCACAGTAATATAGCTTATACATGAGAATAACATATAGGCTATATTTTATATTAAAATGTAACTCGGGTGAAATCGCGGCCACAGCTATATATCAGAATCACACATACGCTATAATTTTAAAATACATGTAAATTGGGCGAAATATAATGTTCATTTTGAAGTAAGTATGATGCAGAAGTTACGCGAGTTAGGTAGTGTAAAATTTTATTTATTTATTTATTTATAAACTCTTTATTGCACCAATAGAATTAATACATAAGAATTATACAGAAAAGAGATATGGAAGTACAAAAGGCGGTCTTATCGCTAGAAGCAATGTGTAATGTAAAATATAAAAATATAACTGACAAACCTAAAATGTAATCTGATTCATTCATAAAAACGGAACTTTTCTACCAATTTTTATCACAAATATTATAAAAAACAATATACGCTCTCACGGATATAAATAAAAAACGCTTAATAGAAATTTAATTTAATGTATTTATGATTAGAGTATATATTTCATTGCCATCAAGTTGTGGTACTGCGCGCATTCTTTCGTTTCTTGTAATATTGAGCATAACGTATCGATGAGGTCCTCTTGAGATGAATCCTGTATTTGTTGATTGAACATCTGCAATATTAAAGAAAAGAAATTATATTTGGTTTAAAAAAATCGACGGCCTCGGTGGTCTAGCGGTTTAGCACACAGCCTTATATATGATGGTCGGGAGTTCCATAAAACATTACTTCTACTTCATAATAAATGTTCTTGACAATTCTCACAGCGCTATCTAGACTCAAACAAAGTAGAGCTTGTATTGCGTATTAGACAACTGATATAAATACATAGATATTTTTTTTGTAAATACATTCAAGTTGTACATAGAAATAACCCCGTCCAATACTTAAATACATTTTTTAGTAAATACATACATAACTTACATAGGAAACACCCAAACCGAAACGAAAAGACAGTCATTAATACAACTGTTTGTAAGTTGCGACGAATCGAACCCGCGACCATCGGAAGTAAAACGCGCTATACCGCTAAACCAACGAGGCCGTTAACTTACAATGTAATGTTAATTAATCTATTCCCTCCTGTAATTTTAATGCCATATTTCACCAGGTATGTCTAGACTGTATCGTCTGAGTGGGTACCTCAGTCTTACCTATTTCAGCCGCCAAGCAGCTTGCTTTAAAACCTGTGTTTCGATTGCAGAATCTCTTTTCCACATAGGTGATTTTTTTTAATGGATGATAATGGAATGATGCATCAGAGTGCAGTAACGGTATGCACGAGCGGAATACCAGTGGAGAGTGATAAAATGAGTGTGAGAGGTCAGGTTAGATAGGATAGATAGAATCTCCTCCTTGGCCATCGTGAGAAATTCACCAAGAATTTATCAAGTGGGTTTCTGGTCAAATAGCTCATCATGATAAATGCACCAGGAATTTACCACGATGGTTTGCCCTTGGAACTACGTGGAGGTCAACCTGACATGGTATATTGCTAGCAATGGAGTTATTTGTCCACATTACTAGCAGTCTCCTATGAGGGTACATAGATGGCAGCTTTTTTTTAATGGATGATGATGGAATGCATTAGCCTACGCTAATATTATAAATTGACGGGGCACCAGTGCAGGATGTTGAGATGAGTTAGCCCATCTTGATACATAAACCCGGAATTTATCACGATGGTTTCCAGGGGGAACTGCGTAGAGTTCAACCTGACATGGTACATTTTACGCCCATATGTGACAGTTGTAAAGTTTAGGGTCTTTTGTTCCGAAAAAAAATATTTACCCCATCAATGGTGACTGTAGGCACAAATTGTGGACTGACTATCTTGGTGAGGTACTCGGAGTGAAGCTGCAGCGATGTGCCCTTATCAGACGATAGGCACTCGATCACCGAATTGGAAGGAATGTTCGCTTTCTCTACGCACTAAAAAACATTAAATATATTTTATTATATCAAAAAAGCAAAATAGAAGTCATGACAAAACTAATCTTATATATAAAATTCTCTTGTCACGATGTTAGTTACCACACTCCTTCGAAAAGGCTTGACCGATTTTTATGAAAATATTTTGCGGGGTCAGCTAGTATTCTATATAATTGGAAAAAGTATCATCAAGTTCGAATCAAACATTTAGAATATTTCTGCAGTTGCAAACTTTGGAACTTAATAAATTTAATTTTAATAATGCTAGAATGAGCATGAATAAAAAGTGACAGTTATTAATCTATAAAAGAAAGGATTTTGAGTGTACAAACTACCATAATATGCTAGAATATTCTAAATGCTATATATGTATATATATGCGTACTATATGCCAGTCATCATAATAAAAATATATTTCAGGAAGCTCATTACCTAGAGTATTAAAAAATGTCATAAAGAATTTATGGTAAATTATGGAAAACCTATATTACCTCAAGACTGCCCTGAGCGCCGGCTAGAGATTTCATCTCACAAGCGACGTACGCAGTTTTCTCGAGATCAGTGCGTTCCTTTATGACGTCCAAAGCGCACTCCTGCACTACATTGCCGAGGCATTCTGCAGGACCGTGTTGGCATTCGAATCCGTCATAACCATTATTAATACTCTGTAATTTAACATAGATTTAAGACATTAATCGATAAAAATATTATATGGTAATTGTAATTAAACCACCATAGATTTAAGACATTGTAAGCTATTACGTTAAGATAACCTCTAAGTAATAGTGTAATTATTACACTATCCTATATATATACACCGTAAATTAATTATAATTAGACTTGTCAAAGTGTCTATAATGGATCTACATGAATAAATATATATTGAATTTGAAGTTGAATTAAAAGGTAAATAAGATTTTTTAGTAACTGGAAACAAACAGGCTGACGGCTCGCCAGAAGGAAATTAAAAATATCGCTTGTAAACATCAATAGCATCACAAACGAGCAATGAAAATCGGCAATTAAACATAACATTTCATCGTCAATGACTATATTTTTGTCTATTGTCTATGCTATCGCTGGAGAGTAAGTCAGAAATATAATTAGACGAATATTTTTTGTTGTCGCTCTAGCGAGTTCTAACTCGCAACTTTTATCATAATTTAGCTGTTACAGTCTATTAGACTGCTTTAATTTTTTAGCTTATATCCGTCGTGTTGATATTACCTATCTTCATATTAAATTTCATTTCAATGTGCAAAAGTATAAGACAGACAGACAAAGTAACTTTTAAATATATTTTCTAGTTCTTCTTGTGATGAGTCTGCTCACTCGGAAGGTAGAATCAATAAAATATTACATGACTATTCAAAAGTATTATATTTATATTAAGTTTATTTGAATAAAGATTATGTATTTCTATTTATATTTATACTTAAAAAATATTTATCCTATAAATAATTATAATATTATATAAATATTTATATACTTACGCGCGCTTTTCCGAATGGAATTAAATTGAGAGTGATTCGCTTATGAAGGAGTTTTATTGCTGGCTGAAGTTGATGAAGTATAAACGCTCTGCTGTCTGGACATTTGCTTTCATAATAGACGGATACATAAGGCTGAAAGTAAACAACTATATACAATACACCTGTTCATTTCTTGTTTCCACGTGGAAAAATATTCAAAGTGTGCCCCGTCGTTTTTAGGTTCACGGTAGGTAGATACACGGTGTATCTACGAGCATCATTGCCGAAGCCACGAGATGGTGTTAACATACTACCGCTACTTCGGCGGCGTTTATAAGATTGTAGGATCCCTCCAAAACACATAGGCGACATTTTTTTTTATGGACGAAAATGGAATGGTGTACCTTCCAGTGCTAACGGTGTACGCTTGCGGGGCACCAGTGGAGGATGATAAGATGAGTACGAGCTCCGGTCAGTTAGCCCATCGTGACATATTCATCAGGAATTTATCACGATGGTTTCCAGGGAAACCGCGTTGAGGTTAATCTGATATGGTACATTGCTGTCTATTGCTAGAGTCAACTATCCACATTACTAACAATCTCCTTTCCCCCACTACGGCGTCGTTAGCCCGACCGAAGACAGTGTAGACCAGGCCCTTAGACAAACTAGCTTTAAAAAAAAGAAATTCCTTTGAGTTGCTTGCCAGTTATTGTCTATTGTATCTGCATACTAAACTGGTCGGTACAAAAAAATGTCCTACATGAATAAATTAATCTTGATGTGATTTGAAACATAATCAATGTTTCATGTTATAGTAACTGTAACATCTTATCTGGCTATATTTCGCTAACAATATTTGATTAAATTATAGACAAGTAGCTATTGCATTCTCATGGATTCATTTATTGTCGTGTTACCATCGTCGCAGAGTTAGTCAGACATATAAAAAGAATTACGAAAATTTTTGGTGTCGATCAGATTTGACCTTAAATCTACGAGTCTGGTACCAAATCACTAGGTCATGATATTCTCCAACTGTACAAATCGATGGATAAACAAACAACTATATCAACTATAAGCATATCGCACAAGTTGTATTTATAACTAGATATGCGAGGTCGTGCTACTTGAAGTAGAGCAGTGAAAGTTGTTATCGTTTCAGTCGTACTTCTAGTAAACCGATGAGACAAACAGATTTGTTATTATCGGCTTCAAAAGGAAAGTACTTTTTTAAATAATAAAAACTAAAATATATCAATACATCGAATAACATCGGTGGTCTAGTAGTACATGAGAACAGAATTCTTTTTTATTAAAAATTAACAGTGAAAATTATTTTAAAACTAGCTTTTGCCCGCGGCTTCGCTCGCGTTAATTTATCCCCTTAGGGGTGGAATTTATCAAAATCCTTTATTAGGGGATGCCTACGTCATAGTAGCTTTATGCATGCAAAGTTTCAGCCCGATCGGTTTAAAATTGACAAAGTTTCATAAAAACTTTCATCCCCTATTTTATCCCTTTGGGAGTAGAATTAATCAAAATCCTTTCTTAGCGGATGCCTACGTCATAACATGTACCTGCATGCCAAATTTTAGCCCGATCCGTCTAGTGATTTGGGCTGTGCGTTGATAGATCACTACGTCAGTCACCTTTGAGTTATATATATTTAGATTACTATGAAAAGTTATAGTGACGACTATCTATAGGCACGGTTGCACTCGCATAAAATTTATAGCCTCTGTGTCATTCTGATGTATAATCTATATTACTGTAAAGTTTCAATAAAATCCATTCCGTAGTTTTGACGTGAGAGTAACAAACATCCATTCTTTCATCCGCACTCGCAAATTTCCGAATTTATAATATTAGTAAGAAATTTAGCTATGCAGTGAATATATAAAAATTTACAAAAAAAAAAAACAGCGGAGTTAAAGCAAAAAAGTGCAATAATAGAAATTCGACCGACCGACCATATGTTATATGTATTATTGTTCTCCATTATGTAGGCATAATTCGAATCTGTATTACCACGGTCACTTAAACACGCTGGTTATTTATTTAAATAAGCGTGAAGGTGAATATTTATAAGGATATTTTAAATCTATTATAACATGTTATTGAAAATACTGTCAAACCACATATTTATAAATATAGAGGGTTAAGAAACGACGAGGGAAAATTAAAAATAAGTGAATAATTTGAAATTACTACAAAAAATAATTCGTACTAATATTATAAACACGATGGTAATCTCTGTCGGTTTAGTAGTTTTAGGGTAGTATAGATTGTGAGGAAGGACATATGCTACTTTTTAATGAGAAAGAGTAAGGGGTTGAATGGGGAGATGAAGGGTTGTACTTATGGTATCATCATTTTTGAAGCTAGATATTTATACGTATGTGTTTTATTTGTAACATAATTAAAAATTAATAATCTAAGGTCACTATTCCATGCGGACGAAGTCGCGGGCGGAGCGAAGTTAAATAGACTTTAAATAAAAAAAAGTTTTAATTTAATTAAAATTTAAAAAAATATATTTATTATTACCTTGTATGGAGCTATATTCGTAGCGTTTGCCACTAAAACAAATAATAAAACTATATACACAACGTACACCATTTTAAAATTTTTCACACTATATATTGGTGCCGTTAGCAGGAGTGTTTATGTTACGCGGTTTATTAAAAATACATTTGTGTAAATACACCTAGCACCATGGTTGTGAGGTGTTTGCGCGGTGCTACCGTACCGCGGATAGAAATGAAGTAGGTGGGGAGTAGAAGCACATGATTGTAGTAATTTGTTTCTCCATTTTCAACTGACTTCTAAACTTGCCTTTATTTTACACGTATGAAGTGAAATGAGGTTTCTTTACTTGAAAAACAGACTAGACAAAGTTACTTTTAGCATCTCAAGATGAGAATAACATAGAGTCACTTGTTGCATCTGTTTTATTGTCTTTAATAGCCGTGAAATTATTATGTATGCATAATAGTGTATTAAATTAAAATTAACAAGTTAAATACAATATTATAATATATTATAGCAATTACACATATATGTTTTGTCTTGGAACGTCCAGAAACAAAAGATAATATTATATTAAGTGGTACATATATAATTACAATAAGGCGGAAAACAACATTATCAAAAAGTAAAAAAGACAGACCATTTCCCCCCGCATACACTTAGATTGTGGAATGAACTACTTGCCGAGATTTTCTCACGAGACTACTGAGACTACAGCGTTGGGTTTTTCAAGAAGGGTATATTAGGGTTTCTTAAGGGTCGGCAACGTGCACGTATCACCCCTAGTGTCTCAGGCGTCCATAGACTACGGTAACCGTTTACCATCGGATGGGCCGTATGGTTGTTAGCCACGGTAGTAGTATAAAAAAGAGATAGGCTTGTTTAAAAAACTTAGAGATTCCTAAATACAGTAATTGTACACCTGTCATGGTATTGTAAATACAGAAAAGATAAATACAAATATAATTATCGAACTTACATAATTTAAAATATAATAGAAATTTGCGTGTACAATGTGTATGCAACTGCAAATGATATTATAAATATCCAGTACGGTTGTATCAGATAAATTATGTACGATATTAACAATATTATTATCAAGAAATATAAAATTTCCATTTAATTCGACTGACCATTGTGTTTGGTTTTGTTTACAAACATTTCTTTTACAACTGTTTTAATGACATCGAAATTTTCTTATTTTTTATTTAAAAAACGAAAAAGGTTGAAGTTTGATTTTTATTGTCTACACTCTTACTATCTCATAAATAAAAAGAAACAAAAATATTTTTATTACTTAAATTACTTCATTACCACCTAAAGACTATTTCATAATAATATACTTAGAACTAAATATTCTCCATAAATGAAATCCAGTACTTAATGCAGGTCGTTATTGGTAATTAATCGGTTTTAATTTTATGAATTGTAGGTTAATAGAGTCTATTAGATTTCGATTATACTTCGTAATGTTGGAATTTCCAAAAAAATGTATATATACATACCATATGTATTATGTATATCATATTAGTCTTTTTAATATCATTCAAAGTAACATAGGTCTGGACGATTTTGTTAATAATTATGTATGTATAAAGCCTCTAAAAACAGCTCTATGACATTTCATGATTTCATTATTGAACATTAATTATTAGAAAACATGTTTGCCCTTAAATAAAACTTACAATTAACTTTTTTCAAATGAATTGATCTTTGGCCTCATTACATGTACAAATATTAAGAAATTTAAAAGCATACTAAGCTGTATGGTCTAAGGATCTTTGCCTGTTGAATCGTTAAAAAGGAGATGGACGAAAATGAAATAATAAAAACTTTTCTTCCTGCATTTCACGTGTTACGATTAATTTTAGCTTGCAACCTCTTATTTCTCTCAACATAAGGATCCAAAATGCTACACAGAGGTTTGTCAGATCCAATTTGAGTATTCTCCGATTTGTACGCAGTTTGTATTGCCGTCTGTTCTTGATGGGATCGCGTAGATAATTTGGCAACGCGTCTTTTGTAGTATGTACGAACTTCGTCATCCAAGTCTCCAATATTCGAGGACTGAGGTGTGTAATTGTCTCTAACTTCAGTACGGAATGTTCTGGAATCGAAGAATCGAATACAGATACAAGAAGGAAGAAACAGCTTTTAAATTGTGAATTTTCGGATTAAAATATATAGTCTGATATAGTAATATAAGCATTTAATGATATTTAATTAACAATTTGTAAGATACAACTTCAAGTATACATTTAGAAATCTACGGAGAATGTATGGTAGATTAATATGGGCAGGTTGCTAATTGTTAGCGATTAACGAGCCCACTCTCTCGTTAGCCAACTCACCTGTCAGCGGTGCGTTCAGGTTTTTAGGAAATAACCTGTCTTAGGATAGACATGACTAGATTCATATTCAGTTAGTTTTCCTCTCAAAACATACTCTGCATCGATGCATTTATATTATTTTCTTATTGAGTATTTTGAGGTTTTTTATTAGGGTAAACAAGGAATTTAATTAGAAATATCGTCAACACTTCAGCCAAATTACTGCAGAAAAAAGCAAAAAGGTTACGGCATGAAAGATTTCTTTGTTTTACATGAAAGATATTTTCTTCAAAATCGAATGCCACCATATTCAGTAATTATACTGTCATATGCTCCCATTGGTATATAATATGAACTAATCAATAAATTTAAGTTAAAATATATATAAGTAGCAGGATGTTACTTAAATTTATTGCTTAGTTTATGTTATTTACCAAGGGAGCATATGATATTATAAAAACTGAATATGGTGGCTTAACACCTTGAGGCTCATAGATGGTTTCGTAATGTGAGTTTAGGATCATTGTATCGTTATAATTTTTGATATATTTGATGTAACTTACCTTGGCACCCATTGTATTTGATTATGTGTGCGTATTTCCCTTAAGTCTTCCTTGAATTTCTCTCTGTCGTACATTGACTTTGGTCTTCGTAATGGTAGTCGCCAGTCTTCAATTTTTGGTTTAGGGGTTCTGACCTAATAACGTAGATTTTTAATTTCTCTTCATAACTTCTCAACGACAATTGTAACCGTTTTCACCAGGAACTTTATTCTTTTTTACCAAGGATTGTATTTGTACTATTAAGACTCTAAAATTCACAATATATCCTATTTGTCTAAGAAATGTAAAATTTAGTCTAGCCGCCGTCTTCTTTGATTGTAGTCTAAGAATCAATAGTTACTGTACTAACTATTCATTGTTAGACTACCTTTATGTGTGAATCATATACCTTCCAAGTGCGACAGTGATCTATTAGTGTAAAATCGGTTATTCTATTTACAGGGTCCCATAAAAACAAGGAAGTCCCAAGGCAAAGAAAAAGTAGGAAGTTGGAAAATATTTGTTGTTGCCTATATAACACAACAAGTTCTAACTGAGCTAATTTGCACCAGGCTTTCATAAACATTTGAAGTTTGTCATCCTCTAAATTTTCTTACTCACAAGCATATGGACCTAGAAATATGTGTAGGTAAAAGGGATAGAGCGATGTATGATATACTCATATTTGGTTTATACGGTTTATAGGTCTATCCTACTCATATTTGGTTAAAATGAGAAATTATATATAACTCTTTTTATATTGCATTTACAATGTAAAATAGGTTTTTCTCACTCACTCTTGCCGATACCGTAGATCCTAAGTGATAAAGGTGGCCCAACCCAAACTTTTGTTATTTTAGACAATATGTTTACTTTTCTTGGTGTGGTATTAAAAATATACTCTGCTAAATTTTCACCTTTCTACCACGAACACCTATTGTTAAATAGCGATATTCATTTATATGACAAAACAACGTTTGCCGGCTTCGTATTTGTATATAAGAATATCCGCTTACCCAGGTGGTATCGCCGAGAGTGTAATATGTGACAATGTCCTTCGAAGCGGAGAGTCTGTTCAGCTGATCAGCAGTGTAGGGTCTGTGATGTAATCTGCTTGTGGTCAAGTACGGATCTAAGTATTTCTCATAACCGTCATGTGTAGTGTCCAGAGGTTCTAACTCTTTGTGCCAAGTTGGTTCCGAGGCGAGCTAAAATGAAGAAGAAAAAAATTTATTCAGTGCTTTCACTTTGTGATAAAAGATAGTCATATCTTTTTAGCCTCCTATATGAATATATGATTTTGCAGAGGTTCTAACACATTATGCCAAGTTGATTTCGAGGCAAACAACGACAAAAAACGAGCATGCGGCATACCTGATGATAAGTGATTACCGCCGCCCATGAGCACCCGCAACACCAGGGTAATTGCAAGTACGTTGTTGGCCTTTTAAAAAGGAATAAGCTCTTTTCTTGAAGGTTTCAATATTCAAGATACTTTTTAACGTCCGCAAGAGACTAAAAAGATCCTATGTGAATATATGATTTTAACTTTGATAATAACGAATATTACCTACTAGCTCTTACTTGAGTCTTTAGTCTGTCTACTTTGTTAAGAAAAAAATAGACTAATTTAGAATATGGTAAAATGAAATGTCTTTAAAGAAACCTACTAAAATATCAAAAAAAAAAACGGGACTACTCTGAAAGTATACCCTGTAAATAAAAAACTTTTTTTGATATAGGTTGAATTGAGAACCTCCTACTTTTTTGTAGTCGGTTAAGTTCTTTCAACTCCCATCAGTCTGTCTATCACAAATTAAAAAGCTTACCGATTCAGGCATACATGCGGGATGTTTAAACTGATCTTTATCTGTTACTAGTCTAGCTGCAATTTCTGGTCTCGTGTAGGAGTGTTTCATTTCTGTGGTTGCTTGAGCTGAACATTGCGGTACTCTATCTTCAATCTAGAAGAAAACAAAATTCTCCAACTTATATTTTTAAACATATAAAAACGAGACTGTGTTTGGTTTTCTGCACGCAATTCACTTCATTCTGTAGCCAACCAGCTTGTTTTGGAAACTGTGTTTTATTTTGAAGGGCAGTGACATTATTTAAGTATTTTAATATAATTGTTTTTATTTTCTATGTATTATTCTGATGTATAAGCTATATTATTGTAAAGTTTCATTCAAATTCATTTATTTTTGCTTAAAACAGCAACAAGTATCCATACAACTATCCAGATTTACAAACTTCCGCGTTTATAATATTATTAAGATATCATATACGAGTTAATGATTTCCATAATTAGGTACAAATCAGTTCTCTCTTTCTCTTTATCAATACATTATTGCCAGAACAGTCGTGGTTATTATGTAGTGCAGCGACAGGATGTCATCCGCCGTACAACAGCTTGCCATTTTTCTCTACTGGCTGCTATTCTGGTACTCTCGTGGAGTGCACTTCATATACCCACTGAATTTATAAAAGACATTCCTGCTATATTCTAGAGAATCTTGGGCATGAGTAATGAGTTTTTAATGCTCATTATGAATGGAAAACCATAAATGTAATCTACTGAACCATGATTATAATTTGACATATATTTTCTAGTATAAATTATTTATTCTTTTTTTATATACCTAATACGACGGTGGCAAACAAGCATACGGTCCATCTAATGGTAAACGGCTACCGTAGCCTATGGACGCCTGAACAGTTGAGAGTCCTAAACACTTTATATATACTTGTTATTAAAAGGTTATTAGTTCTATATCATAGTTTCTAATAAGGGTTACTCTTTAGAAGGAATATAAATATTCCATTCAATTTGGCTGATGCAATCTCTGTTTGGTCTTATGTCACAAGCTAAGATGGAAATATTTCATACTGGTGCCAAAGTAACAGGCGTTTGTTTTATGTGCTATTTAAGTTGTTTAGTTACATTTATTGTTTATCAACACCGATAAATTACATAAACTAATTTATATTACTATATACCAAGGAATGACGAAATATATTGCGGTGGAAATAGGGGAAGTAGTGTATCTACGATTGAAACTTTGTGGGTTTAAACTCTTCCATGAAAATGATATTCTAAAATGTATATTTACATTTTTATTACACATATAAAATAAATAAATAGCGTTACAATTTATTTTATTATATTACATACTGTAATGGTAAAATAATCTCTCAATTGGGTTACCTGGAGTACTTTAGAAGACCTGTAATATTATGTAATTGGAACGGTAAACAATCTGACGGTCTGCCTGATGGTAACCGGTAACTGCTTCCTATATGTATACATAAACAGCAAGCACTACTGTCATGAATGGTATCACAGGTATTGATACCATTCAATTTGTAAGACTGAGGTTTACGCAGACGACTTTTTATAGTGCCTTTGGACAAATACTTTCTGCTATGTTGAGAAGAAATTATACATACCTTTCTAGCAGGTGGATATATATATTCATTGTCAACACAAGACGTATGTTTGTTAAATCTGCGCGTTTCGGACTGTTTGAATCCGAAATTGTTAGCTGTTTGTGAGCTTGTCAGTTCCTTCGTTACATTGTAGTTTCGGAAATATTCTTTCATTTCCTCAATTGGTTCTCTCTGTTTTGAATTAATATTAAAAATTAAAATTGAGTATTTATGTAGATATATACTATTTATATTTACAACTAAAAAGTAAATAAAGTGTATTTATTGTAAATTACAACATAAAAATTTTGGAGAATCATATACTAAACGTCCTAAAACTTCAATAAATTTACAAGAGACTAATTACTAATTACTCGTTGTGTAAAATTTATAACCTTTGTATTATTCTTGTGTATAAGCTATATCAATGTAAAGTTTTATTAAACACATTCACTAGTTTTCGCCTAAAAGAGTAACAAACATCCATCCATTCACACTCACAAACTCCTGCTTTTATAATATTAGTAAGACTAAATATTAAATATTTAAACCTATATTGGAAAAAGAAATAAAAGATAATTATATACCTGGTTCTTAACTATTCCTGTTTTATGAAATAAAAAAGTTATATTAATTGATTACTTACACCAAAATGTAATATTTCGGGCTGCACTTTCCATCGTCGCGCAGTGGTTTCTCTGGACTCCTCGGTGTTGGGAAACTTCTTTATGGGATAATTCACGTGCACCGTATCCCAATAGGGAGTTGGCAATTTCTTTTGGTATTCGGCTTGCATTTTTAAATATATTTTTTACTAATTGTGTCCGCAACTTCGTCCGCGTGGAAAAGTGTGGGAATTTCATTCGTCAGCGCAATTTTTGTAAAAAGGGATACAAAGTTTTTACTATCACTTAATAATTAGGTACGTATTCGAGATATTCCGTCTTAAGTATATATAATGTAAGTTTGTTAGTAACACATTATTGTACACATAAAACTTAATATAAAGCATGCAATGAGTAAGTTTAATTTTTGTTTACATTTCGTATTCTTTCGTAATTAAACAATGATGAACCTAACTGCACTAAGAGGGGTATTTACACCCTGTTTATCTTATCTTGACACTTGGAGTTCCCAGTATTCTCTATTATTCCACATTTTTTTTTTATATAACTGAAATCTTATAGCACTGATATTTTATAGCACTGCGTGTCAAATTGAAGAATTCATTCAATAATAGATTACTATACTACCGATAATGTGAGACAACAAAGTCCCGTCTAGAATTATTCAAACACCTTGTTTACTGTTTGATCGATATTATTAGTATCTGTAGTAACTCAGGTGATCGATTGGAATGATAAAGCTGTTAATAACGATTATGTCATATCTTGAAACATTGAACTAGTTTTATATAAATACAATACTAACTAACCAATAAACTTGTAGAATTAATTCTGGTAATAAATTTGTTAAGTCTTTTAGAAACAAGTTCATCTTTAAGCAATTACTGTGTATATAATTATTATTTTTTATGTATAGTAATATTGATAATAATTATCGGAATTACTACAATTGCACTATTTTGACTGTTATTTCATATGAATGAAATGTTTAAAATATTGTTTACTAGCTGTATCCGCCGCATAAAATTTATAGCCTATGAGTTATAAAGTTTCATCAAAATCCGTTCAATGGTGAAAGAGCGACAAGCACCCATCCATCCATCTAGGTATCCATCCATACTCATAAATTGTAGCGTTTTAAAATTATATTCTTTATTGTTTTGCAGACCGTTTTATTGATTAGATTTGGTTTTAGTTAGAAACTAAAACCAACTTCTAACTTCTTATGTATATTGTGTTCCTGACATTGATATTGATTTTCTTTTTTAAAATTAAATAATTTATAAATGACTTACTTGGCTGTAATCATAAAGAGAAAGGTTTATATAATAAATAAAATACATTTTAGATTTGGTAAAAATTCCTTTACTTTTCACAAATGACTGAAAATGTTATCAAAACACAATATAAGTGTTATATAACTAACGTTAAAATACAAGACTTGCAATAAATACAAACGGCGCGCGTTTATACCACACTGTGGGTACCACAACGTAGAAATATATGCATACCACTGCAAATGTTAAGTCTACCTTAAAAATACCACAAAAGAGACAAGAAAAACTATCTTACTGTGGTATTTTAATAATATGATATATACCACGGATCCTTCATTACGGTAGCGTATCTGAGCAATATCAGTACGGTAGAATAGAAAAATGGATTTAATAGTGATTATTTATTTTATTTAAACACCACAGTAGGCTACTGAATAAATATCCAATGCTATTATTCTGTGGCCTATGTCCAGCAGTGGACGTCTTCCGGGCTGCGATGATGATGATGATGATTATTCTGTGGTAATTAAGGTAGACTTAAACTGCATATTATGTAATGAATAGTGAATAAATATGAGCTTTGTTCGTTGTATTAAAATAATGTGATAGTTTATCAAATAGAGCTGCTCAATTAATAACATAACTGTAGCATTGTAATTAAAAATATTTACAACCAGATAAGGCCCGCGGTTTCACCCACTTAGAAAGTAAGTAACAGCTTATGTAGCTTAGAGATACTGTGGTTTTATATTAGTAAAACAAATTAAAACACATTTATAAAATTCTATAACATAAGACATCAGAAAAAAATTAGAAGTTACAATATGGTAAAATATACCACAGTAATATAGATGTTGTCTTAATTAAAAAAGATATGCTGTAATTTATTCACTATCCATTTTATAGTTCATGTTAAATATTTTCTTAATATTAAATATAAATAAATTATATTAACGCCTTTGAAACGCATCTACGAATATACAAAATCAATACAAATCCTTATAATATTAATACAAATTACATCACAGTTCATAAACAAGTTAGTTTTAAAGAGTTAAATACCAATACTTTAAAAGTAAACAAATACAAAGAGAGAAGTTTGGGTAGTATTAAAATTAGAAAAAAATAACAATTTGGTTAGCGAGTCCTGTGCTAATCGAATTTAGGAACATATAATTGAACACTTGAAGTAACTACCTTTGTAAGATAGTTGAAAAAGTGTTGTTTCGTTGACTAAAATATAAAATTAAAACAAAAATGGTAGTGTTAAAACTCGCTATACAGCGCACAAGATTCACACAAAGTTGAATTAAAATCACACAGTTATATAAAATGTACAAAATCAGTGTCCATAGACACGTGACGCATCAGTCAAATTATTGACACCGATGCTGTGAAAACCGGTTTTATGTTTGATACCGAATTATTTGAGTACCGTATTGGGAACAACTTTTATAAGTATTTATAATTGGAATGCTAAATAAACTGATGACCTACTTGAATGAATATGATAACTGATACCACTTCATGAATTCCATATCGTATGCAAAACAATGCATTTTTTTTAGTTTCATTTATCGTGTATAGGAAAGGCAAAGAGTCTAATCCCATACAGCCGAATACAATGCATTGTTGATTCAATATACTTTTTTTTCTTTATACTGACATCGAATTCATTAATGAACATTGTTCTGTTCTTATATTTATTTAAGTCTAAGATTTAATTATTGTTTTGTATTGTTGGATTGCAATGATTGTTTTTGTGTGAATAGATGTAATGGCTTGACTACAATGACAATCTAAAAAGTCACATTTATAATATTAGTTGGGAAACGAATATTATAAATAGACAAATGTTTGTTTGTTGAATGTTTGTTGTTCAACAATTATTATGAATTTGATATATATAGCCTTCGGGATAAAGATGAACCGGGTAGTTATGTCTGGAACAATCATGGTTACGCAAACGAAACCTATTAAATAATGATATATTTAAATAATGATTATAACATTACTAGAAATGTTATGTGGTATTTCAACAATAGACGGATTTTTAAAAATAGAATAACTGTTTTAATAATCTTGAAATTTTATGAAAAAAATTTTTCAGCGGTTTTCACAGTACGGTGTCGTTATACAAAATATTACGTACTATTATCGAGTAAAAAAGCTACGTTGAAAATATGTCGGAGTAGCGACGTTTTAAAAATCCTACCTATTTAGCGATGTACTTATTGGTAATGTAAGCTTATGAGAACAATATAGCGTCTAACATTAGTTGGGTAATATCTTAGAAAATATCACTTTATTATTGTTTAGGTGATAAAAATATAGGCTATAAGTAATTTAATAGCGTTCATACTGTTATACAGGACTTGGGAAAATACAGCTATTTCTAGAAGCAATCGTATTACAAAATCGATCAGTTTTTGTAATAACAAATGTCTCAAAAATATCAAAAATGTGCCACTTTTCAATATATGCCTTTTTACACAGAATGGAATAATGTTAGATTTTTTTTATTGTTAATTATAAATGAATTATACATATATGCGTGGCTTCTAGTGAGTGTATGTGAGAATATTATTTTTAAAGGAACTACCAAAATAATTGGAGTAAGACTGTAGTGTGGTCCTATAGAAATTGTATCACGATTTATTAACCAGATGATTTTTTTTGTGGCGTTAATGTATTTTTGAGTATATTTTCACAGTTTTGTAACCGTTTTAATTTTTATTCAAACCTACACTGCTTCTTGGTACAATGATTTCCCATATATATCCCATATCGTATAACGCAATTCGACATTTTTTTTGTAGTATTACCTTATAGTACAAAATTACGTTTTCGTAAACTTCTAAGAGATTTTGTCTACTTATTGATTATTGAGATTTTTCTGTTTACGGGTAGGAGAGCAGAGCTTGTTGGGGCCATGCGATTTTGGCATCTATTCTCTTGTACGCAAGTATGAAGTTCTGTCCGCTCTTCTCCGACATCACTTCTTGGGGACAGTCGTTCTCGTTCAACATGGTTTCTGTAATGAAATAAACATAATATAAATATAAAGACAGTTTTTCGACCGTAATCACAGATGGGGTAGGCAGTTGCATTGTCAATAAAGTCCATATCTCGCTGAGAATATTTTTAATCCTATTTTAAGGGAACAATAGAGCGTTTCTGTCGAATAAATTTGATTTATTTTAAAATAATTAATAAAAAAAACTATTAAATTTAAAACTATTAATAAAAAAAATATTATTAACTAAATTCAACTGTGGATAGACAGATGGACAGAAAAATAAATGGATGAACAGTATTTTTGTGTTGTCCAGATTTGTACATTGGGCTCTCTAAGTACTGACACAGAGCAATAGTTTCTCAACAAGCTTACATACATATCAGTGTACATATATGGTAAGTTTACAGCTTGCCCTTAATAAACTGTAGTACAAAGAGCTATTGAACATCTTTGCCATAGAAAGCAAATGGGAAAATTTAATTTCATTTAGTAAATTAATTCAAAAGCATGAAAAAGTTCAAATTTATTTATCAGATTTCGACTTTGTTCACTAATGTATTATAAAAATTATAATGTATTATAAAATAATATAATATTATAATTATAATGTGTAATAATAAAAATAATGTAACGGTTCAATTTCATGAGCATTCTGCCACTCTCTGTCTGAAGTCACAAAAATTTTTATTTTCTACTATACTTTGTTCTTTGTGTTTGAAATCAATTGTTTAACATTGATACTGTATCTACTCAATGTTTGTTTAATAAACATATACTTAGGCGCCACTAATTAACACAGAGTCATTCTAGGTTAAAACAATTCATTAACATTCCGGACAATTTATCCATATTTACTTATGAATTGGACGATACTGGTTTAAAACCGGAATTTTTCAATTACGATAATGGAATCCAGAACTTTGTGTAAGTACAAGATTTTATATCATATTATTTTATTTATTTATACTATATAATATTTCTGTCTACTGTTATTAAAGAAGGTATGTAGTTTGGGGCAATATTTGTCAGTGTCATTTATTTTACCACAGAAATCGATCCCTGTATGGGTATGTATTTGTAAACGACTGACATTAAAAAAGAAAGAAATTCAATTGAGTTTCTTGCCAGATCTCAATTGAATCTGTATATTGAACTGGACGGTTGGGGAAAACACTATATTAAAAAGAATTTCAATAAAAATGAAATTGCGAATGTTTTGACAATTCCATGGCAATGTTTCTCAAAGTGTAGATCGCGTATAGTTACCGTGTCCGTCGTGGAGAGCGAAGAGCGCGTAGTCCTGCGGATTGGTAATTGCAGCTGCGTGGGCGAGCGCGCGACAAAGGTCACGTGCGCGGGCTCCGGGCCGGCACGGCAGCGCCACTCGCCGGATTGAACCGCGACACTCGTCAGGCAGCGCCACGCGCACCACCGCGCCACCTCCACCGGCTGACTCTGGCGAGCCCCGCCGCCACTGCGGGACAAGCGGATGCGTTATAAGTTGCCTTTACAAGACGTACGCTCTTTCAAGCAGGAATCGGTTTTCACAGAGGAATAAATGTGCATGTATTGCATGGCATTAGTATAAAAATCAAAATGTATAATAAACTACCTGTGCACATAAGAGAATTACCCCCAAAACAATTCAAAACTAAAATAAAATCTTTTTTTGAAAAACATCCTTTTTATAATATTAGCGAGTATTTAGACCTAAATATAATTATGTCGTAATTGTGACTACGGAACATATTATGTTATTAGTTATTATTAATGTAATTTTATTGATTAATATAATTTAATTTAAAAATGTAATTTTGTTAATTAATGTAATTTTATTTATTAATGTAATTGTAATTGGATTGAATTTGTATAAATATGAATTACTGTATCTTATGACTTGCCATATATGTAAAGAAGTTATTCGTTTATTAACATTGGTTAATAAACGAAATATGAATAAATATGAATATGTAAATGTAGACAAAAGTTGAGCGTACGTGTAAAGACGTACGCTCCATTATGCTGGAGTGGGCTTTCACACAGGAAAGAATATGCATGTAAATGTAGACTAAGAGGACAAGAAAAGTCGAGCGCGCGCCCGCTCGCGCATTCCTGCTTTCTTCAATCGTGAGTGCTGTAGCAGCTTTTTGTAACAATTAATTATCATTGCAAAATATGATTTAATCAATAAAACTAATAATTATGAAGTTATTGATAATTTGTAATGTGGAATAAAAATTAAAAAAAAAGTGAAATGACTTGAAACATTCGCTCTTTAAGAAAAGAGAAAGGGAGAATCCGATTTAAGAATACCCTTATAAAATAGATCTATTAGGGTTGTACAGTTACACGCCTAACATATATTTTTTATTCTTTGCTAGAAAATACATACAATCCTAAATTTTCACCCTTCTATCACTGACTAATATAACTAAATATATATACTAATATAACCCTATTTTTTTATTTTATATGACAAAACTACGTTTGCTGGGTCAGCCAGTATATAGCTACTCACGGCAGCGGCGGCATCGGGCGCGGGGTCCGGCGCGAGCCGCTTGAGCACGGCGACGGCGGAGAAGAGCGCGGTGAGGTAGTAGCCGCCCTCCCCGGCCAGCACGGCGGCCGGCAGCAGCCCGGCCATCAGCTCGGCCTCCAGCTCGGCGCACACCAGCCGGCAGCGCGCCACCGTCCACGCCAGCACCGGCAGCAGGTCGTCCGCGCCCGGCGCGCCCGCGCATCCGCGGATCTGTGCAACGCACTCCTCCTTAGACCTTTTTTTTAACGCAGGGGACAAACGAGCATGCGGCTCACCTGATAGTGAGTGATTACCGCCGTCCATTAGCAGCCGCAGCCAGGGGAATTGCGAGTATGTTGTCGGTCTTTTAAAAAGGAATAAGGTATTTTTTTGAAGGTTTCACTATCGTATCGGTTCGGAAATACCATTGCTGGAAGGTGATTTCACAATTAGGTAGTTGTACTAGTTGCATGCTGTACAGTGGCTTCCATAAGGGAACCCGCAGGATATGGGCTTATTGCTAGAGTGGCTCACTGACGTTGAAGTCTAACGCGACTCCAACGGCAGTGACCCACTCTAGCAAAAGATCTATAAATATATATAAGCATATGAAAACTGCACTCTCGTCTGATGAAGGGTTCTTACCTTCTATTTATTGTTTTTCATCTAAAATAGCCATACACTCAATCTCACACCCCTAACTCCAATAAGGTAATAATGGGGGTGAAACGCCTAGTTGTTAAGCAGTTCACATTATAAGATGTGTTTGGGTTGAAGTTACTGCACTTAAATTACAGGATATGGAGATGTAACATTTTAGTCTATAGTTTCAAAGTAAAACATTAACAAATTATAGAAATGTCTTGTATAAAGTATCGTTTTATTGTGGGTAACAATATGTGAATAAAAAAATATTTACTTACCGAATTAAACATAACAGATATGGCCGCTAGAAGATTCTCGAGTTTATCCAACGGAGAGTCAGCTTCTTGCATCTTGAGGAAGTCGGTAGTGTCGGTAGTGTCGATAGTGTCGGTAGTGTCGTACCTTGATGCCGAGCTGCAGCGGCGTGGCGTGCAGCGCGCGCTCGCTGGCGGCGTGCAGTCGGCGCACGTCGGCCGCGTGCCACGCCGCCAGCAGCGCGGTAGTGTCGGTAGTGTCGGTAGTGTCGGTAGTGTCGTACCTTGATGCCGAGCTGCAGCGGCGTGGCGTGCAGCGCGCGCTCGCTGGCGGCGTGCAGTCGGCGCACGTCGGCCGCGTGCCACGCCGCCAGCAGCGCGGTAGTGTCGGTAGTGTCGGTAGTGTCGGTAGTGTCGGTAGTGTCGTACCTTGATGCCGAGCTGCAGCGGCGTGGCGTGCAGCGCGCGCTCGCTGGCGGCGTGCAGTCGGCGCACGTCGGCCGCGTGCCACGCCGCCAGCAGCGCGGTAGTGTCGGTAGTGTCGGTAGTGTCGGTAGTGTCGTACCTTGATGCCGAGCTGCAGCGGCGTGGCGTGCAGCGCGCGCTCGCTGGCGGCGTGCAGTCGGCGCACGTCGGCCGCGTGCCACGCCGCCAGCAGCGCGGTAGTGTCGGTAGTGTCGGTAGTGTCGGTAGTGTCGTACCTTGATGCCGAGCTGCAGCGGCGTGGCGTGCAGCGCGCGCTCGCTGGCGGCGTGCAGTCGGCGCACGTCGGCCGCGTGCCACGCCGCCAGCAGCGCGGTAGTGTCGGTAGTGTCGGTAGTGTCGGTAGTGTCGTACCTTGATGCCGAGCTGCAGCGGCGTGGCGTGCAGCGCGCGCTCGCTGGCGGCGTGCAGTCGGCGCACGTCGGCCGCGTGCCACGCCGCCAGCAGCGCGGTAGTGTCGGTAGTGTCGATAGTGTCGGTAGTGTCGTACCTTGATGCCGAGCTGCAGCGGCGTGGCGTGCAGCGCGCGCTCGCTGGCGGCGTGCAGGCGGCGCACGTCGGCCGCGTGCCACGCCGCCAGCAGCGCGTACAGCCGCGCTCGCAGCGGTCGGACCACCACCCGGTGCATCACGCCCTCCAGGATCGCGTCCAAGTTCAGGAACTCCGTGGACTTTAACTGGACACATATATGCAATTATTAATTACATAAGTTTCTGTAGTATTCCCACATGGAAAGAGAATGAAGCATTATATCGTCTCTAGCGCACACTGCTGACGTCTTGCAGGCATTTAGCTGTGAATAGCGAGTAAGAACAGTGATGTGTATAACAGAGAGCCGATAATTAGGACTACAAAGAGTACAGTTTCATATTACTATCGTCTGTCATTTAAAATACATATTATCTTGATTGTATTCTCACCTTGAGCCTTTCCTTCTCAACTTCCTTCTCGAACTCCCTTTCACCATGTTTGACGAGATAATTCTTCATTCCAGACATGAACTGTCTCATATTACGCATCATAACCTGTATAACAAAACCAAAATATATACTTTTATTAATGTCATCCGGCTCGAGGGACCATTGATGTAGTGTTTGCTACACTTTGACAATAATGATGAAGAATTGACATGGTATGTTAACAAGACTAATGAGAAAATGATATTGAAATATACTAGAAAGTTATTAATTGAAACCAAACAATATTCTTATTTTATTTATATCATACCCTTATAAAAAAAATTAAGTTTTATTAGTAACATCTCTGTATTTAGTACTAGAATGTAAATTTATTTCTACCTGTGGACAAGTCTCCTTAGAATCAAGCGTGCAAGCGATGAAGTTGTCAATGTTCTGCGCAAATGTAGTGCTTTTATCCTGCGCTAGATGCAGCGCGTACGCACGTACAGCCGCGCCCGCACCGCGAGCTCCGCGCCCACCTCTCAAAGCACGCACGCGGCCCGCCGCTGTAACAAGAATTCTTTTGTTACTGTCTACGCACTTAAAAAATACGGAAACAATGCTAGCTATGTACTAGTTTTTGATTGTGACTTAACCTAAAATTTGTTGATACTTACATCCAATAGTAAGTATTAGAATGTGTAATCTTATTTAAAAAATACTGTTGGAAATATTGTTTTATATACCATAGTTGCCTACGACTTAATGTAAAATTTGTTTCATTAGTGAAAATTATTATAATATTGTGTAAATAAATTCGTTACATTAAACAATTATCATATTGGATATTTATTATCTGTCTCAAAGGATAAAAAATTCAATATCTTATTGTAATCCAATATTTAATTTTTTAGTTTTTTCGCAATAACAATTTGGGTTTAATAATATGCATCTTTATATTTGAGTAGAGTCAATAAATGACTATTATAAAATATTAAGTTAAGTTGAATTAATCAATTTCCGTAATTATATTTTGTATACTTCTTAAATACTTATAATATTTTTAATGTGATGTAAAATTAATTCAAATATCTAATTAATAATAAATTCGAACTTGTTCAATTGTTTAAAACACTGCGAATGTTATAACCTTATCGTTTCAATAAACTAATTCTAAACAAATAAAGCCATAAATAACGTAAGACATTGTTAAATATTAACCTCAATGTACTAACGTCACGTGTCTTAATAATTATCTAGAATTGTCTGTTATTGTAAATATTAGATAATAATTTTCTTCAAACAGTTAGGGTTCTTAATTGTGATGAAAAACTGTCTTTCTACTACATACCAAAGTACTTTGTATATCACTGTATGATTTTAAACACCGTTCGTTTATAGTCTATCTCGTAAGACTGCTAAATGTTGACAAACTTATTAATTTTCGATGGTTTATCTGCAAATGGATTTGAAATTGACAAATCGACACATCTTAAACATTCATTAATTTTAACGACCTCGGCGGTATAGCGCTTTAGGACATCGCTTTACTTCCAATAGTTGCGGGTTCGATTCCTTGCACCGCACAAGCATTTATGATAGTTTGTATTGGTCTGGGTGCTTCGTATATATTATGTATCTATTTACAAAAAAAAAGTATAAAACTATATATGTACTTGTATCAGTTCTCTAGAACAAACTCTGCTTAGTTTGGAACTAGATGGCGCTGTGAGAATTATCCTGACATTATGACTCATACCTACATTTGAAAAATCTTACATCATTGTATCTAAAATCTAATCTATACAAAACATTACATACATATTATATAATTCTTAGTGAAGTCAGAAGTTTGAAAGTCAAGTTCCGTGGATGCTGAGTTTTCACTTTCAATGTTCTTCATTTTACACAATTTGCAGAAACGTAGTCTCTTGCATAGACGTCGAAAAAATCGGGATATCGCATGAACCAGTTTGTGAAACGGCGTCGCATTTAATGATTCCTCATCGTCATTATTTGTATCCAAAATGTCGCAGTGGCAGTGCGGCGATTTAGCAACCACCGTTGCTTCTTTTCTGGTCTGTTCCGATGCTAAACTTCTGCACAGAGCCGTTATTGCGTTCGACTTAGCCAACTGATGCTGAAACTTCGGCTGCATCAGCTGTTCCTTGGTCAGAAATACCCAATCACTCTCGATAACGTAATTGTCTATTGAATCGCCTCGAAAGTTTCTTATAGTCGATAACGCATACAACTCTGGCGGATCCGTCATCAATTTCGAGGATGCTGATGGGTCTTGACTTTGAGCATTGCCACTCTTATAGAATCTGTTCTCCCACCTATGTTTCTTAGCTGCCTCTGCTTCCTTCTCAATTGCCTTCTCTGTTTTTTCTTTGAACAACCTTCTGAACCATTTCATGATTGATAACGCGGCGGTTTCGACCCGCTTGGACGAAGGATTTGAAACGGGAATTTCTCATTCACACAAGAACGCGACACGTTATGCACCAACCGTTATTGGGTTGCAACTGACGCTGTGAATGATTAGTAGTCTTGGGTAGTTCGTGGACCTACTACGTTAAGTAGGTCGGAACAGCGCTCTAGTAGATGGAACTATGCGATTAGTTCGCCAATGATCTCGCTCATAGTTCTTTTATTATTTATTTCTGATGTTCTCTGTATTACTTGTAACAATGTTTAACTAAACCTTTAAAAGCTTGAACTCAGAACTGAGCAAATTTTTAGGTACATATTTTACTAGTGGTATATGAAAAACACGTTTATTTCAAGGTTTATTGTTGTAGAAACATGTTTGTTTCGTGTTTATTTCCCCTTGTTTTATTTAATTTTACAACATAATTTCTGTTGTAAAATTATATCAAAAATAGATAATTTAGTTCTTATTTATTTCAATTGTATTAGAATACAGAATTAATAGCAATCCTAAAATGTAATTATTGTCGAAAGATTTACCGACTTTCATTCCTAATACAGTTGTAAGTAAACAGAACTAGCGAACTTTAACCGCAGTATTATCAAATATCGGCGATTGTCTATGCCCAACACTACTAACTAGTAAGGTAATTCCTAAAACAATTTAAGAGACACGGCACGCGCAGACCCTTTGACCTTTGACAATAATTAATTTATTTACAAAGTTAATGTAATGTTATTGATAACAATTTGCGCCGCGGTCCCATTGTGTTAATAGTATTATAATTAATTATATATTACAGATAAGTGTATTGCTTGTTCTAACATCCGTAACGTAATCGAACTAGTATCTAGGGCACAACTGGCATGGAACTAAAACAATGAAATGTAGTATGTTTACTGATAAGAAGTTGCCTTATATGTTATTGCTATATATTTGACGATTTAATAATAACATTTATAATTATAAAATACAAAGAGCGTGCAATAAATGGCAATCCAAAACCGCTAACCGTGGCAAATTTACCAGAAATTTGTCAAGATATTTTTAAGTGGGACCGCGTGAAGTTCAAAGTGACATGGTACATTACTAACAATTGGTTATTTTTTAATGGATGGTAATGGAATGGTGCACCCGCCTGCGCTAAAGGGTTACGCTGGCGGGGCACCAGTGGAGGATGATAAGATGAGCATGAGGTCAGGTCAGATAGCGCATCGTGACAAATTTACCAAGAATTTATCTTTGACCTCCACATCCTCCACTTACTTCGTGCTCATTTTATCATCTTCAACTGGTGCCCCGCCAGCGTAAACCGTTAGCGAAGGAGACTGCATCATTCCATTATTATCCATAAAAAAACTCCCGTATTTGAAGTCGGTTAAATTTAATACAAATAAATAAATGTTTATTAGTTATCATCAATACCTTTTGGACTATGACTGTTTACAATAGTCTAAAGCGTAATAGTCTATTGTAAACTCATTATACCATTCACACAAAGTTGGGTAAATATAATTAGTTGATCATCCTTTGGGCACGTGGTTTGTTTTTATTGTGAGAGGAAGTGTTAATTATAGGTTTACTTAGTACTTTTTATAGTTACATTAATTATTTAATTATAAATATGTAACTTCAAATACTTCTGTGCCAGTATTGTTGTCAGTTGTAATATAATAATTATATATATAATGTATACAATTATATATATTATACACAAAATTATATATGCTCAAGACTGAAAATCAAAATAGTCTGCAATTTTCGATGTTATGTCGTAATAAACACATTGGTGCGATCAAATTTGCTGTCAATATTTTAATACGACTTTCAAATTGGTTTGGTTCAATATTGTTATAGATGTACTTAGATAATATATATTAATTCTTTTATATCATCAGTTTCTCCATTTGATACTCTTATTTAAATCGTCCTTTTGGTTGAGTTTTGTGAATTTTTATTTAGAAATGGCAGTGATACAATTTTTGTTTTACATGTTAACTCGCAGTGAGTTAACCAAATAATATAAATACATAATATTTGTCTAACAAGTATGCAATTGTATTCAAATTTCCAGAAAGTAAATAAGCAATACCAATTTACAAACATGAAGTTTTTTATTGTTGGACTTATATTATATTATTTAATTACGCTACTATTAGCATATATGAGAGCATAATTACAGCGCGGAACCTGAGAACCTGATCACAAGGGTTTTGTCGTTTTTTATTGGCGATCAAATTTCGACCGTTATTAAGTCTACACCCATATTGCGACATGTGTTTCGCCTCTGAACGAGGCATCATCAGGCATTGAATAGAGTTTGAATATATCTTGGGAGCCTATTGTTGATTGTTTTTTTTTTTTAAGATGATAATGGAATGGTGCTCCCGCCTGCGCTAACGGTTTACTCTGGGGCACCAGTGGAGGATGATAAGATGAGCATGGGATCAGGTCAGTTACCCCATCGCGACAAATTCACAAAGAATTTGTCACGATGGTTTCCAGGGGGAACCGCGTGGAGGTCAACCTGACATAGTACATTGCTAGCAATAAGATCATCAGTCCACATTACTAACAATCCCCTTTCCACCTTATTGTTGATTGTTCGGCGACCAAACTGCGCCTAACTTCCGCAAAATAAAACCTAATTCTATAAAATATATTGTGATGTATTTACCAAGTAACGGGTCTAGGCGGTCTCGAAAGCTTTTGGCACGGTTGGAAATGGCGGGTCCTCTTCTTGGCAAAGGCGACTCCCATTCGTTAAGATCATCCTGTGAATTAGGAATAAAAGATGTTTAGTCACTTAAATATATATATGGTCAAGAATTTACATATAATATTTCTTCCGCAGTATATTAATATAGATAACCTAGAACAGCTTCAAGAACGAAACCTCAATTCAATCTATGCAACAACTTTTTTGCTTTATAGACATTACTTTGTACACTATCACATTGTAGTGTTGAAATGTTTATCTACTAATATTATAAACGCGAAAGTTTGTGAGTATGGATGGATGTTTGTTACTCTTTCACGCTAAAACTACTGAACTGATTTTGGTAAAAATTTACAGTAATATAGCTTATACATCAAAATAATACATAGGCTATAATTTAAAAAGACATAACATACAAAGACATAACATAACAATATAAGTGTGATGCAAACGAAGTTGCGCCGGTTAGCTAGAACAATGTACAGTTTTATACAAAAAAAAAATCTTTTATGATAATTCTACTCTGGAAAATAGAGATGCATTCCATTGCAAATGTTAATTAATTAAAATTAATGTGTTGTCCAAAACACATTAATTTTAATTAATTAACATTACATTTACGCATTAGCATATACATATTTTGTAGTCAATTAAACCAATAGTTATAATTATTATATATTTATTCGGTTTACTTTCAATTATATTTCAAAGTATAGTATACAATTAATTGTATTGAATTCTATATTGAAATTAGTCTTCAGAATAGACCTCCTATTTAAACCTACAATAAGTCGTTAAAAATTACAAGTAAGTTAAAAATGTATAACTTACTGCTTCATAAGGTTGTTGTCTATTAGACGGAGGTATCAGGCCATCCCACTGAGAGCTGTCCCATGGCTCTGAGAATACTGTTCCATCGTCACTTGCCTATAAAAAAAAATAAACAATACGTTCTCTTTTTAAAAGTATCCATATTATTTATCTACACTATCAGACCTTTTTGATTTCTTTTTTTTCTTCTTTTTAATCCAACTTTTATTTAAATTATGTTTGAAATTCGAATGTAGGCAGATTTATATTTTTTGGCGGTTTAATGTTTTCATTTGATGACAAGTAACATTATTGTTACTAAAAAGCATTTTCGTATTCGTAGTTTTTAACACAACTGAATAGCGCGTATTTCTACAATTAAATATTTTTTGCGACCCGTATTGACCACAGATTTTAACAATAAACAAAAGAACAAGTATATATATATGTGTGTCTAATACATAGTAGTGTGTGTAATGTTTTTTTTTATTTAATGTATGTTTTTATGCAAAATAAAAAAATATTAGCTTTCTGCACTCTGTACTTTAAGTATATTAGAATAGAATAGAAAATTATTTATTCAAATAAACTTACATAGAAGCACTTTTGAATAGTCAACACATTTTTTTTAATGTAGGTACCACTCATTCTGAAAGCTCTCATCACAAGAAGATCAAGCAAGAAACTTGTGTGTTGCGTGTCTTGTGTCTTTCAAATAATTTTATTATTACTTTACAATTTAAGTTTAAGTGTGTGAATACAAACTATTATATACATAGATATAGTTTATACAATAAGTATATGTATAATATATATATGTATATATAATTAACTTACCTGTTCGGACATTGGTCTAATATCGTGCACGTTATCATAGCAGGAGGCGCGTGGTGGAGAGCGTGTGTCATCCGGTAAAGCCACTGGTTCCAGGTTCAGTCTTAGTTCAGGTAATCTAAAAGAATACAGACAGACATTTATAAATCATAATATTTGTATTGAATACTTATACTAGATTCTTTTACAGGCTCTTCTCTCTCTTCTCTTTGAAAGTTGTGACGCTTTACTTGGTATGGTCCCGAGTTCGATTCCTCGCATGGTACAAACATTCGTATTCATAAGTAATATTGTATTCTTTAGGGTGTTTTCTATGTACATTATGTAGGTATTTACAAAAAAAAATTGTAAGTAATTATTTTAGTTGTTTAGTACCCATAACACAAGCTCTGCTTACCTTGGGACTTCACTGTAATTTTTTTGTATATTTTTTTTTGGAAATTGTTCTAAGTTAGTATTATTATTGTTATTGGACTTTATCTATTTATATATACATACTAAGCGAACTATATACCTTTGAGCTACAACTTGATGCACAGTCAGATGTTGAGTGCCATCATCGACTGCACTCAGCCGACACTCCTGCTCTGCGAGGGATGGAAATGTTCCACTCTCGCTGTTGGAGCCCTCATCATTCTTATCTGGAACGAAAAAACACTCATCATCATTGCCTTGCTTATATCTCATCATTTGGAGCCAGCCCAGTATATGAAAGACTAGCTAGGACGCGCCTTCGTCCGCGTGGAATTTAACTGTAGTCTAAAATAAAAGTAGCCAAAGTAACTCTTATTACATCAGTTACCTGCCAAAAAGAGTTCCGTCAAAATCGGTCCAGTCAAAAATTGTAAACAATGTTATTTTGGTGTATGTACCGTATTTATATTCGTATGCATGTAGTATAAAACGATTCTTTCAATATTACAAACAGACACTACAATTTTATTTATATGTATAGATGAAAGAGATCGTGTATATAATTTCCAAAGTAATTCAATGTTTCTAATATTCCATCTACTATAGAACTTGATTGTTTGCATTTTAATATTATTAAATGATAATATATAAAAGTCTAAAATAATATATAATTAGAAGAAATGTCAGATACATGGATGCAGTACTTTGTAGTGATGTACTTAAATCAAATCAAATCAAACTATATTAATTCATGTAGGTCTATTACAGACTCATACGATATATGAAATTTACCGTCAGTTCGGTATCCTTTCGAGCTAAGAAGAACTAACAAGACATTCAACTATTATTCTTTTCATGATTTCAATTCAATACCATCAGCATATGCAATATTGCGTTTTTGTCAAAAGGTTTTTATCAGTAGCCGTAACCCGAACAGGCAGCCTAGTCCCACCAAGCAGCACCCGTTCACGAGTATGATGGATGAGTACAAATTAAAATGTAAATCATTGATAAGTGCACAACATTTCTTCTAATCAATTACAAACAAATAAATATATATAATAAACAACCACTACTTGATACCCAGACTCCAGAATTCACAGATAGCCAGTAATTGCGTGCTAAAATAATACTGTTAGATCCAAAGCGAAATTAAGAAACTTTATACTGTATAATAACCCCAAAATAAAATAAAAATCCTAGCAATTATATCCAGTCGATTTGTTTTGATTTATTTGATTTTAACAAATACAATTTTAATTCACATAAAACTTAGATAAGTATGATCCAAATAGTAGTTAGATAAGCGGATTTTTTTTAACAAGATTTGATAAATTAAAAAATACAAAATCAATTGTAAAAATTTTTTAACTAATTATAGATGGCGGCACTATCTGCAGTTAACATAGGTGTTTGTAATTTAAACCATTGATAAAAACAACTTTATAGAATATTTTAAAAAGGTGTGAGATAGAGACTACTATTAATTTTATGTAAATATTAAAAGAGCAATCTCAAAAGAAGAAAAGTAGCACACGTAAATATTATAGCAATTCTACAGAGTATGTGAATTAAAATAACAAATAAATATATTATGTTACTTTTATACAATTTCAAAATAATAAAAAAAAATAAGTTGTATATCACTGGATATAAATAAAATAATTTAGGCCAAAATAGTATACAAGTGTTTAAATTTTGAAATTAAACCTTAAATGAAATAATGGTGCTGTGAGAAATAGCATACCATAGATTAGTGCCATTTTTATCACTATAGCAAATCAAATGATATCATAAAAATAATTCCATGTGAATATTGATGCTAAAATTTCGATAAGCCACGCAAATTCTACTGAGGCGTTAGATCAAATTCACTGACTTATGAACTCCCAACTGGAGTCAACGGTCCAAGTCTGATCATTCTTGCCTGTTGGCGGCTTGCTGAGGATCCGTGGTGGTTGCACTGGCTTCACCTTCGGCTTGCTACGCAGTGAGATCAGGTTGTCTACAGATGATGACGTATTCGGAGATGATGCTGTGAAGCAATTAAAAAAATCTTTAATTGCAATACTTAGTTCACAAATTGTTCCTAATAAATAGTAGCTTACTGAAATTATAAATGCGGATGTTTGTTACTCTTTCTTGGCAGCTACAGCTACTGAATGGATGTTAATGAAACTTTACACTAATATAGCTTATACTTTAGAATAACATATAAGCTATAAATTTCACGCGGATGAAAAACGGGCACAGCTAGTATTTATTAATGATGTGTCTTATCAATTCTGAGTCGACGAATAATGGTGAAGTATCATATAATATTATTATTCTTACTTTTATTTTAAAAGATATTTATTTCTCTTTTTCTCCATTATACAAATAATTTTCTTTGTAAATGGAATACGACAAAGTCACATTGCCTAATAATTTTTGTAAGTCTTACTCTTCGTCGATAATCAATCCAATAAGGATTAAGTAATTGGGGTTTTGTTAGACTTCATTCTAGATGTATTTAAACATCTAGAATGAAGTCTAACAAAAACCCCAATTACTTAATCCTTATTGGAATGATTTAATCCTTAATGGATTAAATAATTCCTTTTAATTATCAATTGCTCAACAACTTAAAGTATCAAAGAAACCCGAAATAATTTTCGATGCCATAATAATTAAGAGAAACTTGATGATTTTTATAGGTATAAAAAATAGAGTTGTACTTACGAGATAATTCTTCAATGCTGTGCATATCTCTGAGAGGATAGTATGGATGATTTTGATTGGGAGGCTCTGAGTATCTTTGGGCGAGATTCATGCCGACTCTGATCAGCTTTCGTCTTTGCACAGGAGGTAAGACAGCCTGGAAGTTTTGAATAACATAAATAATTGCGAAAACGATAATAATTAAAATTTTAACAATATTCGGTTTTGTAACCAATAGTATACTTACTTCATTAATTGCATCTACAGGATCTGCATAGAAAGGACTTCCAGCGTTATCTTTTTCAGAGTCATCACTAATCGGATCTTTAACACAGTCGTCCTCTAATTTAACCGTTTCCATACTTTCTATATTGCAATTCTCTCTACTTTTAAAAGCAGCTTCTATTTCTTCAGTTAGTTTCTTATTCATATTCATAACAATATTAAGTCTATCTGGCCTCTTTGGTACAACATCTCCTTTGCTATTCGTTGTCGCTATTATTTCACTAGATCCATTGTAACTCTTTTTCAAAGAGCTATCAGAGAAGTTCTTCTTTTTATCGTTTAAACTTTCTGTTGAGTTTAAAATATGTATGTTTTCTTTCTCTAATATAGATTGCGTACTTTTAGCTCCACTGAGTTTTGCTGAAACATTTAAATAAATATTTTAACATATAGTTTAATGCATATGATACTAGTCAAATTAATAATAGTACTTACGCAAGGTATCTGGCAAGAGGTCAGGCCTTTTGCTTTTCATTAATCCATTGTTTGAATTACTATCATTTTCTAGTCTTAAAGGTTTGAACGTTGAGCAATTATTGCTTTCTGGCCCCCAAATATCTTCATAATCGGATACTTTGTCCAATAATGAACTTCTGCAATATACACCTGGTGATTCTAATATATCTGACTCCTGAAATATGCACAAGAAATATTGTGATAACTTAAATGAAATTATTTAAAACTTAATAACAAAAAATCATATTTATCAATGTCTCATTTTTTAACATAATGTCGTGCTGTTAGTGATGACGATACAATACAAATATAACAAATATAAGGACATATATGTTTTACAATACTTTGCTATTACCATCCTACCTGATAGTGTCTGGATTCCTTTCGTTGGGAGTGTCTACTCCTTCTCGATCTACCAGATGGCGTAGTACTCGTTGTGTTACTGTTAGGTGATAACAGTTTATCGCGGTCTTTACCCATCATGGGTGATATGATAGACTGATTTGAAGTAGGTGAGAAAACATTTTTACTTGACACTGGAGAACTCTTAGATAAAGGAGAAAATATTTCACTTTTATTCGTTTGACTAACAGGAGAAAATACGCCACTTTTTGAAGAAATGGTATCGTTTGATACTGGAGAGTTAATCTGACTTGTAGGAGAAAATATGCCACTTGTAACAGAATTAGTACCATTAGGTGACACTAAATGATTTGGAGCAAAACTATTGTTAGATTTAGACAGACTGTTTACAACGGGATCAACTGATTCGGAGGTATTTGTTTGGGATTGTAGTTCAGCTGGCGATTCTGGTTCGGCAGTATTTGCTTGGTCGGCCATTTGCCTTTTGAAGCTTCCGTGCAAACTAGCTGTCATTGCGTTAATGCACTCTCCTTCTGGTGACATACGATGCATCATATTCTATACAGGAACAGGAATAAGTTTTAGTCATTATTATTCTTCATTACTCACATTTAATTAAATATTATTAGCATGTTAGAAACAATATTGAACATTCAACTAAATACAAAAGGCATGCAAAGAGCAGAAACGCCATGCAAAATCTGTAGTTTCCTCACCTGTGTTTCTCCATCTGACTCAGCCAGGCTTTTGCCATTGTCTCCTAGATTGAACACAGATTCTGTGCCATTGTTATTATTGATTGCATTAGACGCAAGCGTTAGTTGTAGCTGATCACTTTGTATGCTCTCGTTTATTTGATGATTATGAATTTGTGTGTTATTGACACAGAAGGTAACCGTTGTTGTGACTGTTATGTTTCCATTCTGTGAAGCCTTGTTAATAGGACTGAAAGCTTGAGCTTCGGATTTAGGAGATAAGGACGTTTTGGGGATAAGCGGCTTAGCCCATCTCGGAGGAGGTGGAGGCGGAGTAGTTTTGACGTGATTTAACGTGGGAGATTGTTGTGTATTGGTTGTAGGAAATGTATGTGGCTGGGTAATATGAGCCTGAAAATATTTGAAGCATTGATTAACATCAATTTAGAAATACAACACCAAGAAAGCAATAGGAGTTAGTAAAAATACTTACGGTACTAGACATTAGATTAAGAGTATTTGGTGGGGTAGGTCTAGGTGCTCTAATAAATGCTGTCCCACTAGGCTTTGCTGGTGGCGACGGTGGCGTTCTTCCTTTGAATGTGCTAAGATTCTGGTTGTGGTTCGGTGGGGAACCAGATCTGTCAATGGGTGACATTTTTAGCACTACGTTCTTGTCATTTTCTGGACTTAAAACATGTTCTCTGGAAATAGTTCCAGTGCCTGAAATATAAGATAAATAAAAATTATTAAGTTATATTTACTTATCACGTTTATCATCAGCAAGTTCAGCATATAGTAAATTAAATTTCTATTAAACCATTGTTATAATGTCAGTTGTTTTTTTTATTTAAGACATTAGGTACTCACTCGCATTGAAGCTTAGACTAGATGCTGTATCTGACGGCGTAACAGCCATAGGCACAACTCCATTAGCCAACTGACAAGGTGAGAGTAGGCTATGAGAGTTGTTCTTAGGGTTCGCCATTGGGTAGCCCCAGAATTCCTGACCCAGCAAAGTCAGGGAGCTAAGTTGTTGGCGACTTTTCGCCTCACGAAGTGGTCGCGGTAATTGAAGTTGCACTGGTAATTCGTCACTGAAAATAAATATAAATCTGTAGTATTCTATTATTCAACAACTGTTTTATAGTACATACAAGATTTACCCGCATTAAAGCATGATATGCCAAAAGAATGTTAAGTTCCGTAACGCAATTCTTACGCAAAACAAAAATTTGTGAGATCTTATGTTATTTTAGTTACACGCCTCAAATATAATGTACTATATCCGATCAGTGTTGGAAAGTTCTTTGGATAACTTCCTAGATCTCCTTGTGTGTATCGAAACCAACCCCGATATCTCAGAGTATGCCTAGGTGATTTTTACCCCAACCATTATTACTACGATATTACCCCTGATTTCTGGCCGTGCTGCTTTAGTATCTATAAAAGCATAACTTAATATTTATCGAACTTTACCTATCAACATTTACAGTGACTATTCAAATTAGACATTTTAATTTCTATAATAATTAGAAGCATCTGGTAAGAGCACGAGAAAGTAGTTGGGTCTATACAAATATTATACGTATAAAGAGATAAAGTTTGTGAGTTTGGATGTTTGGATAGTCTCTGGTAATACCGATCCGATTTGATAGTAATTTATGTTGGATAGCCCATTTATTGAGAAAGGTCCAAGACTATATAATATGACGCTACGACCAATAGGAACTGCAATGGAAAATGTCGCGGTAACAGGGAGAATTTGCCAAAGAGGGTCGGCTAGTTTAATTAAAATATAATTGTTTTGTCCCTTACCAGCATTGTGAGTAATGTGCTATAAGTTCAGGTATGTTATCGAAGCGATTATGTGAGGTCTCCAGTCCTATACGCCCTCCTGATGCCTGGATGAGATAATGTTCTATGTAAGGTCCTTTGTCTGCGGGCAGACGCACACTGATCGCCATAGTGTCCGGTTGACTGGACTGACGCACGACGAAATTCTGAAATGTTATTAATGATAACGTGATGATAAAGAAATGAAAGTGGTAAATTGAATGGTTACGAGAGAATATACTTAATTGGAGTGGTATCGCTGGTGTCACATGATATGGCAGCCCACTGTTAACTATCTTACACATAGTAATATGTTTTTATTTGCATATATTAATTTATATAAATGTATTTTCTATAAAGAAACCAATAAAGTTTTTCATATTTATTTTTGTAATTATTCTAATGCCGTTGGCCGCAGAAACTTCTTTACAGCTTCAATGATGATAAGGGGGAGTGCAGATGTCACTGCAAACTCGCAGAAGCACTTATGGAGTGGCTAAAGGCAAACTCTTACATGACGGATACGACTTTAGTTTGTCATATTGCATACATTTTTATAATAACCCTGGACCCTGGAAAATTAACACAGCGTCATCTAGTCCCATGGTAAGCAGAGCTTGTGTTATGGGTACGTACTGGACAACTGATATCTTATATATAAAATTCTCGTGTCACAGTTTTCGTTCCCATACTCCTCCGAGTATGTGAGCGTATTGAGTAGGTCTGAGAATCGGCCAACATCTATTTTTCATCCCCCTAAATGTTAGGGTCCAAACCAAATTTTTTTTTTATTTTAAGGCAAAACAACGTTTGCCGGGACAGCTAGTAAATAAGATTTTTTTTGTAATTACATACATACATACATACAAAACACCCAGACCGATACAAACACTTATACTCATGAATACAATAGGTTTGTGTCGTGCCAGGAATCGAACCCGCGACCAGCGGAAGTAAAGCGATGTGCTAAACCGCTAAACCACCGAGGCTATACATACATACATTTATTAGATTTTAATGGGAAAGTAATTCTTACCCCTTCTTCTTTCCCTTGTAAGAGGTGGAACGCCCCAGCCCTTTGTATCCCTGGCAGGAACCAAACAGGATGGGTCCTGATCAACCGTTCCAACAGTCCAATGTCGCATGGTGGTTGTTCTTCAGATCCAGACCCTGAGGAATCCACGGAGGAGCAGTCGCCGCGGGCACCCTCGCCGTCTGACGATAGACTTTCACGACTCTGAAATAATGGATATGTTTTTCTTTACTGAGAGTGTCAACATACCGAATTTTATTTTGTACGCTTCTGTTATGTGTACTACACAACTGATATAAAGACTTAGATTATTTTTTTGTAAATACATACATAATATACTAATATAGAAAACACCCAGGTCGAGACAAACGGTCATACTCATGAATGTTTGCATTGTGCGAGGAATCGAAACCGCGACCATCGGAAGTAAAGCGGTGTGCTCAACCGATAGACCACAGAGGTCGTTGAATTAGTACTACCAGTAAGTACTAAAACTAATACTAACAGACACTTAAACTAGTCCGCGTTACTACCATAAATGAGAGATAGAGTTTACGACTACTTGTTCAGAAAAGTATTTAAGTTTATTTTTATACGTATTAGTGTTTATAACTTTTATAATTTATTTAAATAACAAATTGCTATGCCTATACGTATTTATATTTTATCATCACATTAGTCTGTACAAGTTTGTCTGTATGAGTAACTGAAAAACAAAAATCTTCAAATCTGCTATATAAGCCCGAAAAATAAATTGACAACAAGATTCGAACCTCACGACCTGCGGGTTTTATATCGGGGTAGTAAACCACTAAGCCAAAAGTTTCTCAAATTTATATTAATATCTGTAAGTTACACTATATTATTTGTATGTAAATTTACATATTTATTATGTTACATGAAATAATTTTGTACTAAAATATGCCACAAATGCCAGTGTAAGCTATTTATAAGGGACTTCCAACCCCAAGGAACCCTCCTATATTACGATCATAATAGCACATAGAAGGTACAAAGTGAAAACGTTTCGCTAATTACTAAACCCTTGGTGGAAGTGTAATAGGTAAATATTAGTGAGTCCCTTTAAAACAAGAAAGGTACCGAGGCAAAGCAAATTGTTAACAGTATACTAACTACGAACTAAATATTTTATTCAATGATTATTTTAAATTTCTGAAATTAAATGTATATCTTGCGAATGTGGAAATCAGTACTTCTTTTAAATACGCGTGAATGAATGCTGCTTGTTTAAATGTTGCTCTGATAAATATGACTGATATATTTTGTTATTTAACTAAATATTTATTTATATATAATGTTAACTCTGCTATTTGGCAGTTTGTATTCACACAAAATTCTTAAAATTGTAATTTTTAACAATATATTTAAAAGATCAACACGCAAGTTCTTATTCGTTCTTCTTGTGATGACGCTGCATTCTGAATGAGTGGTAGAATCAAAAACATATGACTATTTAAAAATTCTTATATTTAGTTTCTTTTTTTTTTAAATACAGATTTATTTTATTTTATTTCTTAGCATTCCGTTTACATAAAGTTTTGTGGTAGATTAATAAGTAATAATAATATTTTCTGTTTTTATGGGAATGGGTATTAAATTCTACAATATGACACTAAAAGATATTTTGGGTCTACCTTTTAATAAACTAAAAAATTTTATTATTGAAGAAAGCTTATTTTTCTGTAACCAATTATTTGGGAGACGACATTTAGAGTTAATTGTTCAGACAAGAGATTTTCGATATTTGAAATATATATATTAGTTACATTTGAATACTGTTATATCAATAAACAATGAAATTCATTAAATATAATAATGATATTTTAAAAAAATTATAATTTGACTTTCTTGCCAACTGGCAAGAAAGAGAGGAACTCTTCTCAACTGAAATATCTAGCCGAACTATTTATATTTATAATTAACTGTATATATTTACAAAAAAATGTTTTTATGTATTTCTAATAGCTGCCTATTACTCAAGCTCTGTTTAGTTTGGGACTAAATAGCAATGTGTGAACTGTCCTGAGTTACTATGAATATATCATAAGCAACGATTACCGCTCTTAAGAGGGTCTTCCTATGTGATGGGTTGAAAAAATCGATTTTTTTTTTTATAAATTAACATGTCTAGAATATATATTTTAGAAAATTCGAAGTCGTTTTAAAGATAGCAGGTAAAAGAAAGAGCGGTTCGGACGGTGAGTTGGCAGTTAGAGACCGGGCCTATTGTTACGTCGGCTTTATACCTGGCCTCCCTTTCATTAATATATTTGTTTATACAAGTTTAGACACGTTTCTACAGACTTAAACAGGAAAAGGAGCAGGTAAACTTACTGATAAAGTTATCCAAGAAATTACAAAATTCTACGGATTAGCAATTCGACGCCATCCAGATTCGCTTGAAGATATGAGAAAGGAAGTTTGGGCAACGTACTATCACAAATGTTCTTCTGATGAAAACCCTCAGCATCAATTTTGTCCAGAAGGCGAAGACAGTTGGTGTGTGAACTGGACCAATTTCATCACGATAAACCACCTCTAATTCCGCAAGTCCAAGAAGCTATCAAACCGGTTTTCGAAGATTTATCGAAAGACGAATTATTAATTCGTTGTTTAGGAGCAGAGACACAAAACAATAACGAATCTTTGAATTCTTTGATTTGGACTTTCGCTCCTAAACATCTTCATTCTGGTCCCAAAGTTGTTGACATTGCTAGCTACTTAGCAGTTATTATCTTTAATGAAGGTTTTCAAGGTATTTTAAAAGTTATGTCGATTATGGGATGCCCTGTTGGTCGTGAAGCCCAAGCGTATGTTGAGAAACGGGATGAAAAGCGAATCTTACGCTCTGAGCGGCGCGTAAGTGATGTCGTTAAACAAGCCAGGATTGACTCAAGAGCTGAACAATCTGCTTTAAAAGAGTTTCACGAGGAAGAGGAAGGAATACTCTATGGACCAGGCATCGCCGATTGAGAGTAAGTTGATATTTTAATAGTTTTTAACGGACTTGAAACTTTAAACGCGTTTTTCTCAAAACTATGTTTTTCAAACTTTCCTCCATTGTATCTCAGAAACGGCTGGACCGAATTACTTGAAATTTACAGGGCACACTCAATATATGTAAACGCATGGAATGAACTATTATCAATCGAAAATTTTCAAAACTTCGATTTTTTTATAGCAAAAAACAAAAAAAAAACGCCTAATTTGCAACTTTTATTTCAAATGTCTATCAAAAATCCAATTTTTTTTATATTCATTTGATTATAGGTCATTCCGTGCTTTTAAGCCTACAAATTAAAACGCCGTTTTTTTTTTTTCAGATAAGCCGATCAGCCGGAATCGTGGAGGAAGTGGGAGCTCTTTTTTTCGAGGCGGGGGTGTTCAGAGCGCTGTAACTCTAGTTTGACTGAATATTTTTAGCTGAAATTTTATATTTATACTGTCCAAATATGTGTTAATAAATGATAAAAAACTTGAAGCTCTAAATATTTACTGGTCGTAAAAAAAAAATCCTAAAATATCCCTAAAAAACAGGCCGTCATATAGGAAGACCCCCTTAACAACGGCGATAAAAAACGTTACAACATTTTTAATGTTATGTGTCCAGTGTGGTTAGACTACTGTTTGCATAATTTAGGTGTTCGTATACTGATATGGATGAATGGGGAGATGCCGGGTGGGCTTATGGGCTAAAAGCCGGCGCGGCGGGCTTATGATAGCGATGTAAAATTGTACGCAGAATAAATAACGTTTTGTGTGCGAGTAGTCAATTATATGAACATATGAATTCATGTCCATTATAAATGTCCGAATACATTTATAGATGTTTTTATTCAATTTCAAACGATAATGTTAGTATTATGTAATTAAAGAAATATTATCTTGTATTTGTAATTTTTTAATCTTATTAATATTATAAACACGAACTTTTGTAAGTGAATGGATGGTAGGATATTTCTTACTCTTTCACGCAAAATCTATTGAATAGATTTTAATGAAACTTTACAATAATGTAGCTTATACAACAGAATAACACACAAGCTACAAATATTATGTACCCTCGGTTTCAGGTGTCTAAAATTTAGCATATTATTGTATAGTTTGATTAAAATACAATAAGTAGTTTTTGCGTGAGATAAATAAACATCCAATCCATCAGTCCACAATTGCATTCTTTCGCCTTTTATAGTATTAGTAAGAATTTATCTTGTCGTTCGGAATTCAAATGATTCAAGATGAAAATATTCTAATTTCATATTATTTTTCTTTAGTCTTCTTAATTGTTAACTCATACTACTGTTAACATCGCATATAGCCATGACGAGCAAGGCATCCCTGCAGTGCAATATTGTGCATCTGTGGCATATTACATTTGCGCGGGAAAATAAATCTTATATTCAAAATTCTCGTGTCACCATACTGTTAGTGGTATGGTATATATGGCCATGCCATGGTAATATACTAATGATAAAAATCTACATTAATTAAATACACAGAAGTTATGATGAAAAATGATTAGCAACTGATTCGACATTGTTGTTATTGTTGTGTTTTGTTCCGAAACGGCATTTTTATGAAATTTTATATACATATTCAGTAGGTTTGAGAATCGGCTACATCTATTTTTCATACTCCTAAGTGGTAAGGGTTGTCACCGTTAATCATCATCATCATCATCGCAGTGGAAGACGACTGCTGGACATAGGCCTCCCCAAAGATCTCCACGACGATCGGTCCAGCGCTGCTCGCATCCAATGCCTTCCGGCGATCTTGTCCAGATCGTTATTGGAGGCCTTCCCACGCTGCGTCTTCCGGTCCGTGGTCGCCGTTAATATTTTTTATTAATTTTTGGGCAAAATTTTTATTTTTTTATAATGTGGCATTATAAAATACATACTACCCTAAATTTCACCCTTCTATCAAGAATCCCTATTTTTAATACCGATTTTAATTTATATGGCAAAACAACGTTTGCGGGGTTAGCTAGTAATACTACAAAATATTTCTCCTGCGGACACACTAATAGGTTATGCTCTTCATTCTTTATTGTTCTATGCTATATGTATATTTATTTATTTATTCATTTATTTCGAATATGTATCCATATTATGTATATTAGTAAACAATTTATAAAATATGTTAGTAAATTACAATTTTGGTTTTGATTGTGATTTTACAAT